AAACACATTTTACAAAGATGTTAAAAATTCGCATAACGATGCTGCATCTGTTAGAACAACATGTCCTATACCTGCCAATTGTGGATTGTACTATTATGAAGTTAAGATCATTTCAAAAGGACGTGATGGGTACATGGGAATTGGCTTAACATCAGCAGCATCAAATTTCAAAATGAACAGATTGCCAGGTATGAAAATTTATGACTTAAAACTTCCTTATCAAGTCGTAAACAAACAATTATTGCGGTCGTTCAACTATTGCGTTTTAAATTTTCTAGGCTGGGATAAACAATCATATGGTTATCACGGTGACGATGGCAATTCATTCTGCTCATCTGGGAATGGTCAATCATATGGTCCAACTTTCACAACTAACGACGTCATTGGCTGGGGGGTAAATTTAGTCGACAATACGTGCTTTTACACCAAGAATGGTCATCATCTTGGTATCGCCTTTCGTGATCTGCCACCAAAACTTTATCCAACAGTGGGCCTTCAAACGCCCGGTGAGATTGTTGACGCCAATTTCGGTCAAAAGCCATTTCAATTCGATATCCTCGATATGATTCAAGAACTACGTGCTTCCACAAAAGCTGCGATCTATTCGTTTCCACTGCCAGATGATCAAGCAGATTGGACAGTGATTATGCAAAAGTAATTTTTTGAACAACAATTTTATAATTGCCTGCATCATAAATGATAATTTTGGTTTTAGAATGGTCTCGTCATATTTAGTACATCATGGCTTTAGCTCTACAGCAGAAAAGTTTTGTGAGATCACAGGTCAAACCTTCACAGAAGACATCGGCTCGATTAAAACACGTCAAAGTAAAACGAAAATGAAAACAAAATTATTGATAATTTTTTTAATCATTCTTATTTTTCAGGAATACTTAAACTAGTACAAATGGGCCGCATTGGACAAGCAATCGAACAGACAACGCGCTGCTTTCCTGGTCTTTTAGAGTCTAATCAAAATCTTATGTTTATGTTGAAATGTCGACAATTTGTGGAGATGGTGAATGGATCAGACTTAGATGTAAGATTTTAATGATTAATTTATTGAATTTTACTTCAATCAATACACCCAGGAATTAAATTTTCAGACATCACACTCAGCTCAGACAACATCAGTTATACAATCAACAAAACATTATCAATCACCGATGGATCAGAACGATCAAGATTTCAATAACGACAATCAAAATTACTCGATATATGGCGGTGACGACACACAAGAACAAAACTCGTTCAATAAATTTAAGAGAATAAATGATTACATTGAGAATCATTACCATGACAGTAACTCTGATGATGTTGATATGGATGGAAATAACATTGGTGAGTGATTTATTATTACAATTTATTGATTTTTTTTTAATTCTTTTTTTTATTTTTCAAGGCTATAATAACTCAAAATCATTAGAACTGAATGATTCAGACGATATGGATGTCGATGTGTCACCAATGAGTAGTAAATCTATTAAATCCGGGATTGAACGAATGTTAGAACTTGGTCGGGAACTTCTTCAGATGAGTTTACGTTTAGAGAAGAAATATCAAAATGTCAATGACGACATTATAGCTCAAAATCGCAAAATGATGGAGGTAATTAATTAAACGTAAATAAAAAAGAGTTTTTTTTTAACTTTGAATGATGTTTGACATTTAGGAAGCATTTAGTTTATTGGCATATTCAAATCCATGGGCCAGTCCTGTAGGTAAACAGCTCTCTCCAACAAAGCGCGAGCCAATTTGTGCAAAACTCAATTCAGCTATTTTAGGTAAAGCATCCACCCACACGTATTTTTTAATTATTAAAGACGCTCAATTTTTTTCTTCTTTGCTCTTTATTTTCATTTATAGAATCAATGAATTATCCAACGAGGCCGCCCATAGAATATAGCTTAGCTCACGCTCATCAATTGCTTCGTGAAATGTCGAATTCAAATCTTGGCTCATTTGCTTTTGTGGACATAAACGAAATTTTAAGACATTGAACTCAACTTTACTCGCTTTATTTTCAATGCTTCTTCAATACAATTTGAAATAATTTTNNNATTGGAAAACCTTGAAGAGTGGGAAAGAAAAAGTTTTTCAATAAATATGAAAAGTTTAAAAATTTAACGTATTTTCAAAATTCAAAATTTTGTTTTTAGATTCGACTCTGATCTTGAAAGAAGAAAAGCACTGATCTCTAAAAACATTAATCTCAGAAAGTGTTTATTCAGCTGTTTAGGCAACTTCTCGCTTCTAACCATGTACTCGCGTCAATTGTAACAGATTCTGAAAGTGAAAAGTAAGTCAGTGTGTCGTGAATAGGAAGAGTTCAGTGAAATGCCGGTGATGATATGAAAATTATTAATCCCAAGAGTGAATCATATCAAGTACAGGATAAGCTCTAAATAAACAAAAAAATATAAAGCTTATCGACCGAAAACATGAAAAAAGTTTAATGACATCCAAACAGGCANTAATATTATTTAAATAAAATTAATAAAACTTTTGTCCGAATTGGTTGGATGAAAATGAAAATTTAAGTGAAAAAGAAATGCTAATAATGTAAATTTTAATGTATAAACACAATAAAAAGGAAAATTTTGCGATGAAATCGAAAGTCAAGTTTTTGATTGGAAAACCTTGAAGAGTGGGAAAGAAAAAGTTTTTCAATAAATATGAAAAGTTTAAAAATTTAACGTATTTTCAAAATTCAAAATTTTGTTTTTAGATTCGACTCTGATCTTGAAAGAAGAAAAGCACTGATCTCTAAAAACATTAATCTCAGAAAGTGTTTATTCAGCTGTTTAGGCAACTTCTCGCTTCTAACCATGTACTCGCGTCAATTGTAACAGATTCTGAAAGTGAAAAGTAAGTCAGTATGTCGTGAATAGGAAGGGTTCAGTGAAATGCCGGTGATGATAGGAAAATTATTAATCCCAAGAGTGAATCATATCAAGAACAGGATAAGCTCTAAATAAACAAAACAAAATATAAAGCTTATCGACCGAAAACATGAAAAAAGTTTAATGACATCCAAACAGGCAAGGCAACAAGACACAATTTTAGAACTTAATTAACGGAATTCAACGTACAGAACGAAAACAGTGACTAAACAATAAAAAACAAGACCAATTCAATTCATTCATGAAGATCAATTCGACATCTCCATAAATTCCAAATGCGCAAGCCCCAAGGTATGTTTGTATGATGTTCAGCTTGATAACGAGCACTTGCCGATTATATAACGAAACTCGTATTGCACACTCACACATTATCACAACAAGTCTTTAGGAACAGAGAGAAAATTTTTTCTTTTCCCCCTCGTTCAATGTGAAAAATCCCTTGCGTTAGACGATATAGAGTTTTTGCAGGGCGTGGAATGAAAAGTGTCTCGATTATAATCATCTGAGAACGGGAAAAATCAGATAGTTTGGATTTTAATTTAAAAGTAATTATTAAATACAATCAGTAAGAATTATAAGTAAATGATATGATGAAAAAGTAGAATCACATCGCGAAAAAGTCAAAGTGAAACGAAGGAAAGTGAAAAACATCATTCTGGAAAATTGAAAGGAAAAATTCATGAAAATGGCGGAAAATTTGTAGTGCCTACATTTCAATCAAATCGTTGATTCTCTGCCAAATGTGACAGCAACATATTTATGAATATTTCATGACCAAGACAGTTTAAAAAGCATACAAATGCTCTCATTATGGATTTATAAATGAATTGAAAAGTGTTTGCGGATTCTCGAGTGACAGAAAATATCAAGTTACGAATGACATTGATTTTTGCGAGATTTTTTTTCTGCAACTTGAAATAAAATGAAAAAAGCTTTTTTATGTGAACAACGGAAATTAAATAGTTTAAGCGATGTTTTTCCTCGTTTCACATATACCTAATATTTTTCATTTAAAAAAGCGATAGTGATTCATGTTTTTCCGGATTTACTTTTCCGTTTTCTTTCTGTTTGAAATATAATAAAAAAAATTCAATCTTCTTATTCACAATGTTTCGTTTCTCCTTTTTGTATATTTTAGGTGTCATAATTTGCATAAACAGATCTAGTCATATATCCAGTGCAAGTTACAAGAAAATTAAGTAAAATACGGAAGAAAAATCGCCCACCGTCATATTATAGAAACGGAGAAAAAGTGTAAGAGAGAGAGAGAGAAAGAGGGAGAGAGAGGAAAATTGAAAACGCAACCAATTCACTTTAATTAAGCATTTTTTTCTTTTGCTGTCGGCCACATTTTTGTGTGAGGCCGAAGTGACGTGAGAGGAGAAAAAAAAAGTTATCAAAACGTTCTGCTCCGAAGCAATACGAATTATGGGGTGCGCACAATCAGCAGAAGAGCGGGCTGCTGCCGCCAGGAGTCGTTTGATTGAACGAAATTTGAAGGAGGATGGATTGCAGGCCGCTAAGGATATCAAGCTTCTGTTGCTTGGTAATTAACATATTCACATATCAATTCATTAATTTTTTACGACTTTCTCGCTTTATTCAATATTTATTTATGTTCTTCCAACTTTTTCTTCTTCCTTAACAGGTGCTGGAGAGTCGGGAAAAAGTACAATCGTGAAACAAATGAAGTGAGTCGATAATGAGCTGATGATATTCCTTTTCAAGATGCTATTTAATGTAATTAAATTCACTTCACAGAATTATTCACGAGAGTGGCTTCACATCTGAGGACTTTAAGCAGTACAGACCCGTCGTGTACAGCAATACAATTCAATCGCTTGTTGCAATCTTAAGGGCCATGCCCAACCTAAACATTACATTTGGAAACAATGAGCGTGAGGTAATTTGCATAAATATCTTAAAAGGGAGAAGCTTTCATTTAATCGCTCATCAAAAAACTTTTTTCGATTCTTTTAGTGCGATGCAAAAATGGTGTTCGATGTTGTACAACGTATGCACGATACAGAACCATTTTCAGAAGATTTGCTTCTGGCAATGAAACGATTGTGGTCGGATACAGGTGTTCAAGAGTGTTTCTGTAGAAGTAACGAATATCAGCTTAACGATTCAGCTAAATAGTGAGTAGAAAAAGTTTTTCATTGTTGTGAACTGAAAAAAAGAGAACACAGCGCAGTGATAACATGAAGAAAAGTGAATCAGTGAACAATTTATTGGTTTAAAGCTTAAGCGTACTCAATAATGAGCAACAATTATACAAAAAAAAAATATTACAAATATTTTAAAGCTTTATAAAAGTGATAAAAGATAAAATCGTTATCAGCAACAAATGAATAAAAAAATACTGTTAAGAGTCGCGCTCAACGAGTTGAAATTTCAGTGGCTTATCGGGAATGTATGTTGGACTAACTCGGTAATTCATTGTGCCGTAATTATATTTGACGTGATATTTTCGGAAAATCTGTGGGAAAAATTAATGAAAACGTCCTTTATGCTTCATGAAAATTATTGAAGCTTAACAACTTACTTTTGATAATAAAATGGCCAATTCCGCTTCTGCGAAACGTCTGCCAATACAAGTACGTCGACCGTAACCGAAAGGAAGACTCACAAATCGATGAATATCGTTCTGAGTTTGTTCATCATTTTTCAGCCATCGTTCGGGGATAAATTTTGACGGTTCCGGGAAGTAACTTTCCTTGTTCGATAAAACATAATGCGGAAAAATTACATGAGTCTGTAAAGTTAAAACATCGGGAAAGGAAAATTGAATATCCGGTGAAAGAAGGAAAAATAAAATGTGAGAAATTACGCCTTTTGGAACGTTGTAGCCACAGATGACAGCGTCAGATTGAAGACTTCTGCCGTTTCCAAGCACCACTGGATACATGCGCAACGTTTCTTTGATGCACGCCTTCAAGTAAGGCAATTGTTGAAGTGTCTCTGACGTCACTTTCGAATCCTTATCAACTAATGCCTGCTTTAGTTCGTTGAAAAGTTTCTCTTGTTTGTCCTCATTCTGACTCAACTGGTACATTGTAGAGGAAATAGCGACAGATGTCTGTTGATTGTTAAAAGTTTGTTTATATTTTCATTCGTACAAATTGATTAAGTTTTTTTTCTTCTTCTTTTTCATCTTCCGGTTCTATTATAACATATAAAAGTAGGTTATTTGACGATGCTGAGTTGGAAATAGAATTTACATGCTTTAGGAACTTGACTTTCGATATAATTAAAACCTTTTGACGGAATTTCCTAAGAAATTTGCAAGTATTTCTCTCTCTGAAGCCAACTCAACATCATGTTGTATAATTATGTAACGAACACTTACAGTATCAACTCCTACAAGCATTAAATCTAAAGCCAATACGGCAGCAATTTTTGGGTTTCGTGTTTCATGTAAAATCTGTTCTACAATTGAAACGTGTTCTGAGTTGACCTCCTGCTCTAAATTCAATTTGCTCATAGCGATCTCGATGTGCTTCATGCACAATCTATTGAATAAATGAACATTTAATCTCATTCGCGATTTTACTTTCATTGAATGAAAAAAATAAATAAAAAATATCAAACAATTTACTCTCGGAAGCTGTCAAGCGCACCAATGTAGTCTTTGAATGTTTTGGTTTTATAAAAACGCCAAACAGGTAATCGAAGCTCAACTTCAGCTACAGTCCAAAAGAAAGTGTTAATAGCTTCGATAATTTTCTTCGACTCGGGATTTGGATTCTTCGAGACGCAACCTAATCGTGTATCGAGTGAAACACGGCAAACAGCTTAAGAATAATTTTTGGATTAACTTTTTTAATAATTTCGTCACTTTCTTTAATTTATTAGCTTCTTACATTCTAAAGCCCATTTGTAAAGCTCGTGTAAGAAATGACCTGGAAGTTCCCTTTGATCATCCAATAATCCTTCCATACTAAAACGATTATTCAATAAATTTCTCGTTGTTACTTGCAGTAAAGTAATTAACATAATGCAAATATTATAAAAGGTTTTGTAAATAAATCTTACTGTATTAAAAAATCGTCGGCAATGTCGTTTAAAGGGGAGACGTATTTCTTAACAGCATTTGCATTGAGCATTACTTGTTGAACTTTAGAGCGAAAGTTGTCCCATTTTTGGCCATGTCTGTTTAAGTGAAGAAAAATGATTATAATCAAGAGATTTAAAGACTAAAATAAATAAGATTTACACTCCAATTATTCCGGGACAGTCGCCGAAAAAATCTTTATGCAATTCACCCTTGTAGTGATGTAATGATGGCATTGCTGGTCGATGCGGTAAAATTTCTTCTCGTCGAAACGTGTTTCTGATTTCATCGCCATCGTAAATGAATAACAAATCAGGATGACCAATTAATCCACTCACTTTTACGATTTTTCCGTAGACTTCATGAAGTTGTAGCATCACTTTATCGAGTTCCTCGATCTTGTGTTGACCTAGGAAAAGAAAAATAAAATTGACTTGGTGTTAAATAAAAGTGGTGGCGCTACATTGAATTTGAATTTCAATATTTAACTAGTCAATTGATCATTTGTATCCCACTTAAGTACCTCATTCAAAAAACCACAAAACAAAAAAGTTGAATTTGCGAATTCTTTTTGAAAATATTTGAAATCATAACTAGATAAATATTTCCATTGTTGAAATGGTCATTACACACTTGTTGCTCTTTTTATGTGTCCACAAGAAACGTGATCAAAATCCCGAAATTAATTTATTACTGCGAGAATAATTTACGACGTGAAACATTGTAAAGTCGCAATGAAATTGTGTAAAAAGGTGAACGAAGAGAATTATTTTGCGCAGCATTTCTCGTTTATAAATATCTACAATGTTTAGATGTAATGAGTTCGATAATAATGTGAAAAACGCAAATATCCTATGTTTATTTAATGTTACACCAAGTCTTAGTCTATGTTTGTAACTTCCACTTTGAAAAAGAAAAACTTCCTACCTTACATAATAATGATTCGTCATCAACTTCGCTTAACTTCCTTCCTTTCCTCAGAAGAATCAAGCGAGTGTTAAAATCCCTCATATCTATTTTATACAACATTCAACATAACGAAGATCATTGAAAGGCAAGCACCTTACATAGAAGCACAAATGAGTTTTAAATGTGAAAGAAATTATGGCTTTCGTGTAAACTCGTGCTGTTGGTGGAATGGAAGTACATCATGAACAACATTTCTTTCTTTATTTGAACTTATTTCAATATTTATAAATAAAGACGCGAACATGAAAGAAGAAAAATGATTGGGCGAATCCAAAAGAAAGTAAAAGTAGGTAAATTGTTATGCTATTACTTTGAAATAACACAACATGCCTCAATAGCTAATTTCTTTCGTTTATTATGTTTTTTTTTGTTATGTTTACTCTTGAAATAAAAAAATTTGCTTTACTTTTTAACGTGCCACAGTTGTTGAGATTTATTTATTATGCAATGTACCAGTCAGCCGTCTGGGTAGATTGCGAATGTCCGAAAAAAATAATTCGTCATAAAATAAGTACAACAACATACAGTTGAGAAAGAGAGAAAGAAAGAGGCGATAACGAAAGCCGACACAATAGAGTTTTAAAAGAAAACCAAAGCATTGTTTCAGAGACAGAATTTACCGCGAAATCACATCACTTTTTAGATATATTTAAGTGTAAACCATGAAATGATAATTGTCAACAGTTTATCATGATGCAATTCTGGTTTGGTGACTCCAACTTGACTCACTTACCCACTAGCACAGTGGATACGTGAAATTATAAAGTAACAGATAGGAAGCAAGAAAGAAAGAAAGAAAAAAGTAAAAGTCTTTTTATACATGTAGCTAAATATCTAAGCAAAGTATCTAATACTTGATGCATATGACTTTACTTGTTTCTTTCATTTCGTTTTTATTTTGAGTTTTGTTTTTGTTTCCTAACGTAATAATCGAGTAGTACTGCTTGTGCTTACAGAGCCGTGATTTCTTATAAAAGTTGTTTGATGTAATCGCATCGATGCAAACTTCGCTAGTGATGTGAAGAATTAGGGCAGCAGTAGTAGAAAGTTATGTAAGTTTAAGAAACTTTATGAAGTCTTGTCTAAGTAGACATGTGAATTGCATTGCATGTATTGTGGAAATGAAGAAATATTTACCACAAAACTATTTCCCATAAGCCTTTTAATGTTTGCATTCCAACAACAAATAACTTGTATGATTATAGATCAAAGATTAATTTTGACATGTAAATAAATAATCACCAATGATTGGAGCAAAACGCCATGCATTTCCGATAATCGGAAGCTCTCGTGGGCCGGGAATGTCAGCATAAGGTTTTGCATATTGTTCCTTTGCACTAAAAGTTAATTCAAATTAATTCATTTCACTAGTTGCTTTTCAATCACGTCTCTTTAATCTCTACCTTATGCTTTGTTTTGCGTGAATACATTCATAATCAGCGCCTATTGCTTCTGGTAGAATGCTTAGAGTTGATGAGAAAGACGTTCTTTTCAAGAAAAGTTGGAGCAGAGTTCGTCGAGACATTGCCATGTTTAATCGGCGTAAAACACGCACTTCTTCTTCCTTTTTGCTTTTATTTTATTTCTCTGTTAAAATTCACGTTTAACTTTACTCTTTCACTATTCTCTTCACCGCCTTTTCTTATTTTATGTGATTAATTAGAAGTAAAATTTGAATAATAAAAGGGAAAATTATAATTTTCTATGAAATTTTCAAACTAACACAACACTTGATTTAACTGCTGAGAGCTCTCGACAGCTTGTACTCACGAAATCAACTAAACTGTTGATGTCAAACAAAAGACTTGGTAACGAACGAGTAAAGCGAAGCGATATATTTCTTTCTGTTTTCGACTTCTCCCGCCATGAAAATAAAATAAGAAAAAAGAAATATTATTGTGGAGTATATGAAAAATATAGAAAAATGAAATATTTTTGTGCGGTCACACGTGGAATGCAAAAAGTCTTTAAAAAGTTGAAGTAATATTTAAAGTTTTAATGTTTTTCATTAAGGTAGGGATTACATATCGTCTTACAAGTGGTGAACTATGGAAAGAGAATTCATTCAATTGTCAAGCGTGGAAAAATTCGATACGAAAGAAAATATTTGCATATTGTCGCTCAATCTTCATTGCTTAAGAAAATTCATTTCAGTCTTAATTGATGAGTAAACAAAACAAAAATAAAAAGTCGTCTAAGCTTCGGTCTCGCTACGGAAGTTCACGCACTGCTCATAAATTTATCTCACACGAAACTTTAATTTAATTAACGAGTTGTCTTTCGACGGTCATTCAAGGAACAATCGACGTATTTCTATTTCTGAAACCTTTCGATTTTAGAAAGTTTTACTTTTTTTCTTGCTGTTGTCATAGAAAGAAAAACGACAAAGATTCACTTTTTTTCGTCATCGGATAATGCTAATGTCAATAAGAAAAATCTATGAAAGTTCAAATCACAAATATGTACTCACGTTCAATGTTGACATTGATAACATGAAATAATAATTTCTATCTTTTATTTTTCCATTTGTGAAGCTTCTTGGACGACTTAGATCGCTTAGGTGCGAAAGATTATCAACCAACTGAACAAGATATTTTAAGGACCCGTGTTAAGACGACAGGAATCGTTGAAGTTCACTTCTCGTTTAAAAACCTTAACTTTAAGTAAGTTAACATAATTTAATTTAATGAGTAGCGGAATTATCTTTATTATGCTTTCTCATCTTTCCTCCAACAGATTGTTCGATGTCGGCGGACAGAGATCTGAGCGAAAAAAATGGATTCATTGCTTTGAAGACGTAACAGCTATTATATTTTGTGTCGCTATGTCGGAGTATGATCAAGTTCTTCATGAGGATGAAACGACAGTGAGTTTTTCTTTCCAGTTTTACCTACTTGATTTTTTTTATTAATTTCTCATATTGAAACGCGAAAATACCTTCAACGCCATCTGCATTTGAATAGCTGAAAGAAAGTTTCTGATTCAACTTTAACTCAACTAAGAATCATTTCTAATGATAAACATAAAATTAATTCCAACATAACAATAACAATTTTTTTATTAACTTATTTTAAAATGCGATAAAAATAATGATGGAAATGCTGACATGATTTGTAGTGTGATTATCACCACATTTCTAGTCTGAAACAATCAATTTGAAGCTATTTCTGAATAGTTTAAATAATAGAAACACGCAATTGACAAATATTTACATTGATACAGATGACAAGTTTTCCTTATCACTAATAATGTTTATCATACAGCAAAAAGTTTGAAAATTGTTGGTGTTTAAGTTTTAATTTGTCGTTTGTCAGGCGGCAGCTATGCCTAATGTAGTCCTCTTAGCGCAGTGGATAGCGCGTTGGACTTCTATTTCTTAGAAGCAATCCAAAGGTCGCGGGTTCGATCCCCGCAGAGGATGCAAGAATTATGGTTGATTATTTTTTTATTAAATTAAAAGTCAAATTCATGCTCAATCTACTGTAATTAACAAGTTTTAATGAAACTTTTAATATTCATATGAGAATTGGAATAAAATTGAATATGAAACATTTCTACAAAATTATTTCAAAGCATGATGAGAAAATAATTCTTGAAGATTATTAACAAAATAGAATTGCCTCGAAAACGCGCTCGAATATCTAAAATATTAAATCACATGAAATGACTTTGACAGTTAAACACATAAGCATCCGAAAAGTAAAATAATAATATTTTATATATTTATACTGACGTGCTTGAAATTACGTGTAGGAATTAACAATCACCTTGTTCATTTATTCAGTTATTTTTAAGAAGCGTCGAACTTATATACAATAAATATCAATAAACTTTCAAACATGAATCACTAATTAACTGTTCACTTTTTTGTGCTTCTTCCTTTTCATTTATAGAATCGTATGCAAGAATCGCTGAAGCTTTTCGACTCAATATGTAACAACAAATGGTTCACCGACACTTCCATTATTCTTTTCTTAAACAAGAAAGATTTATTCGAGGAAAAAATACGAAAATCTCCGTTGACCATTTGCTTTCCAGAATACACAGGTACATGCTCATAAATTAACTTCAACCATTAATTCTTTACTTTTCTGGTTCGAATGACAAGCGAATTTGTTACTTCCTTGTTGCATTCACCGACATTCACTGAAAGCGACAAAACATGTCTAAAAGAAATGTGCATTTTTGTGTATTTTTAGGCGGACAAGAATATGGTGAAGCGGCTGCTTACATTCAAGCTCAGTTTGAGGCTAAAAATAAATCGACATCAAAGGAAATTTATTGCCATATGACATGTGCAACTGATACCAACAACATTCAATTTGTGTTCGATGCTGTTACTGATGTTATCATAGCGAATAATTTGCGAGGTTGTGGTCTGTACTAAAGAGGGATATTTTTCTATTATCTTCCCTCTCCTCCCCCTCAACGCGGATTGTCTGTCTCTGCTGTTCATTCACTTTTGTTGTTTTATTTTTAATTTGACCTCATCTCGATGTATTCAAGAGAAGAAGAAAAAATGAAATTGAGGAAATGTGGAAGTAATTAGTTGTACGTATTTTACGTTTTTCTTTTTTGTTTGATTTTATTCGATCAAAATAATGCAAGAAGAAGAAAACATAAAGAAGTCTGCACATCGCAAAGATTGGCTATAATAAATAATTCTAATAAATATTAACAATGCAGCTACATAACTAAGATTCACTCTGTCATAATTAATTATAAATTGTGTTTCCACGTATTCTTCAGTGATTTTACATTCACAAGCTCTTTAACTTTACATTTACATTTACCTAACATTCCCAGTTTCATTTCCTTCATTTATTCATTTTATGATGAAATTAAGTGGGCACAAAAACGCAAAATTCTATTTAAACAAATTATTTATCATAATTAATTATAAAATTATGTCAATCGTGGCACAAAAACAACAAGTAATGCATTTAACAACATTATAAGAACGTACGAATTTGTTATTTTTAATATTTTTTATTACTTTCGATTCAATTATTGCTTGAATTTATGATGAAAAAAATATATCGCAAGTAATACAATTAAGTAATATAATTGCTATTAAGTTATCACGCATTCAATGAGTCATTAAAGAGATTTAAAATAAAGAAATGAAATATCGATAACACGTACAAGATGAGAGATAAACTTTTCAGTTGAAAATTGTTCGAAAGAAAAATAAAACTTTAAAGAAGCTTAAACTTAAAAAAAATCTAAAAAGTTGAATAGATAATCGTTCAAACAAAAAATTAACATCTTCAACTTTGAAGCATAAAATAAAAAAAAATGATGAAAAAAATAATTTTTTACTGTGAAAAACTTTTAAGAATGAAGCACATTTATTGATTAAACTTTCATTTCTTCAACCATTTCGAAAATCTAACTTTAACACAATGAAACTTTGTACAATTGTCAACTAAATATCTAAACTATATTTAAATATTTTTTTATTTTTTACTTTCACTCAAACTTTTCTTACATCGCGCAAATTTCTACAATTTATAATGTGAAACGTACAATCATTCTTCTCTTAGTTTAATTAAATTCTACTTGACCTTTGATCTTTATTTCATTAAAAAGGCTCTCAGATACATGAAATAGAAAATGGAAGAAACCTATTTGTTTAGTTATTAACCTGCTTCCCACCCACTCGCTTTAAAACGCCAGTGTAGCTGAAGAACGTTCTCGATAATGAAAAAATCTTGTTTCAAGTCGTTCTGGATAAGAAAACAAGAAAAATATATTTATTGTGATGTTCTCTATGTTTTTATTATGCAAAATTAATAAGAAAATGATGATGATAATGATAAATGAAGAAAAAAAATGTATTATAATTAAGTTCTGCTTTTATTTTAAAATTAATCGCTGACAAAAGAAAAACCACAACAAAACAAACTTGTACTGTTAATTCTTTTTGTATATATCAAAGAAGAAAAGAAAAATCCTAAAAGCATTTACATTAATTATGATGGAATAAGAAGCTATTTAACAAAAAAATATATTTGAAATTACTAACATAAGATGCTGAAAAAGATCGGAGATAAAAAGGTGAAAAGTAGAAATATGTTCAAAATGAAAGAAAAAAAAATTAAATTATATTATCAATATTATGATCTAATTAATCCTAATCTAGTCGTTTCTTGATAAAGATGATGATAAGTGAAAGAAGATGAAGAAGCTGAGTAATAAAGAAAACAAAGTTTTATTTATGATGAAGGTGAAACATGATAGGAAAGTAAAAAAAGGCTTCAAACTAAACCAAAATAAAATTTAAAAAAAAAAGTGAAAGAAACCAATAAAGTAATGTAAATTTTAAATTATATATTAATGATGATAAAAATGCTAGGATATTAATTTGCTAGACTATTAACACGAGTTCAACAGCCAAACTCAAAAACCAAAATTGTGTAATAACAAGAAAATCAAGCAAAAAAATTGTAGGAGAAATGTTGAGGAAATAAGTTCGACGAAATTTTCTCAGTAAACAATCTGCCGCTAATAGCTTCGGGGGCTTTGAATGTTCAAGGCCTTTGGGGGTCAATGACAACTTAACATACGTCGAGACTTTTTACACGCGGTGGATAGAAACAAGTGCCGTGATAAATGCTAAATATGTAAAACATTTTCTCCGATGGGAACGTCAAGAAAATTGAAACACAGCAAGTTGAAAGTCTCGGTCAGGCACAAAATATTTATTCTTTTTTTTTTTGATAAGAACCATTGTGAGTCAAGAAGCTCAAAAACTAACTAAAAGTTATCGTCGTGGAAAAAAGAAAATCTTTAATGTTAAAATGGTTAAATTGTTTTTGTTTCAAGTTGGAGTAGCTGATAAGAAAATTTAAATTCTTTTTAATTTTCTTCAACTTTAATGATTTTTAGGATAAAATTCTTAGGAAAAGAGAAATAACAAAAACATATTTTCGTTTCAAATTTTTTTTCATTTGAATTTCATTTTTCTTCAGAAATAGAAAAGAAGAAGCTTCGCTGTCCGTGAACGTGACGTCAGTGGATTGCGTTTGGCAAAGTCAATAGTTGTTTGAAAATGTTTTCACCTTGACTCGAATTACATCGCAGATTTTCCCCCCTAAAGCGTTTTTCTTTTCAGAAAATGTGTTCAGTTCTATTAAAAAGTGGATCAATCGTAATTAAATTCTATCTAAACATCAAAATAAATTTAACTAAATTGCTTCAATGACTGAGAATGTTTTTTAAGAATTGATTTTCACTGTTTTTTTCTTCACGAAGGAAAACATTTTCCGCATCTATTTACATCATCACAATTCACTGACATTGAAAATTGAAAAGAAAGATGAGAAAATTTATATGACAAGAAAAAATGTCTAAAACGGAAAAGCGAGAAAATTTCACAATTCTTTTCCTTTATTATTGTTTTGATAAACTACAGAAGTAAGTGATGTAGAGCTTGACATAAAATTTTGGGAGGAGATCTATGACGACATTCAATTCAATCATAATTCACGATAAGAAAGCCTATCAATCTCGTTTGAAGTAAAACATTCGCGTGGAAGACATGATCTATTTAGTACATTTCAACATTTTCTTATCAGGGAGATAAAATAATAATCATAAATAAAGTTAAAGAAAAAGTGAGTTAAAGAAAATTAAAGAATTTTAAATTCGCTTCTAAGAATTTTTCTCTTCAACTTTTTCACCAACAGCACTCGAATCACGAAAATATTCCACGCGAAAGTTTCTTCGTCGTGACTAAGGAAAATATTTTTTAAATAAATATCAAAAAAAGTTTGCAGACTTCCCTGAGCTTCGCTGCAAAATTTAATTTCGCTAAATTTCCACGAACGATTTGAACGAAAGGAAAAATCTTTCCATACATTTTCCTCGTAATTTCCTTAAAAACACGATAAAAAGTTAATTTATTCTCATCCGCGTTGCAAAACCATTTCTTCACCGCATTTTTTTAAATTGTCAAGGGTGTTGTGTTGATAACACGATTGAAACAAGGAAATAATTAAAAAGTTTTATTACCAAACCAAGTACGCAAAAAACTGTTCATTTCTTCTTTTGTAATAAATAAAATAAATAAATTAATAAATAAATAATAGCGTAAACATTCTGAAAAGAAAAAAAGGAAAATCATACAGAAACTTATCATTAACTGAAACAGCTCCATTTAAAGCAAAACCACTGATAAAAAATAGAAGTAAAGGAAGATTTATTGGCTAAAATGAAATGAAAAAAAAAATGGAACAAAATACGTGTTGCTCTAAATTTGATTCATTATAAATAAATAAATATAACAGAAATAAAATGCACAAAAAAACATTAAACAAGAAATTGTTTAAAATTTTTCTACTTTTTTCAGGGTGAATGAAAGTCATGCGCGAGTGTCGGTCGGTTGAGCGAAGCTGAGTTGCGGGGTTGTCTGATAATCAGCCAAAAATATAAAAGACAATTTCTTTGAATTCTGATCGTTTAAACTCTTCGATTTCATCAGCAAATTTATGAAAATGTCGCTTATTTCCTTCACGCGAAAAAGCGTGATAAGAACATTATTTTAATTGCATGAAATTTGATCGCAATCACGTACGTAACCTGTAAGCTGTTTGTATGTTGTTAATGTCAATTTCATCGCAACAGCTTTTTTTCTGATGATTCATCAAACAAAACGAACATGGACTTTAATAGGTTTATGACCTGGAAATGTAATGAAGAAGAAAAAAATGAAGAATGATCATTAAATGATCATGTCTCGTGGACTACTTATGACTTATATATTTTTTTTCATTTATTTATCCATTTCGAACCGCAATGTGGTGTGGTTGGACTCGAGAACCTTTTCGAAATATCATTTTATTTATGACTGATCATTGACGCTTCTTTCATCATTGTTGTGAAAAGGAAGATGATGATTGTGGTGGTGGTGGATGAGCGAGAAATCGAGAACAGAAGAAGAAAAAATTTATAATAGCGATGTCGTTTTTATTTTTGTCTTCTTGTGATATTTTATATATTCATGAAATTAAAACCATCCAAGTGTAAACGTGCATTGGAGTTCAAAGGAAATCACTCAACGCGGTAATTAAGGTCCACAACAATTGCCAATTTGCATTAACTGCGGAAAGTTTACCGTAAGAATCGCATGGTTAAGATTTACATTTTTTTATTTAATATTTATAACTTCTATAACAGCATTTAACAATCCATTATAAGGCAAAAGGAAGTAAGAGTAAGTGAGAGGGAGAGAAAGCGAGATTTGTTGGTTCAGACAGACACATAAGGATGGTGCACGCAAAAAGTCGTTGAAGGAAATTGTTTGTAAGTAAACAGAATTGCACAATTTGTTGAGTAAGTCCAAGCGAGTGAGTCAAGACGTCGCGATGTTAAACAGTCGTAAATCCCTTCACTGCAAGGCAATGACAGTTTAAAACTTACAACAATTTCAAGGGATTTATTCGAGAGATAAGTCTCACATGAATCTTATATTGATGTTGTTAATATAAGTCTCATAATCATGAAATATCTCGCAATTTTTTTATGACGAAACAAATTATTTTTACGACAGATTATTGATAAATTGTATCGTTAATTGAGTTATTATTATTATTGTTCTTTATTTATTTTTTACTTCTTTTACAATCACATCAATGATTCTGAAGAATATCCCGCACGAACTTAAGTTACAGTTACTTATAGTGCGAAAGTCCCATCATAGTTTCATGATGTAAATTGCTTCATTAATTGCTCTATTCTAATAACTATTAAGTTTCTGAATCATGTCAATCAAGCTTCTCTTATAACTTCAATAACAGCTCATTGCATGCACCCCCATAGCCATTCCGAGAGCCAAGAAAAATAGATTAATTTCCATCGTTAAAAAAAAATCATTTTCGAGAGCGAGAAGCAGGCTGCGATCTATTAATGCAAGAACGAGCACACAATTTCCATCCAGCTAACTTAAATAATATAAAAATAATAAAATTAAATCGTCAAAATGTCTCGATGAAAAGTTTTTCACTTGCTCAAAATTTACTTAAATGACGAGAGAGAAAATTTATTTTACATATTCATTAGATTTCAGCAATGAATTATATTAAAAATAATATCTACATAATATACGACAAGTATAAACAAATGGATCTTCCTCAATTTTCGCGTTTTTTTAATGAATTCATAAGTCCTTGTAGTCAGCAGCTTGCTTCGTTCGTGTATACTTAGATGATGATGTTATTGTGTTAGATATAATAACTATATGACTTTTTTCTTGCTTTTTATATAAAGAAGTTGTGTATGTTTCCCAATTTAATAACTGCGCAGTTTAGCCTTAAACACAGTGTGAGTAAACAATTTGGCTTGGAGCTGAGAGAGAATAGCGATAATACATAGAATACAATCATAATAATCACATTGACGAGTGTGAGTTGGAGCTTGTATACAGCCTGTAGAACGCAACACGAATCGCGCATGTATAGAAGATAGTAGGGAGAAAATCAGCTGTTCAAGTCATCTGTTTCATTTGTAAAAAGTAACTCGACTCAGCTGGTTAATAACAAAACGTTCTGTTTATTAAACAACTTTTTTTTTCTTTTGCTACTCGAAAAGAAAAAAAATTCAAAGACCTAAAGAAATCAAAATTAAATAAACTTTTTTTTCTAGTTTTTCAATAACATTTTGTACGTTGAAGTTTTTCTATGGAATTTTGCAGTGAAAAAGTCAAATTACGAAATGAAAATTTGATGATGAAAAACAGATTTATTTAGACTGAAGGAGAAAAAAAAAAGATTTATATAAAGTGAAATAATTTTATATCTAAAAAGAAGGAAAAAGTGAGGAAATAAATGATATGAATTGGACTCTACGCTCACCATTTATGCATATCAGATTGCATGTGAACTATTGAAATATTAAACTAAAAAAAAAATTGCAGCTTAAAAAGTTTTTTATAAAAAGCTCAAGGTTTTAATTACCCAAGAAAAAAAAACACGAAACAATTTTTCAAAGCAACAAGAAATGGAAAATCATATTACGCCATTATTTGGATCTCAACTCATCAATTCTAGCTCCAAAACACCATACTCCGATGCAACGCAGGTAAGAGGATAATTTTAGTATTTTTTTGCGTCTCAACTTTTATTATTTCTTTCCTCCATTCCCTTCCATCAACATCATCATCATCATCATCTCACTCTCTGCCCTCAATTTGAAAAGGATTTTGCTGCTTGTGCAACATATTGAGGTGGAGAGAAAGAGAAATGTTTCAGGGAGATGTAAAGATGAGAAGAAGAAAAAAAAAGTTTACACAAAATGAATTAAAAGAAACTTTTATTAGAATTTATTTGATTTAATTTTTTTTTATATTATATTTCAAATCGAAAAATAAGCGTACCAACTAATTACTCATACATACACTTTTGAAACTTCTTTAAACTTGTTTCAATATTTCCATTCGCCTTATGTACTCGTTGGGTTTGACTAATAATATTATATGAGTCACTCGAGGAAAGAGAGAGAGAGAGAGAAGAATATGAACGATATTTACATTTACTTTGCACAAGCTTACACACACACACACATAGTTATAACCACATAAGAGCAACACACACTAAGTGAAGATATACAGTAGAATAGATGGACGAATTGTGATATATAATACGCTATAGAGTAAATGTTTGTGTTTTATTATGGCTGCTGAACGAACAAATGCTTCAGATGTTCGATATTCTTGGAGTTTGTTTTCATTATTATTCTATCTATCTCACTCTTCAAATGCAGACCCCAAGATATCTTTCATTGCATTTTGCGTATCATCAAACACATTTCTTTTTTCCTTCTTACTTTTCCATCTTCATGTGTCGTTGACTTAGTTTAAGTTATCAAAAATAAACAGCATTAAAATATGTCGCGATGCATTTCTCTCTTACTCCTATTCTCATTTATTTCACTTAGATATTTACCATAAACAAGCAGCAGGGAACTGAAAATAAATTATGAAGAAAGAAAAATTCTTGTCTCTAAATTTATCTTTTTATATTTTTCGCAAACAAACATCTTAACATGAATTTTATATGTTGGCTCCTGGAATTTTGCTGCTTTTGACTTCACATTCACAACTTGTGTCAGTGTGATGCATCGAATTAAACTTTGTCTTTGATTCACATTCACCGGAAAAAAGCGAACTCGAAGACGAATGCAATTTTTCAATAAAGAAGCAAAAAAGAAAAACCTGGAAAAGAGAAATCCTTAAATCCCTTGCAAATGTTTATTGTGCATGTTCACATTTACTCGGAAATATCTTTTTCCTTTGAAAATGAAATCAATGGTTGAGAAATGAAAAGCATTTCACACAAAACTACACCAGACAGGGACATTAGAGGATAATAACCGAATATTATATTAAGTTTCAAAATCAATTCTCTTCCACAACCATTTCTTTGCGTTGCATGTTGTTAAAGAACTTTGTTCACTTTGTTCAAATCATATTAAAAATTGAAAAAAAAATTTATAAAAATACTTTTCTTAATGATAATGCACGGAGAGTTTTGTGAACTTTAAAGCTTCGTCATGTCCCGTGTCATTAAAAAACAATTCCAGATAAAAAAAAGCACATGGTCGAAGTTTGTTAAGGAAGATTAATGAACGCGAAGCTTCGAGACAGTTTGAAGTATCGTTAGAGAAAGAAAGAGAGAGGGAGAAAGTGAGAAAGAGATAGAAAGAAGAACTGTAAAGTTCATTGAATTATTAATTATGAAGATTTCGTTTATTTACTTAATTTGACGAGTTTTGCATTGAGTTTTGCAAACAAGTAATTCATACATTAAAATTTATTACTAATCATTAATTTCTAGAATTTAGAAGGAAACATCAACGTAGATTTACTGAGAAAATAAAAGCACTACGCGATGAATTAGTTGTAGTAAACATCGTCTTTCTACGTTCTGGTGTAAAGATTTTCGTATCATAAATAATTTGCGGCGCATGTAAATAATATCGCAGTTGATTTTCTCCTGATAAATAAAATTTGTTTTTCATCGAAAACATTATAATCACACGTTGTTTGTGTTTTTATTTTATTTCTCGTATGATGATGATGATGATGACGATTTTATTTAAAGCCAACATCGCACACCTCTTTTATCCCTTCATTTAAACTAGGAAATTTTTTATAAAACTTATCATCATCACACGTGTAAAGACAACAAAATATTTACACGCACTTTAATTAATCAACATGTTTTTATCATTTTTTTTTCAAACTATTTTAATTCGCAGACAAAAAAGCACAGTCCCGGGCATGTGAAACGTCCCATGAATCCATTTATGGTAAGCTTTAAATTTCTACATTATTAGCATCAACAGTCAGTCTAAAGCTTGACATTGAATAATTATTAGCTAGATATTTAAATTAAGCAAGGAAAAAATATTAAATATTCTGACACTTTGCTTCATCCTTATCACAATCGTGTGTTTTATTTTTTCTTCCCCTTCCACCTTAGGTATGGTCACAAATTGAGCGCCGTAAAATCTGCGAAGTCACGCCTGACATGCACAATGCTGTGATATCGAAAAGCTTGGGAGTGAGATGGAAGGCGCTTAATGAAGAGGAGAAACAACCGTATATTGATGAAGCAGAACGTCTGCGGAAGCTTCACTCACAAGAATACCCGGACTATAAATATCGTCCGAAGAAGAAGCAAGCAATAAGTAACACAAAGACGGTTTCGTCTTCAAAGTCCGACAGTCAGCCAAGCAACAACAACATCAGCAACATTTCTTCATCCCGCACCGCCAGTTCACGTAAACGTCCAGCATCAAAGCGAAGCGATAGAAAAAGTGCCAGTAGCCCCAGCAGCAGCATCAGCAGCATAAGCAGTACAAGCAGTGGCAGCAAGAAACCAAGACAAAAGCAACTCCTCGAGAATTCATTGAGCTTTGACGCTTCTGATGGCGAGTACAAAAACTCTGACATTCAGACGCCTCGAAGTCTCTGCTATTCGTTTTCCGCGAGCGACATTCTGCCCAACTCACCCGAAAGTGCAACGCTCTATGACGTGTTTGGTGATCAAAATAACCCAAAGGTGGAATTCTACGAAGCAGATTTATTCAATTCAACGGCAGATCTCAATGAACTCGGATCCGACGAGAACAGTAGAAATTTCACATCAAATATTTTATTTGACGATGCTGATAGTGCTATTGACAATTGTGGTGGTAATAATATGAATGCATCTGAAATACAATACATCACCGATGCCAACATGATATCACATGCGCCGATAATTTTCGCAAATGATGCTGAGAGTGATTATATTGAATGTAAGAACATCATCAGTGTCGATACAAATTTAAATTTCACATCAAATGAAGCTGTCACAGCAGCAACGCCGGTCATTTATCGTCACGATGAACTGAATGATCAAAAGATTGCAACATACAAGTTTGATCACAATTATGATTTCAACATGAGTGATGCTGATTATCCATCGACTGATGTTGCCATAGCGCGGCTTGATTGCAACAAGACTTTGAATTGTGATCAATTGGAGAATTGTGATATTGGTCCGATTGACTTTGATATGAATTCATTCTCGAACATCTCATCGTCGAATTCCGGCAGCCATTTGGAGTTTCTGTCCGAAGATGTTACTGAGTTATTATCGGATTATGGAATTTCGCAGAATTTTCTTATCTAAACAATATCGACGACGATGATGATGATGATCTCATCGTTCGTATGTTGTTGTTGATGCGAGAAACAGCAATTATTCGTGAGTGTTTTTATAGATAAGTCTGTTCACAACAATTTTTTTTAAATCGCATTAAAAGTGACGGAAGTAGGTAGTTGAGGAAGAATTTTTGTGCTCCAAAGCAAAGGGGACCATTCGTAAATAGCGTATGCTGTTGCCTAAAAGCTAGAAGTTGTTTTCAAATTGATTGCTGGCATTCGCCAAATCCGGATGCTTTGGTCCGAGAAGCTTTTTTAATGTTTGTGATGATTATGAGAAGAAAAAAAAAGGTGACAAAGCTTACGAAATGTCCCAGAAATCGTGGTTTTTAAAAAAATGAATCGCTTTAAACGATTTCAAAAAGATTTTTATCAATTTGTGATAAGAAAATTTTCATTTCTCTTTAACCATTTTTCAGTTTTCCTTCTTCAATGAAGCTTTCATTTCTTTCATACATTTGAAGCAATGTTTTTCATTTTTTTTGATAAATAAGAAGGGAAGAAAATAAATTTTTCATTTGTAAATATTTTAAAACAGAAAAGGAACTCAAAAGTTGAAGATGAAATGTTGTACCAGTTCTCAATATATCTCGTTTGTATAAAGTCATTTATAATTTTGCATTCGTGTTTCAATGAAGGAAAAACAAAATAAGAAAAGATGAAATAAAAAGAAAACTTCTCTCATTTATTTTTCCTTTTATTTGCGCTTTTCCTTGAACATTTCTTTTTTCCTACTTTTTTTTTTTGCTTTTCACCTTCAACTTTTTTTTCTGCTTTCGTTCGCGCATTGAATTTGAATGTCGATTCAATTAAATTATTGCGATATGAAATCATGCTTAGATGTTAGGAAGCTTAACCGTTTTTATACATAAAACTATTATCATAAATACATTTATTACTAATAATCGTCCCCATTTTCTGCGGGGGTGGTAGAGTATAAAAATATAAAAAAGAGAGATGACGAAAAAGAAAGTAATTATCCAAAAATAAATCCTAAAACAGAAATAGAAACAATCGAATGAAACCATTTCTATTTAATTTTCGCCGATGAAGGTCTGAAGTAAAACGAAGCAAAAGATTTCTTCACACTTTAAGCTAGATACTCATTTGCAATAGAATGTGAAACATAAAATGCAATTGCATGAAGCTCAAGGACGTGCAGCTTGTTTTCCCCAAAGTCAAATTCACTTCTCCCTCGTTTTTCTTTCTCCTTCGGAAACACTAAAAGCTCTCACTCACTCACTTACTCTCTATCTCTGTCTCTCTCTTTCTCTCGTTAAGAAAAATAAGATATAATAACGATCAAAGTTTATTTCGCCATTTTCACGTCTCATGAACATGCTCTAGATTTTTGAATCCTTTTTGAATGTTTAACCAAGGTGACGTTTTGTTTTTTTTATACATACATATATCTACATAAAAGCGCAAGCTTAAGAAAGCATAAAATAGACCAATAGATTTTTTACAATAAAATAAAACTGTCCGTCAGAGCAATTGCAGATTTTGCAAAAATCAAAAAAAAAAGATAAAAATAAAAACCGATAAATTTTTATTAAGAAAGAAAAAAAAACAGTAATCACATAAACAAATCCAGGAGAAAAGGTAAGAAACGGCTGTGAATGCATTATAAAATGTATGAAAACAAAAAAAAAACTTTAATCATTATCGAAAGAAAACTAACCGATGTGTTTCTCTTTTTACAACTCTTATGCCATAAACTGAAAGAAAAAAAATGGAAAAAAAAGTTACATTACAATTTTGCAAACTAAATAAGTTGTGAGCATGAAAACGAAGAAAAATGTGAAAAAAAAAATTAATATTAAATGTCATTTTCAAAAGCAAGGCGTGATTCATTTGTGACGAATCTGAGATTAGATATTGTTTGCTTCGAAGCTCTATTACTAGAGGGATTAAAACATTGAGAAGTTCTGAACTATTAGCGTCGCTTGTGAGTCTCGCCTTTTGGAAAATAAATTATGATTATAGATAAGAGTTTTTCAGAAGTTTTATTAATAAAACTTATGAACATTAAAAATCACTTAATCTTAGCAATTTGTACTCGACTACATAGAAAGCTTCTTTAATTAAAAAATTGAAGAAACAATTTTTCTCTGAACAGAACTGACCATCGATAAGAATTTTTACAAGTCGTACGACAAGAACATACATAAGTACATAAATTGAAGTAAAAGACTCAAAGTTTTTTTTGTTTGAGTATGTAAGAAGCAAGGAGACGAAAAAATAAAAAAAAGTTTTTAAGAAAACAAACAAAAAACAGATTTATGTAAGGCAGTGGAGGAGTATTTTGAGGGCTTGTGGAAGCAAACAGTAAATAGAGAAAGTTTTTTGAGCTTTTCTTCTGCTGACGAAGCCCGGATGTTCATCGACCATCCATATATAATTTAAATACACAGAAATAACCAACAAAACATACAAACACCTCTCCCAGATGATAAACTGCCACAACAAAATATAAAAACAAGGATTGTGATAAGTGAATAAGTGACAGAACATATTTTGTATTACATTTGAATTCATTATTAAACTTAAGAAATGAGAATGAAAGAAATAAGAAAAAAAAACTTCTTTTGTATAATTTTTTTTTAAATATTCGATAAAGAGATTAATAAACCATTTGATATCTAACAGAGTTTGGATTTGACTTTTACTGTAGTTGACATGAATTTTATTTTTGTTTCAGTGTTTCTATGTACATTAGATTGTTATTTATCTGAGTACTTATCGAGGGACGCAACAATATTTCAGTATTAGCACTCAACAATGCATCAAAGTTTTCAGCTATTACTGCAATAAAAATAAAAATAAAAAAAGACTTCTCAAGGATAGCCATCGAGTTTGTTTGCAATCATTCAGCTCTGCTAAGTTATTCCCCTTGAATAATTAGAGCTTTTCAGAATTTATGGACAAGAAAGAACTTCACATAAAAATTTCCTTGGTCGTAAAAATTTTGGTGGAGTAAAGACGAAGCTTAGAATACTTTTAGCAAAAGCAGAAAAGTCTGAGTGTGAGATTGGAGAAATGAAACCCAAACAAAATTTATACTGACACCAATAGCTTGCTTTCTATACACTCACAGACATCAGCAGTAAGCAAAACCAAAATGTGAGTATGAAAACTATAACGTAGAAGAAAAAAAAAGCTGAAATAAAAAAAATAAGTAAAGTACATAGCAGCAGCAAGCAACTCATACACAAGTCGGCGGAGAGAAAAATCGATGGAAAGAAAAACGCTTTTATATTATATTTCTCGAATCCATGACCTCGCCACAGCCAGAAGTTCAAAGTACTCTCTTTCGTCGGCTATGTGCTTCACACGACTCTTTTCCTCGCAAAAAAAATATGACAATACGCAAAAAAATGTTTTTTTTTCAGTTACAGACATTTGCCATTAAAATAAAAAAAAATAAAAAAAGATTCAAACTCAAAGTAATGACATATTTGATTAATTTTAATGTTTAATTTATTCCAAGAAGCTTTTTTTTCTTCTGCTTGATTCTCAGGGCGCTCTTTTCCATAAATAAATTCCATTTTTAGATTGGTTCGCAACTAATCTAAATTAAGCTGAACTTCCGTATTCTTGCGTAGTAACTCGCTTCGCTCGTGTGTTGAGAACGTCGCTTTATGCGAAGTTGTTAAAACTTTTAAGCAAACGCTTCTCAAACTAGAAACTTCAACCATTCCATTTGCTATCATTGACATATCATTTTGAAAAAAATAAGAAAAGAAAAAGAAAAAGAGAGCTTTCAATAGTATTACTATGTAAGTTGATTGCAATTACTTGAGAGAATTCCATGCAGCATAACATGAAGCGGTACGTGCTTTGAAACATTGTAAACAATCTACTCGAAGTCGAACTCAATTGCCTATAATATTTTCTACCATTTCCAACAACGTCAAAGCTGAAAAACGCGCGCGAGAAGCCCGCAAGCTGTTTACGAAAAAAAAAATGTTATAAAAATATATATAAAGGTTTCATGACCTTGTCACTTATATATTGTGCATCCACCACGAGTATAATTGTTTTTTGTGTATTTACACTCTAATTTAATATCGTTGCTCGTTTTCATTCGAGAGCTTTGATAGTCTACAGTGATATTTTTATTTTTACTTTTTTTTTCGTATACAAAAAAGATTATCAAAAAAAAAATAACACAAGTTCAAGGAACTCAAGAGGAGAAGAGAAAAAAACGTCGTTTCGTGTATACAACAAAAAAAAGACGCGTTTTTCGTGTCAGAAAACCATCAGACTATCGACATGGCTGGACATGATGATACTTGTGTAGAACAGAAACGAACAGAACATAACACCAGAGAACGGAACGGAACTTTAACTTTAACATACTTTAAGACCTCGTCCAACGGTCGCAAAGAACACGACGCGCAATTGATGAGTCTGAACTCGTTCATTACCTTCTCCAAATGACTCAGATCTGTAATTGAGTTTCAGGAAGCTTCAAGCAAACTTCGTAACCATTCCTTACACGGGGGAAGGGAGAAAGAAAGAGACTTTGTAATATAAAACAAATTAATGAGTTCGAGCAACTGACACTGCATGATTCATGAACGTCGTTTTAATTTTACTTTTTATTTGTTGAAAAAAAAAAGAAATAATAATAATAAGCTACGCGGTTGATTTATAATGAGAAGACAATTAGAATTTAATGTTGTTTATAGGCCCGTACGTAAGTAGTAAGTGCGAATGGTATGGGCATGGAAAAACTTCAAGGCCGACAATCAATAACAATATTCAAACAAGCGCATCAACTGGAAAAATCTTTTGAATTTCAATCTAACATTGTTCAATCGTAATTTGTAGATATTTCATTCATTTCACGTATCGACAAACTTTTAATTTTTTTTTTCTATACATTTTCAATTGCGCCCAACAACGGACTTTGATATTCTCTCTATTTGCTTAATAAATCTTTTACAATTTACATCGCCATTGCGCTGTATGAAGGCGGTGAAGGAAAGTGAGAAATAAATTGTGTGAGTGAGTGAGAGATATAAAGTGTGAGTGAGTGAGGTGGGAAAATTTACGAGAATTTCACAGCTGTGCGTTTTTTCCGGAAAAGTTCGTTTTGAACGTCGATGGAAAGAAAATTTATTTTCGCTTACTCACTCACGATACGGGAGGGAAATTTTCACGATTCACATGCGAAGATCGCTTGCAATTCGAACTACAAAAATGTCATGGAACGTGGAAGTGAATTTTAGTAATTAAAAAAATGACGCAATTCAACTTTGGAACGTTTATTTGTTTATGATTTTCCTCGTCACTCCATTTTACGCGCAATTATTTTATCTGCATTGCGATTTCCAATTGCACGTTTTACGAATAAATTGTAAATTTACTTTGTGGTTGTTTTTATATTCTGAAAGAGAAATGTTGACAATTTATCTGAACAACCACCACCGTGTGATGTTCGTGTTGTCCACGTGTTCTTTGTACAATCAAATTCCATCATGAAATTCAGAAGTTTACTGCAAACTATCATTAAATTAACATCCCCGACAATTATTGTAATGAATACGACACTTTTAGCCATTAAAGTTATTTTTATTTAAGACTTTCTTACTCCAACTTATACAATTAATTTTATATTGTGTAATGTTCAAAAACTTATATTTAATCCGATGATGTTTCTTTTATTTATCCTGTGATTGGAATTTCCTAATCGTCACATTATTTTGATGAAAGGAAAGAATTTTCTTTCGTTAGTGTTTTGAAATTGTACTCAAATCTAAATTTTCTTAAAGTCATTCAAAGTCTTTTATCATTGTTCTCGAACATTAACAACACTTGAACGAAATTTCATCAAATTTTGTAAACCCAAAGTGCTTGAATCTCAAACACCATCAAATTTCCTTTACCAATCCAAACAAAAGCCAATTTTTCTGATAACAAAATAAAAGTGACGACAAGTTTTCCATTCTTTTACATTAAAAAAAACCCTTAAGAAATGACATCATGATTAAAAATAATGAAAAAAGTTGTACAAAATGTATTTTGTATTTAAAGTGGAACTGATAAGGAAAAAAGATTGAAATCAATTTCATCACCCATTGAAATCCTAAACAAGTTCGACATTTATCAATCGAAAAGTTCAAGTTTGTTTGTTATTTTAAATTACCGCGAAATTTCTTTTTTTTTTCATCGTTCTTTTATGTTTACGTCAACTAAATTTATGATATTGATTTCACTTCAACTGATGATAATTATACATAGGAATAATAATAATGAATTAATTCTTCATTCTTATTTAGTAAAAAAAAGAAAAACCAAAGAACAGAAGAAATTTGGATGATTGGATGCAAGTTTTTAGTCTTCCATGCTTTCATTGTTACGTTCTGGTGAATGATTTGCTGATCCAGAACGTGAGCGTGACTTGTCATTCTTGTCTTCAGAACGTGAGCGATCACTGAAAATAGAAAAGCAATGCCAAACATTTACATTAAGTGAAAAAAAAAACATTTCAATAAACATTAAAACGAAATTGTTGAAAGTCATTTGAATTCGATTTAAAGCGAAGTGAGAGAATTCTATGCTTATCAGGGATCGGAATGAACTACTTTGTGGCATATTTTTAAACGACTTCAGATTATTAATAACATAAAAACAGGAAATATTGGAAGTGTTCATAAAAATTAACATCAAAAATTGTGATCACTTACCGTGATCGTGATTTTCCTTTCGACTTATCCGATGCATTGCTTGCACTTCTATCGCGATTTCTATTTGAAGCTTTGCTGCCACTGCGATTTGAATCGCGGCTACGAGATCGAGACTTTTCAGAATATTGAGAACGCGAACGAGATTTCTTTTCAGCTGGTGACTTTGAGCGACTTCCACGAGATTTTGAACGACTACGAGACGAACGACGTGAACGAGATCTGAAAGTATGCATTCAATTCCAATAAAGAATCGTTTTTTAAGTTCCGACTAATTACCTGGTGCGACGACGATTGGAACGAGAACGACTACGACTTGATGATGACCGGGATCGCCCACGGCGACCACCACCATTGCGTCTCTTATCTTCCACCAAACGAATACGACGACCATTCAATTCCGTATCATCCAACTTCTCAATAGCTGTTTTCATGTCCGAAGCTGACGCAAACTCAACAACCCTGAGAATGAAAAAAATAATAATAAAACATAACGTGCATTCAGTAACATTAAATTCAAGGACTTTTTTTCATGCACCACTTCGTGCATGCTTTGGTTTTATTTCAGTATTCAGTTAGAAGCTTGTTTAGGGCAGTGATTATCAACCTTTTCATTATCTCTCTACAAACATTGCACATTAAAATGAAGTGAATGAGGTTGAGCATCACTGACTATTAACTTCAATCACACAACATCAACTCACCCTTCATTGCGATTCTGCTTGTGCGCATCTGAAAATGCAATAAAAAAAATATGTTTAGCATTGACGGTTAATCTCATTGTTGTATATACCAAATTGTTGATAAATACTTTGACACATACCAGCATAGGTGACTTCTCCAGCTTGTCGCATATAGTCTTTAAGATCCTAATCAAAAGATAAGCAATAAATCAAGGTGAAAAATGGATTCTAATGGCCTTCAAAGGGGAAGCGATAGTTAAAAAAAGAAATGTAATTGTTGCATCATATTTTCTTCTTCTTTCTTGTTTTAATGGAAATCTCTTTTGTCTCATCATAAATTGTTAACTCTTCAAATGATCTCGGATGAGTGAATGAAGAAAGTAAAAGAAAAACAGATTTTTGTTTGAGGTACTTCATTTGAAGGTTGAACTTAATGCAATGGAATTTAAAATTCATGATGATAACAAGGTAAAAAGGAGAATCTCGCGAAGGATGTTTAATGTTTCGAGTCGAGGTCGGAGTTATTGGAATGATTCCATTGAAATGGGTGGTGGTAGTGATGGTTGTGGTTTGTTTCTTTAAAAATCGGGGGGAAAAATGTTGATACAAAAAAATCTCATGAAACTTTTTCAACATTTCTTGAAACTTATTTTCTAAAATTTTACTTAAAGTACTTTTTTTTCTTCATATTCTATGATGATTGAAATAAATTAATTAACTTGATTGCGCATTAAATATTTAATCGTGCAGTTTTCGTTTTCATTTATTTTTCGTTATCAGCTTCAATGTCATTGACTATTTCTTAAGGCAATTCGCGATTACAAAAGATAGACGCGTCAATTTAATTTTTGCTTCATTTTCTAGGTGACTTTTATGACAAAACTGCACACAAAGAGAGATTTGCAATCTTTGTAATCAGTCAAGTAAGTAATAAAGCAAGTTAGTTGCATTTCGATTTGTTATCAACAATGTCCTAGTTCGAAAAGTGTCTAGATCAAGGAAGGTTTAAGACAACTCGCGATATCTCAGACCAACTAGCTCAGTACTTGTTCTTGTTGTTAGTTTCAGGAAATGAAAATCATAAAAAAGACAAATAATAACAAGAGAAATGCGGGGGAAAACCCAAAAAAATAAGAGAAAAATAATAAAAACGTGAAAGTTCCAGATAATTAAAATTTGTTTTGCTTGTTTTTTTTATCTAACAAAATTTAGATTAAAGAATCAAAAAAGTATACTTTTGTCTGCTTATTTGCGATCATATTTCTAGTTCTATGTTTATCGTCTACGACATCTCTCATTCAATTGCGTGTGAGAAAAGGATTTTGCGTAATCATAATGCGTTTCGAAAAGTGTGTGTGAAGAGCCTTCTTTAACACGAGCCCACATTTTTTTTAGATTCTTAGATAACTTTTTTTGTGCTTTCTACGAAATCGATCGAACATTTATGTCCTCTTTCTCTCTCTCTCATTTTCTGTCCCTTCGCTTAACATCATCAGCCAGAGATCGTCAGTTACTGTGAGGGATGATAACAACAAACAACTATAATGATTTTTTTGATCTTTAACTAAAGAATTAAGATAATTTCTTTGGCTTTTTGTTCGCACATCTTCAGGTCAGGTCAGTGAGATAATAACAGTGTTAGCATGAAGAGAAGTAAGGATGACCTCGTCAGTATAGAAGCAATTCTATGTTTATGTTTATGAAAATCATCATCCACATCGTTTATCGGAAAGGGCGATCAAATAAGCTATTCAACTGGCTGGAACATTGTCGATTAATTGGCACAGACATCATTTGGTAATCATGATAAATAACTCTGAGAACTACACACGTCTTTAGCGCCACACAGAATTTAATCGTCAGCCTCTTTGTCTCGCGCGAGCACGTCAACATAAGGACCACACTTTATCCCAATTTCATGTTTCGGTCTCACTCTCATATTGCGGGGGGGGAGGAAGGAGGCTCACTTCGAAAAAACATATGGAATAATAACATATTGTTTACTTCATTTGTCCATCTACTAATTATTAATTTGTTTTGATTTCTTTTTTTCGGTTTTATCATCATTTTTTTTGTCTTTAGATTGAATTTAATTTACATACCTCTAGGTCTAAGTAAAAATATATTTATATATATATAATTATATATAAATGTATCAAGCCAATAACATAACACAAAACACGTGCAGAAATAATGCTTTTTATAGCTGCTTCTCATGTTATGCCATCAGCTTTCAACAATAATGTGGTTATAACAAATCATATTTCTAATCTAAACTCTACTGGTTAGTGAAAGTCATTTTTTGGTCAATTCCGACGATATTTTTGCTCTTATATTATGAGTGAGTTTCTCGTATTTCTTATTTCTTCTGACTTGTGTGCCTAATGAACTATGGAAATGTTTCGCGTAGGTGTAATCACCTTACCATTTTTTATTACGTCGGCAATGACCAAATATAATAAAAAAAAAGAAAAATAAAAGACCGAATGTCCATATAAAGAGATGACATCTTTAAATTTGCTAGTATAATGCTCTCATAAGCAAGTTGCGAGTTATGCATACACACACATGACGACTAAGTTTCACCGGATTTAATGAGAAATCTCGACATTGATTACAAGAGCATGTTAGCAGCATTGAGAACTGCCCGAAAACAGAAATCTTATCAACAACGATTCGAATAGAAATAGATGTAAAAAAACGCATGCATGTTGACGATAATGAAATGAATGTCATGTACATACCTGCCAGCTCACACGCGATGACAAATTCTCAACAATCAAACGATATTCGGTCCGTAATGGTGGCCCATAGCGAGAACTATTGTTTCTGGAACTATTATGTCTGGGCGTGAATGATTTGTGATTGAGAGAAAAAGAAATTTGTTTTTGGTACTTTTTTTTATGGTTCAATTAAAATGGAGAAATTTTGAAAGATTTTTCTACGAAAAGAAGAAGAATGCAAAAAAATCAACTTTACGAATGGAGAAGAATTTTATATCTTTCGACATTGACCCAGTTCGTGTTGACTTTTTTTCTTTCTTTCCCATCAACTGGAGTAATAATCGTGAACACCAAAGTTTCATAAACTTTTCTCTTATCTCTAGAGAGCTTCAGGAATGATGATTTATGATAAATCTAAATTAATTAACAACTCACCTATCATAACGTCCACCACCTCCACGTCTATCATAGCGATCATTATATCTGTCACGATGACCACCCGATCCTCTTGCTGTTCCTCGTGCGGGTTCAACCACGACCCTGCTTATGTGTATGAAAAAAAAAGGAAATCAAAATTAAAATTTAGAACTTTACGTGATTCATTATCGATAGATAACAATGCTGGACAACCATACTGACCTCTCGCCTAACAATTCCTTTCCGTTAAGTTCATAAACAGCGTCATCAGCATCACGGTAATCCTCAAATTCGACAAACCCATAGCCATTCTTGATCAAAATATCGCGTGTTCTGCCATAGCCTTTGAAGAATTTCTCCAAATCCCGTTCTCTGGTTCCATAAGGTAATCCTCCAACATAAACTCGTGATCCAGGCATTTTATTGTTAATTATTTCTAAAAAATATAAAATGCGCGTTAAAAATATTTTTTCTTTGATCTTTTTTTTCAAAATGGCTGAATTTTTTCACACCGGTTTGTCGATTAAATGATTTGAAAACATAAAACTTTATCGAAGCCTTCAAGCTCTACATTTATCTTATTACTAACCTTTGCTTTCTTATCTGAAGATTGTTATTATTTTCAATTCAATTTGTCACGTATTTCTGTATCAAATCTTAATAATTATTTATTAACACGTTTGTTCTTTCTGATATTTCCAAATCGTTTGAAGCTTGATACCCTTATTTTCAATGGGTGCAAAACTTTTCTTGAAATAAGTGTCTAAAGTGTCTTCACATATATGACGCACATGCGGAAATAAATGAATTGATGCAAAAGCTGTCATTATCTGAAAAAAGATGGAATTTTTTAAGTTTTTATTAAAATTGTTATCATTGCCAACTCATTTATAACTTATGAAGGTCAAACACATTACATTTAAATGAAATATGTCAACTTCTTCATATTTTAACTGAAAATTTGAAAAAAGTTCAAATTTTGTACTCTTTTCCTACTCCTTGAAATGAATCATAACAAAACGAATTCCGAGAAAGTTAGTAAATTAGAAAAATCTTTTGGTATTCCTTTTAGAATAATTAGATATGAACCGTGTAAATAATAAAGCCTCAAGGCTAATAGAGTTATATTGTGAAATAGAGCTTAAGAGTATTGAAAACGAGCCAATAATTACAAAAATAAATCCAATTGATTATCCAGATGGAGATGTTTTAAAAATAATTCCTAATTTTTGTTATCCGTACAAAAGTAAAGTGGAGAAGTAAGTGAATTGAATAATGACATTAAATGATTGAATTGTTAAAATAAATGTATTTTTAGAAAAAATTCTCCGTTATCGTACTCGTTCGTGCTAACGAATGAAAGTTTTCAATTTGGTTTCGTTCGGAAAGAGATTGGAAGTTTAAAATCTGTTGTGATTTTATCATACTGGCCGTGGCATGATGTTTTCTTAAAGTTTCTCAACATTCTCGCTGATATTAGAAAAAAAGTGTCTGAGAAAGAGTTTGATACGTTTCTCAGTTCGGTGTTTAGAAAGACAATTCCCGATGAACACAATTTAATTAACTTGACTTTCTCGAATAGCAGTGGAAATGTCTTTCAAGATTTAATTTTTAGAAGACCGCTTAGTAGACAGTTACCATCAATTCCAGAAAATCATAATTTAAATCTCTTCTTCAACTACATTGAACCGAAGACGATGATTGAAATTTTTGCAGCATTACTAGCTGAACGTCGCATAATTTTTGTATCAAATAATCTCGATAAATTATCGTCCTGTCTACAAGCATCATGTTCACTTCTCTTTCCTATGATTTGGCAACACATATACATCCCAATACTACCAATGAAGCTAAAAGATTATTTATCAGCACCAATGCCGTAAGTTTCCATTTGAACGAATTTTTTGATTATTTATTTGAATAAATTTTCCTTTCTTTCTAACAGTTTCTGCATTGGATGTCCAGAAGCCGTCTTCGATACTGTCAGAAGAGAAGAAATTGGAGACGTTGTGATAATAGATTGTGATAGGAACTGCATTGAGTCGCCTCATAATGATATTGCAGAAATGCCACAAGACATCGTCGCGTATTTGAAGAAACAATTAACAAACCCATCAGCTGATTTACGAGGCAATCGAATACCGAAAATATTTCTCAGTTCTCTAGTTCAGATCATTGGAGGCTATCGAGATGCTATTAAGTACACGGAAAATAAATTAAAATTCGATAATGACGTTTTCATCGACTCACAATCGCCTTCGAATAAAAGTTTCGTTCAAAAGATTGTGCAATTGCAAATATTTCAACAATTTGTCGAGGAACGTTTGAAGCTCATCCAAAATGGTTCGGAAATGTCAGATGAATTCGAAATGGAAGTTGAACTTCATGCTGAACGTATGGGAAAGAAATTTAATCAGTATAAGGAAGTTTTTAGAAACTTTCGTAGTCGTGCAAATCCAGCAATGAAAAATGCTGTGAAGAGTGTTCGAGCAACGTGCAAAGAATTGAAGCTTAAGATTAAAGATAGTTCACAAAAACCTGAAAAATTTGATTATCTCGGCTCGATTTCAGTTCCTAGAAAGGAGAAATCATCTTCCGATCCTTTCCCATCCTTTCAACAATTCTATCCAAGTGGATCAAATAATTTAATTGAAAGTCCATCAACTAGTAGCAGTCAATCAAGCACATCAGACATGAACATCCTTCAAGAGCTTGAAGCTCTGCCAATTTTTAAAGCAACATCATCAGCAGCAAACGACTCAGAACACTCAACGACATCACAAGAAATCATAAAAGACGAATGTAATTTAATTGACTTAAGTGACAGTATTGACAGTATGCAATTTGATCCACTCGAGATTGACGAGCGAAAGAACAACATTAATAATAATCTTGCAAGCACAAAACATCGCAACGATCCTTTTGGGAGTTCAGAACTTTTGCGTGATGTTGTCGATGAACTTAATCGGTCATCAACAACCGTCGCTTCTAAACGATCAAATTGGACAAAGTTTGAGTAGAAGAAAAGAATTTGTGTCAATTTTTGATGTCAAATTATGACGACGAATGGTTTTCATGTTTGTAATGTGCAAAATTATGTGCAATTAAATTTTGTTTGTTGGTTTTTATTTAGGTCAAAGTCGAATAGTAATAAAGCGAGGGTAGATTGAAAGAAGAATAATTAAATTTTATTTATTTTTATTTATGTAATGTATCAAATGTCAAATCGATATTCTCGATTTTGTCACGACTTTCCATGTTCATCATGTCCTTGTTTGCTGTTTCATCTTTTTGATGGGAGAAATTTGAAAGCCATGACGAGAAAGTTGTTTTTGCGTTTGAAAATGTGTTGTTGACTGCTTGGTTGATTTTTCTTGCACTTTGTGTGTTGTTTATGCTCCTAAACGAATAAAGAAAAAATGAAAGTTTAAAAATAGAAAATTATTTCAGAGAAATTGAATGATTGGACGACACTTAACTGCACAATTTTATTCTTAAAATCTGAAACATTTCTTGCATTGTTTCGTCTCGCAAATGGATGGCCACGAGGGAATGTGTCGAATGCACTGACGCCAGAACCGCTTGAAGTGCTGGTGATTTTCTTTGCAAGCCAATCTTGATAATTGTTCGATCTCACCCACACTTCCATGAAATGTTCATTGAAACATTCCCAATCTTGACGATTCTCAGAATCGTATGCTGTTCTTAACATTGAGGTGAAATAACTTTCAAATTGTTCCCTAATCCAGCTATCAGTCCCATAACCATCAGCTCTTGGATTCTCAATCCCTTTAATGACATGATCGTAGAATCTTAAGTCTTCTGTCGTCAAAGCTAAACACTTTTTAATATCGAGATCGATGAAATCAATTGTCTGATTCGTCACATCAATCATAACATCGACGAGATTTTTCTTTTGTTGAAATAAAACATTTGAAGCTCCAACAATGAATCCATTATGTGACTTGTCAGTTAAAACATCAAAATAGTGAAGAGATATAAATGGCAAGCATAGAAAACCATTACGGAAGATTTGTAACGGTGCTAAGTACTCAGCAGGTGGAATGGCTGTGAAGAAAAATAATTTTCATGCTTAAATAGCTGAAACAAGAAAGAAAAGAAAAATGTATTACTTGGTAAGATTGTGATTTGTTTCACACAATCTATGTCATCAGATTTATCAGAATCTGGCGTTTTATCAATGACTGGAGTTGTTTTCACATCGAATTCTTCACATTCCGACTGCTCGAATGTCAAATCCTTCGATCCAAAGTCATTGCACAGCCCGTCACTTAAAAGTTGTGGGTGAAGTGAGATGATTGAGAGAATTGTTGCACAAACAGGTTTCACTGGAGATCCAAAGAACAATACTCGCTTCTCGATGAGAAGAAGTTTGAACAGAAGAAGAATTTTATGGCGCCAGAGCAGAATTAATTCTCTCAAACATGTTTCAATGAAGAAATCATTAAGAAATTCATTGCCGTTAGAATTTTCTGGTGATTTTAGCATTCTTAATGTTAAACATCGGTTCAGCTCGTTGTAAGATTCCCTCAGAAATTCACTGCAATCAAACATTCCATGCTCAAATATTTTATCAACAATGATATTAAGTTTCACTTCAATGTAACCAAAGAGTGGGAGGCGTGAAAGGCAACAGACCTGTTAAAGAAAAAATAAAGTTAAGTTCCGGGAAATAAAAAACATATGGAAGTGCTTATCAACTACTTACAGATTTCTGAACTGAAGATCGCGAAAATTCGTCATTCTCGCTACGATTTGTAAGTTTCTCAATTGGAATTTGTCGGAAGCATGAGACGCCTAATGACAATCGAGGAAGTAAATATAAATGAATCATCACAACATTCCATCAAACTCACCAAAAACTTTTTTGCTGTCGTTTGCCGAATCTTTATTTGGTAAAATGAAGTAAACGCTGTCACTTTCGAAGTTATGAGATTGATCCGGTAAGCAGAGTGTAGGTAAATGTTCCATGTCGATATCTATTGCACATATCTCTGGGTAAGAGAACTCTTGAATCCATCCTTTCTTGTGATGGAATCTTTATAACAAAACAATGAAAATGAATTGTGAAAATAAATATGTTGAAATATCTCGATAAATGATTTCATAATTACCCAATAAGCGATATCTGTAAAATCACTGGGTCATCAATAGATTCCTCCATTAATACTTTAACTACTCTATATTATCATATGGCAGAAAAGGAGTGAAATGTTACGTGTATGTAAGTTCTTTTAAATAATTCAAATAATTTTCTTTCTTTTATTTTATTAATTTTTATGTACACAAAACAGAGGGCGCTGCTGTACGATTAAAGTGGGTGGTTGAAATTTTCTTAAAAATATTCACTGACTCCATGAGAAAAGGAATTATTTAAATCGTTCAAAATTGAAATGAGTTTATTGCTAAATTTAAAATAAATGTTTATACACGATTCTTAAAAATTCTCGAATTCGATTTTATGAATATTTAACGGGCTTTTGAAATTCAAATATCATTCTTATAGCTTTGAAATAATAAGCTAAACCACACGATACGAAGTAGAAAATAAAATTTTTACGATAATTTTTAAAAACGTTTTTACTCCATTTCTAAATTATTTAATATTCCCTTTTTTAAATGGCGAACATTATAGATATGATTGAAGATGGGGAAGTGAGTAAAAAGAATATTGTTCTGATATTTTCAAAATAATGTGACATTTACAATTTTAGATTGAAAACGACAGTGATCAAGACGAAGAAGTTTACAGAAAAGTCGACCGGCCTCAATCAGAAGCTAATTTAGCTAAGAGGACACAAGACACATTTAACACAGATTCATCAGAAAGTTGTGATTCTGATGATGGGAGTCGAAATAAGAAATTATTAATGAAAAGATTTCAGCAGTAAGTAAAGTTGAAAGTTTAATTAAATTTAGGTCATTCAGATTCATTCAAAAAAAAAAAGAACTTTAATAAGTTAAATATGTTTTTCTTTGTTATTAAGTGTGCAACCAGCTTCTACCAACAGTGCCTCACACAGTAAAAATGGGAATCTCTGGAAGAATATGCTACAGGAAGAAACTCTGATGGAGAACTTAAAGACTTGCGATGTGTCTTCGTCGAGAAAGAGGAAATATGAGCGAGGAGCTGAAAGTTATGACTTTGAGAATGCCCAAAAAGATCATGAGATTGATGAAATTAGCTTTATAAAATCACATAAGTAAGAAAACTTTTCTTTTTCTCTTGTCGAATATTTTCACATTTCTTGTCATATTTAGACGTCGAAAAATGGACATTAGTGGGAATGAATCATCGTCTTCAAATGCTTCTTCACGTTCTGCTAAACGAGCAAGAAAAAACCGCTACAAACAAAGAAGAAAACAGAGAAACACTTCACCAAGAATTCTGTCTGATCTTTCACTTGGTTTTAATAGCACTGACGAAGAGTTTGGAATTGAAATGGCTCAAAAGTTGGAAGAAGAAAAAAGTGAATTGATTGTAAAAGTTGTGTCTGTGATTGGTAAGGAAGCAAGTCTTAATTTGTTTAAAATAACACAAAAGATTGAAGTTGAGGGTGGAATGATGACGATGATGAAGAATCGACGAAGAACTCCTGGTGGAATTTTTCTCTTTCTTCTTAAAACGTCTGACAAAATTGATGAGGAGTTAAAGAAGAAAATCTTCGATTCTGAAAGAAAAAGCATCGAGAAAACAATTGTAGAACGTAAGATGTCAAGCGAGCAATCAGAAGCTAAAGATCCACCAAATTCACCAGCAAACTCCGAGTTTATTGAAATCAATGGCAAAATTACTGACCCCGATTTGGTTTCACAAAAAATCCTCAACTTTAAGCCAGAAGCAGCTGCTGATCATGGAACAGCCAGTGAAGACGTTCTCGATCTTGATTACAGTTACGATGACATGGAAACATTTTAAATTGAATTAACAAAAAGATTTCGTCTTTTTTTTTGAACACAAATATTTGTTTAATTTATTTGTCAAACTACTACTCTTAGTAGTGAATTTTCTAATGAATAAAAAGTTGAAAAGTTAAGATATTTCCTTACTTCTATCCACTCATGAACATAATTGATATGAAGATGTTACAGATATTTTTCATATGTTTGTTAATTAAGCTTTGCTTCGGTATTTTCTTACTAGCATCGCCCACACATCAGGATATCGTGTCTGGAGGAAGCTGATGAGCTTTTGCGCATTTTGTGCTTGTTGTTTCGTGCAATTTTTACAATTACGGACGATGACCTCGGGAAGTGCTGCTTTCAACTGCTTGCCTAGATTATCACATGGCGACCTGTCCAACACGCACATTATTTGTCTGGAAATTTAATTTTCATGTTAATTAATTGCGGACTTTAAATAAATAAAATGAAAATATTTTTATTCTTACCTCGACACAACCACTTGGTTATTCAGGAGTTTATTGATATTTTGTGGGGAATCATCTTGAGCATAAACCCAAGATTGATTAATTATTAAAATCAACAAGAATAAATGGACGAACGTGAAGTTTTTCATTGCAAAAAAAATTTTCTTCCTTTTTTCTGGACTTTTTTTTCTCCTTTCTCAGAAAAATATTTTTAAGATTGTACTAGAAGCAGAAAGGACAAAAGATATCCTTTGTGTATTTATACCTACACTCCCACGCAAATCTAGTCTGTAAAAATGTCAATCGCACGTGCGAATTCCTGCACATGTTCGAAAAGAATGAAAGGATGAAAGAGAAGAAAGAAATGAAAACACAACACAGCATGATTCTTGAAGCATAAAAGCGATTAAATATCTCTTTATTATTAATTGAAATATATTTTGTATCTTTTTATCCAAACATTGATTGAGGTGCAATTTAGGAAAAATGAAAATTTAATTTTTTCTTTCTAATTTTTTTTTTTTGTGACAAATTTACTTTAATCATAAAAATTAAGACAAGTTTTCTTTTAAAAGCTATAAGGAATAAAATTCCCATTGCAAGCACTTAAGATGTGCTGCGGGAGTGAAACAAAAAAGAAAATGTTAAGAAAGCATCAAGAAGCTTTTTTTCCGATTATTTAAATTGTTTGCTTGCGTGCAGAAATCTTAAAATCTATTAATTAATAAAAACGAATATGAAACGTTTTTAATCGAAAAGTTTTCGTGTAAAATCGACGTAGTCGAGTGCGCCGGTGACTGAATGACCCGTCTTTTGATCGGTGTAAGGCTTCATGCGCTGAACACAGTAATCGGCCATTTCCTTGGTGAGGTTCTGTAATGAAATGATGAAAGTTAATTAATTATCGTTTAATTTTAAATTATTTAACAAATCTCACAGTATAAAGTTCATCCTTCGTGACATATGGTCGATCAGATGCGGTGATTGCACGGAAAGCATTTTCGATTTCTTCATAGCTCTGAACGTTCTCAGTTTCTTTCGATATCATGAAGGCAATGTACTCTTGAAGTGACACGTAACCATCACGATTAGGATCGACAACGTTGAGAATCTCTTCGAATTCTGGATCGGGTTGTCCTTCTTCCACCATCGGCAAATCATAGCCAAGTGCTCTTAAGCACGACTTGAACTCTTGTTGATTCAATTTTCCACTTTTGTCCTTGTCGAAATGCTTGAACATCATCGAGAACTCCTTAAGAGAATCTTCAGACACTCCCGATTGATTACGTGCTTGAATCTGTTGCTTCAAGTTATGTTGCATTCTCATTGCCAGCTGATCTAATTGATCCCATTGTTGTGCCAAACCAACAGTTGAATGTTCCGTGTAGCGATTATCAAGAATCAAATTTTCTTCCAATATTGCGCCAAGTTCTTCAATCTTCTTCAAGTCACCACGACGAGCTCGAATTTCGTTTGCTTTGTGACACAAAGCTTCGAATTGTTCTTCAAGTGACCCTGAACCATCCATCAACGATGTCCTGGAAAATAAATGACGAAATGTTAGAAAATTCTAAATAAATTAACTTTCTCTTTCACATCGATTCATGAAAAGCTTGTCAAGTTAATTGCATTCATAGAAGCATTAAAATTGTTCGATTTGTTAATAAATTTCAACACAGACAACGACTGAAGTTTTGGGAATAATTTTTCTCAAAGCTGAGCATTACCCATTTCTATCCCATCCAAGAATGTTGAATCTAACAATAAGATTTAATTAAATGTTTATGAACAAAAGAATTTTGAATTATTTTTCTGTCTATTTATGATTCTACCAGTGAAAAAAAATCTTTTTTGATGTGATTTTTATTAATTAACTTACCGAGTTTCTGTCAACCACTGATGGAATAAGTTTGCATGCTTGGCAAACTCTTTACGCAACTTATCGTTCTCTTCTTGACGATAAGCTTCCTTTGCCAATTCACCGTCACGTTCATCGATAATCTTTTGCAAGTTCTTCCAAGTGTCTTCAAGCGCTTCCATTGTGAACCAAGTGTATGGATTTGGACCAACGTTGAAGCTCTTTATCTTTTGATCAAGTGCAGCAAGAGCTTGGAAGTCAGCTTGGGCTGATGAGAGACTTGCCTGGAACTGTGCATGAGCTTCACGCAATGCTTTGATTTCTTCAATTGAGTTGCAACGAACTGGATCAGTTAAATCTTCCTCGGCATTCTCAAACCAAGAGTTGAAAGCTGAAGCTTTCTTAGCAAATGTCAAATACAAATCTTCGATCTGACGGAATTGATCTTGCATTGCGAGCAAACGGAATTTGCGTTCTTCAGATGCACCGCGAAGTTTTTGCCAGCGAGCTAAAACATCTTCATGACGCTTATTAATAGAAGCTGATTGTGCATGATTAGCACTGATGAGTTGATCCTTCAAAGTTGTGATGTTTTGAATCCCTTCATGTTCAAATGCAGTCAAACCTTTAGGGGAAAATTGAAAGTAAATTCGTTAATTAATTTTACTGGAGAATGTCCGACTGTCAATATGTAAAAACAACCCTTTGAAAGATTTTCACCCCTTTAGGTCTTTCAAGGGATATTTGTGATTACATGCTTCTCCTCTTCATCTCAACTTACCAGCATCAAATGTTTCTTGTTTTGTCAAAAGTGTTTGAACAGTTGACAAGTCGCGTCCGAACTCTTCTGATTTGACATGATTTTCTTTATCAGCAATCCAGCTTTCAACGACGTCAGCTTTCCACATGAACTGCAAGTAGGCCGAGTTATCCAACAAAGCATTCTTTCGGCGTGTTGCCAAAGCTGACAAGTTGTCGAGTTTCTTTTGCAATTGTGCACATCGTTGAGAGATGCTGTCACCGTGATGATTCTTGTTAGCGACTAAAGATGCTCCTTGCTCACAAATATCCGAACAACGGTCATGATGTGCAGCGAAGTCAGTTTCAAATGCATCATGTTTCTTCAACAGTCCCTGGACAGCAGCCATGGAGTCACCGTAATCTTCAACAGACAAAAGCTGTTGTTTTTCGGTGATCCAGGCTTCTTCTTCTTCAACCTTCGCCAAGAACTGCTGATAAATCAAAGATTCATCCAACTTCTGACCTCTTGTTGCTGCCAAATTCTTCAACTCAGCCCAAGCTTGATTCAAAGCTTTCAAACGTTGTTCAATTTCGGGCACACCAAGATTTGAAACGTCCATTAATTTCTCACCAGCTTCTTGAACAGCTTGAATTGCTGGTTCATGAGATGCAAGTTCAGCTTCCAATCGCTTATGTTTCTTCTTCAAATTTTGAACTCCTGTCAAATCACGACCATAATCGTCCGATCCAACCAAAAGTTTTTTCTCTTTTGTCCAGCTCTCTTCATCGGCAATGTCACGGAAGAATTGATGTAAAGTGTTTGCTTCATTCAAACGTGCTTGACGATGTGCAGCCAAATTGCAAATTCTTTCATAACGTTCATTAATCGATTGACGTTTCTCTTGAATGCCAGCACTGTCAAATTGTCCACTTTCAACGAGAGAATCAGCTTGATTGTTCATGTCCTTAATGCGATCTTCATGGGCATGAATGTCAGCTTCAACTAATTGATGCTTCTTCATCAAGTTCTGAACTGATGCGAGATCTTTTCCTGCATCTTCTGATGTTAACAAACTTTCAACTTCACCAAGCCAAAAGTCAAGATCTTTAACTGCAGCAATGTAAGTTCGTTGCTTATTTGCTTCCTTCAATTTCAAAGACTTTTCAGTTGTCTTTTGTGTCAAATATTCCCATTGGTCAGCGATTTGTGTTAAACGCTTCTGAACAGCTTCTTCTGATCCACTGCATTGATTCTTCTCGATCAAATTTCCACCCATCGCTAAAACACTTTGAATACGATCAGCGTTGGCTGCCAATTCAGCTTCAAATGCTTGATGCTTTTGATGTTTCGATTGAATATTTGCTGGATCTTTATAACTTTCTTCAGTTGCCAATTGCAACTTTTCAGCAATCCAATTTTCAATCTCATCAGCATCGCGTGAAAATTGTTGCAGAGTTTGTTCATCACCCAAACGTGATCGTTTCTCGATGAGATCTTCTTTCAAATGACGCCAACGCTCCAAAACTTGCTTACGCTTGTCATCAATTAACTTCGCTGCATAATGGTTTTGAGCGATTAATTGATCAGCGAGAACTTGAAGTGCGGCAATTTTCTCTTCATGTCCATTGATGGCTTTGTCGAAGTCTTCGTGCTTCTTAATCAACACTTCAACATTGTCACCCTTTGAATCAACTTCTTCAGCATTCAAGAAAGATTCGCGAGCTGACATCCAATTCTCAGCTTGCTCACAATCACGCAAATAAAGTTGAAGATCCAAATTCTGGTCCAATTGCAAGCGACGATCGGTCCAAGCATGTTCCAAATCTTCACGAGCTTTAGCCAACGATTCGATCTTCTCTTGAATTTCAGGCGATGCATAATGCTTAGCTTGCAACAATTCCGAGCCGAATTGTTCAAATGCACTGAATGTTCCAGCACGAGCATCAACTTCAGTTCGATGTTCCTATAAAAATTTCAGTTTTGTCGATTTTAAAATTTTGTAATGAAAATTTATTTTTAAAACTCTTCTGCTTTTATGTTTGTGATTTAAAATTATTTTTAACAAAGCTTTGACTGTTAATTAAATTAATTGCAGTGTTTTTTATGTGAATCTAATTTAATAAGCAGAAGAATTTTGTGACGTGAACAAAAAAATTTCACTTGGAATTGTCGCTAGTATTGGAACGAATTCCAAGACATGACGTTAAATTATTTAATAGAAGAGAAGAATTGTTAATTATCTACGACACTTAAATTGCCGTTCATTGTAGATTTAATCAAAAGCCAAAAAGATGAAGAGACAAGTGACAAAAATTATGTTAAATAAAATGGCAGATCGGATCCGAATCTTGAAAATCTTCAACTTCAATCCAACCCACCTAATATTGATGCTAAGAATTGTGATTTAAATAAAATTAATAAGCATAGAAGACTTTCATGCTTCTTTGAGTTGTTTTAATCAAAAACAAAAGACAAAAACTTTGTGTTAACAAAAACTAAATTAAAAATTAATTTTCTGATTCGAATTGTTGGAAAACTCAAAAAAGAAGAAAATTAAAAAATACCTGAGGAATACCATAACGAAAGTCAATTTCAGCCCGATGATTCTGAAGGGTCATTAGAAGAATCACCCCGAGACAATAAATGAATGAGAAATGGAAATTGAGAAAGGGAGAGAGAGAGAAATTAAAGGAAAACAGGAAAATTTTGTTTTGAATTTTGAAAATTATAAAATAAAACTTAAAAGGGATAAAAATGAAACAGAAATAAAGAGAAAAGTTTGTGACTCACCTGATGACGTTCAATGAGAGCTTCAGCGCCAGTGACATCGTTGGCGAGTTCTTCACTTGACACCAAACTCATCATGGAGTTGATCCAAGCCATTAAGTCACGATAATCGCTTAAGAATCGTTGCAAGTCATAAGAATCCAAAAGTTTTTCCTTTCTCAAGTTTGCTTTCGTGATGATTTGTTGCCATTCTTCGTTGATTTCCTTCTGCTTCGCATAAGTTTGTTCAGCAGTGTCGGGATGTGAATGCATCAAACGATTTGCTGTTTCATCCAACTGACGAATTTTGTCGCGAAGTGCTGCCAAATCTCGTTCCATTCCTTCGTGCTTACGTTGAAGGGTTTGAACACCACGCAAATCTTTGCCAAGATCGTCATTAGCCAATGCGTCGTCTTTCTCCGAAATCCAATCTTTCGTTTCATCAACATCGCGATGGAAACGTTGAACTTCATGTGCTGATCCAAGTTGGTTTGCACGTTCAGCTGTGATGTGTTGCAATTGTTGCCAATCTTCATTCAAAGTCTGAATTTGTGTCTTTATCTTCAAAGCAGCTTCAGTTTGTCCCAAAGATGTCAATTGAACAGCAATTTCATTCAACTTCGCTAAACGAACTTCATTTGCTTTCAAATCATCATTGAAGTCGTCGAATTTCTTTTGCATGACTTCAACTTCTTCCAAATCTTCACCAACGTCTTTGATTTGTGCGTGATTTTCTTTGTCGCGAATCCAAGAAGCCAAATCTGCAGCTTCACGAACAAGAACGTAAGCTTTGACGGTTTCATTCAACTTGTTTTGACGTTCACGTGCCATGGCGAGTAAATTGTCATATTGATTGTTGATTTGTGATTGACGTTTGGCAATTGAATGTCCATCAACGAGATTCTGTTGACTTGCACTCAAACCAGCTTCAACTTTCTTAATGTAAGCAGCTGGAACGAATCCTTGACGATCATTCACTTCAACTTTCCACCAATCTTTGTTGTTTGAGTTCAACAATGTCAAAACGTCATTTTTCTTCATTGAAACTTCACGTGGCGACTTCTCGGTGTAGTCATAAAGTGCAACGACGCATTCCTTTCCTGTGATGTCAACAACTGGTGTTTCCTGTTGACGGCAATTCTTCGACTGCTCTTGCAATGCTTGAATTGTGTTTCCAAACGCTTCCAAATCTGACACCAAAGCTTCGTGTTTCTTCAACAAAGCTTCAGATGAATCTTCATCCTTTCCATAATCTGTGTTCGAGACGATTGGAACTTTCTCACGCATCCAACTTTCAGCTTCATTTGCATCAGCAAAGTATTGATGAGCTTGCAATGAATCGTCCAAATCTTGCTTGCGTTGTGCTGATTTGTCCTTCAAGTTGTGCCATTGATCCTTCAATGAGTCCAAGCGACTCTTAATCTCATCAATTGAATGTGGTTGTTGCTTCAACATTGCTTCACCACCTTCAATGACACCTGAAATGCGATTTTCATGATTGTGAATCTCAGCCAACACTGCTTGATGTTTCTTGATGAGATTTTGAACGCCAATCAAGTCACGTCCACGATTTGTCGATGCTGCAACTGGTTCCTTCTCACGAATCCATGCAGCTTCATCTTCCAAGTCACGGAATAATTGCTGAACGTCAAGTGAGTCGTACATTCGCTTCTTGCGATCGCCCATGGGTGCTGCTAATGCTGAGTAACGTTTTGACAGAATAATTTCCTTGTTACGAATGTTATCAGCATCAAAGTGTCCACCTTCAACGAACTTATTGGCTGCAACTTTGATTCCTTCAATGCGATCTTGATGCGACATTACATCACCTTCAAGCAAAGCGTGTTTCTTCTGAAGATTCTGAACACTCGTCAAATCTTTTCCATAATCTTCCGACAACAATTGCCCTTCAATTTCACTCAACCACAATTCAACGTCTTCGACTGTTCGATTGAATTGCTGTTGTTGCGAAGCTTCTTGCAATTTGCATCCTTTCTTGTCCGATGCTTGCACCAAAGATTCCCACAACGAAACAATTTCTTGCATTCGTGAGTTGATTTGATCAGCTGCGTAATGTTTGCGTTCAATCAAATGCTGTCCGTTTGTTGTGATGTCTTCAATGCGACTTTTGTTTGCTGTCAATTCTTGTTCAAAGTTCTGATGTTTCTGAACTTTTCCATTTAAGTTTGTTGGATCCAAGTAGCTATCATCAGTTGCAAACTTCAATTTCTCGCTTATCCATCCTTTCGTTTCATCACAATCACGTTCGAATTGTTGTAAACGATTTGAATCTTCCAAAAGAATGCGACGAGCGTCAGATTTCTCCAACAACGCTGATCGTCTTGCCAACAACATTGAACGACGTTGTGCAATGTCATCAGCTGCATAATGTTGCCCATCAATCAACTTTGTTGCGAAAATGTCCAAAGCTTTGATCTTTTCCTCTTGTGCTGCCAAACTCTTCTCAAAATCTTCATGCTTCTTAATGAGAGCTTCAACAGAGTCAAGTGAGTCGCCTTTGTCTTCATTTGCCAAAAAGGCTTCTTGTTTAGCCATCCATGTGTCAGCTTGTTCAGTGTCACGATAAAACAATTGCAAATCCATGCATTGCTCGTAGAGAATTCTTCGATCTTCCCACAATGCCAACAACGATGATTTGTCATTCTCCAAAGCTGCAAGTTTCTCTTGAATTTCAGCAGCTGCGTAATGTTCACGTTCAAGAAGTTGACGACCTGCAGCTGTCGACGCAATGAAGGAATCTTCACGTGCATCAATCTCGCCTTTATGTTCTTGATGTCGTTCCAAAAGACTTTCAGCGCCTGCAACATCCTTCGCTAATTCATCAGCTGAAATGATTGCTTTCATTCCATTAATCCATGAAATTAAGTCACGGAAATCAGCGAGGAAACGATGCAAGAAATAAGATTCGTCCAACTTCTGTTTGCGTTCTTTTGCTTTGGCTGTGAGTGATTGCCAATAAGCAGCGATTTCTGATTGCTTGTCACGAATCTGTTGGCTGTGATCAGCATGAATGCTGCATAAGCGACCAGCTTCAGTGCCGAGTGTTGCGACTTTATCTTCCAAAGCTGCCAAGTCACGTTCGACACCTTCATGTTTACGTTGTAATGCTTGAACGCTGGCTAAGTCACGTCCATAATCGTCAGATGATAAGACGACGTCTTTTTCAGCAATCCATGCGACAGTTTCGTCAGCATCGCGATTGAATCGTTGAATTTCATGTGCTCCGAAGAGCTTTTCTTGACGTAAGATTGCCAATTGTTTGAGACGTTGCCAAGCTTCATTCAACTCGTCTTTTTTTCTCATGATTGTGTCACGTTCGGGATGTCCATCTTGGATCAACTTGTCAGCTAAATCGTTGACTTCAATCACACGATATTCTTGTGACGCCATGTCCTTCTGGAACTCGTCGAATTTACGTTGCAAGACTTCGACATGTTCAAGATCATGTCCGAACTCATCAGCTGTTACGAAAGCTTCTTTGTCTTTAATCCAGAACATGACTTCTTCGCAATGACGCAAATATTGAACCAAGACGAGTGCTTGTTGCAATTTCATGCCTTTCTCGGCTAAACGTGACAACAAAAGTTCCCACAAACGATGAAGCTCGTCGAGACGACGTTGGATGACGTCTGATGCGAAATGACTTTGATTTATCATTTCTTGTCCAGTGTTGTCAAGTGAAACGATTGCATTCGAATGAGCAGCAACTTCGGCTTCGAATGCTTGATGCTTTTGGATTTTTGCTTGTAAGTTTGTTGGATCACGATAACTTTCTTCACTTGCTGCTTGCAATTTCTCATGAATCCAACTTTCCAATTCATCAGAGTCACGCTTAAAGTATTGGAAACGTCTTGAATCTTCCAGTTTTTCTCTCTTCAGACGCGTTTCCAATTTAAATTCGCCATAGCGATTTAAAACTTGTTCACGACGTTCTTGAATGTCTTCCGCACTTTCAAGGATGCGAACCTCTTTTGGTGTAAACTGATCCATGTTTCCTTCAATTTTAAATTGAAATTCTATTTAAATAAACGAAAATTGGTGGAAAATTTAATTTGCTTACCTTTTAGTCCAATTCAATTTTTTTTCTGAATTTGAAGCTTGAAAAATTACTTCTGGAAGTAAAGAAATATTTTTATCAGCAAAATTAAGTCAATAATGACATAACTTCATAAATTTCAATGAAACATCAGCGGCTGAAAAATTCTTTTCTGTTCGTGCTTGATTACCGCATACATTTGAATGTGTGAGTGAAAAGTCAATTGGAAATATGAATGTGTAAGTTCGGTAAGTTTATTAATAGAATGATGACAAGAGAGAAATAACAGACATAATTGACATTCCAGAACCAAGTACTAACTCTAAACTTCACATTCAAATGGTGTTAATTTCTTTAACTTGTATGATAATCATAGCAACTGGAGAATCTCTTATAAGATTCTTGCTAAATACACCCGTTAGACGGAAATGTTGTTGTTGGACTTCGGAAAATCAATAATTTTTTCAATGCTGTTTTTGAAGTAAATTGCGACAAGAAATCTATTACTTCTATTTAATAACATTACAAGCATCTAAGTTGATGTAAATAGAATGTTTACTTTGCCTAAATTATCATTTTAAGACCAAAAATAATCCTAAAAATTTCTTCTATGGGGCGTGGCAAGAATTTCATGAAATTTTCCATGTAATACCGAATATTGCGTACTCTTTTCATGTGACAACAAATTAATGATCCTTACTTTATATTATTAAACTCTTTTTAAATGCTCTGTTTCAGTTTTGAACTTAAAATAATAAATTTTATTTTATTTTGATACGACTTTTTTCACTTGATGGCTGTGACTATTTAGGGTTCCCAAACATCGGGAATTTTATCGAAAAATTTGACTTTTATTTAGCCGTTAATTTTTTTATCTTATATTATTGTGTACTTTTGTGTTCTTCATTCATGTTCATTAAAAGAGTGGTGTCAATCTACTGCATTTAATAACGCACGTTCCGTGAACGAGAACATTTCCTTAAAGATATTATTGAGGAAAAACTTTTGCAGCACTTTTATACCCTTTACGGACGATTTATAGATTTCAGATTAGTTTGAAAAAGAGATTAGATTAAAGAAGGGATTAGATTTGTCATTATGTTTGATTTAATAATTTTCGTCAATTAAAACCAAATCTAATGTTATTCAGATAAAACTTGTTATTGTGAGTAATCCATCACGCTGCCATTTACGCATATAACGCATTTTCGAAAATCTGTTAATATGTTTTGAATCTTCATCAGTACAGATTTCAAAGCGTGTTAACAGATTTTCTCGGAAATTCATTAATGACTTTCTCACTTAAGACATTTTTTCTGAATAGAACCATTGGATGTTACACCTTAAATATTATTGTAACAAAACTTGTAAAGAGAATTTAAACAAGAGGATGCTTTGTACATTAAAAATATCTCTCACACAACGTTTGATCTTCAATGAAGTAAAACTAATCTTTACGAGTAAATCTAAATCTAGTATTGCTTGCAACTCCTGCATATTCACACGTGTGAACATGTTTTGTTAGGACTAAAGTAAAAAAAAAACAACAAACTGCACCTGGAAGAAAAAGAAGAAAACAGAACAAAAAATAGGAAAAATCTAAAATTGTGTTGTTAAACTGCATTAAAGTGAGAACTTTACAAGTAAATGCTTCGACAAATGTTTCGTTTTTGTTTTATATAAAAAAATAAAATACCTACCTAGTTGTTTAGTTTCATTTAAAGTCGTTGCTTGATTTTCGTGTACTTAAATTTAAATGGCTGGTGTTTTGTTTATTATTTGTGTTCCTGTTGAAAGATATGAACAGATCATATCAAATAAGTCAGAAGGTTTCGATTTTCCGTGGATAAAAAGTGTAGCACATTCGATTAAAGTAAGGGAACCGCTTCAGCCAGTACAACAATTAAACTCTCCAGACATCGCAGTGACTAGTTATGAGAATCTTAAAGTAAGCAATCAATAAATAATATTTGTGATATGTGTTTGTTATCTGTCAATTATTCTCATTTATTTTTAAACATTTGAATCAATAGGAGTCACAGCAAAGTTCATCGTTAAGTACGTCTGTAGGATCCTTCGATTCCGATTCAGTGAATCCGAGTCATCGAGAAGATCGTAGGAAAATTTCCACCATCACTTCAAAAAATGATAAGAAGAAACCATTACAAAGGACAAAAAGTGCTGATGATGTTATCTCAGAATCGAAAGAAAAGGTTAGATGATTAATTATTTTAATAAGTTAGTTAAATTCCAAACTATAAAGTATTTTGATTAACGAGTTTTCATGAAGCTCGTGATATGAAAAAAAAAGAAAATTTAGTTGGAAGTCGAGTTCATGACTTAATAAAATTACGTTTTAATATTCATACATGTTTATCAAATGTAAATCAAATGTAAAAACAATTTTTATTTAGATATCTGACGATGAGTTTCGTGAAAAACTCGGCTCAGTGGACAGTGACGTCTTTAATCGAACAGTGAAAAAACACGCCAGAATTGTTGAAAATGAAAAAGCGACTGATAAATTTTACGGAACAAACACGGAAAGACCGCAACTTGATGATAACACTCCATTGGAACGAGTCATTCAAGAGATAATCGAGAGAATGGAAATCCGAAATGTATCATGGGTTCGAGTGAACTCTGGAAATTGTTATCAAGTACAATTCACTCTCGAGAACGGTGATCGATGTGACGACACCATTCATTTGTTGAGTGAGTTTGGAATAGGACAAAAAGAAGGATCGTCTGTTGCAATCATTCCTTGTACATTGTACAACAGTGAACCGATAAGAAAACCAAACATTGACGATGAAGCACAATCAGGTCACTCAGGAAACAAGGAAAAATCATGGAATAAATTTATTGGCACTGTTCGAGCACGATTAAATGTTGCAAAGATCGTTGAAGCTGTTAAAAGTGACGGTGACTTGACATTTGATTTTATTGTTCTTCTCATTGTCGCGAGTATTCTTGCTAGCTTCGGTTTAGTTGAAAACAGGTGAAAAATTCTTTAATTCTTGTCAACTGACATTTTAATGAATTAAACTCTTAACTTTCAGCACATTATTCCTTGCTGCAAGTATGTTGATCTCACCACTTATGGGACCAATCTTAGCTGCAACATTTGGTGCTGTCATCAAAGATCACAAACTTCAATTCTGGGGTGTTCGTAATGAAATCATCGGAATTCTTCTTTGCATCTTTGTTGGGTCTGCTTTTGGATTAATCACATGTGGATTGGATTCAATTTTTGCGAGTGAAAAGCATCTTCAATTAACGTTGGAAATGTCAAACAGAACAAATTTTCATTCAGTTATTGTAGGAATTTTCATTGCTTTACCTTCCGGTGCTGCTGTTGCGATTGCAGTGTTAGGAGAGAATTTTGGATCACTTGTTGGTGTTGCAATTTCTGCTTCTCTTCTTCCACCTGCTGTCAACACTGGCTTGATGTGGTCGTTTTCGTTAGTTCATGCATGCTCGAAAGACTTCAGTTCACGATTCAAATCTTTTGTCATGAATAAGAAATATTCCGATGATCAAGCTATCGAGCTTTTAGCTCTCGGCGGTATCAGCTTATTGGTGACTCTAACAAATGTTTTATGTGTTTATCTTATGGGATATTTCTTCTTGAAAGTTAAAGAAGTTGCGCCTGTTTCCGATGACCATCAACGACAGTTTTGGAAGCATGACATAAAAATCGCACGCGATTACAACAAGACACTTCATGCCGAAGAAGGTCGAAACATGCAAGCGCAACTTTCGCAATATGTGAAGAATGAGTCGATCAATTTTAAAGGTGTTGGAGCTGAATTGTTGAGGCAAAATCATTATCCTTATAACAACACGTGGTCGCCATTGACATTGCGTTACAATAATCGAAAGGAAGGAAATCATGCTCGTACCAGTCTTCACGATCTTGACGCTCTCTACATGAACTTAGCAGGAAGAAATGGAATAACGGAGAGACATTCTTGTTCTTTTGGGTAACTTACAACTCATTCAATTCATTTTATTTATTTTAAAGAAATCGATAAAATTCCTTTCAGACGTGTGAAAAGTCCATCACCACAACAAGACAATCTTTCAACTGATAATAAATATAAACATGGAATAGCAATTCCAACAAGAATTCAGAACTCTTACGATGGTTTAAAAGCTGCTTCAGCTCCACTTGAAGTTATTTGTGAAACGCCAAAGAGAATTCATCATGATTCAAATTTGGTTGGATTTAATCACATGGCCAGCACTTCAGGGACAAGCGCAAAGAAATTTATTGTCACACCAGCTCATGATCCATTAAAATAAGAAAAAACTTAACTTTTATCAGCTCTTTTTCTTTATTAACATTTATATTAAATCATTTTCAGTAATTTGTATGTCATTCAAATTTAATTAAACACTGATTTAAATAAGAAAATAAATTTATGCTTGATGATCGTCTACAACTTCACAAGTTCAATACTTTTATCGTATAACCATTTAGCAGTTTCATCATTTCTCGCGTTACTCGACGGCGTTTTCTCTTTGCAATCGCTGAAATATTTTCCGGTAACATTTTCCAAGTCAGGATCGAGAGCGACACAAATTTGCGTCTGTGCACCTTCCCATGGTGTTTTGTATAAGAATGAGAAAGGTTTCATGAAGAATCTTTGGAAATTCGCACTCATATGTCGTCCAAGTTCTGTTGGTGAATGTTCAATTAATGAAACACAAGTGAATCAGCTGCTATTACGCATACCTGTTTTAACCACACCTGGATGAAGACTGTTGACAACCACACCTGTTCCTTCAAGTTTTTTCCCCAATTCTCGTGCAAACAAAATGTTTGCCAACTTACTTTGTCCGTACGCTCCCCATTTCGAGTATGATTTTTCACTCATCAAATCTGTTTTGTTTATATTTCCCATTCTGTGGCCTTCTGAAGAAACAGCTACAATTCTACTTGGAGCTGAAGCTTTCAACAAATCAAGCAGAAGATGAGTAAGAAGAAAATGACCGAGATGATTCGTTCCCAATTGCATTTCAAAGCCGTCTTTTGTGTATGCTTTGTCGCAAGCCATTACGCCAGCATTGTTAATAAGAATATGAAGTTGTGATTCAAGTTCATGAAACTTTCTACTGAATTCACGAATTGAATCCATTGAAGCAAGATCGAGTTGAAGAAAATGAACGTTATTGCTTCCGCTAATTCTTCTAATTTCCCCTAAAGCATCTTCGCCTCGTTTAAGATCTCGACATGCTATGTAAACTTTACCGCCTCGCTTTGCAAAGTCAATGGCATTCTCTTTTCCTATGCCGGTATTAGCGCCAGTAATAATCACAACTTTATTATCGATTTTTGTATCTTTTGTGTAATTAGATCCACGCATGTACCATCTGAAAATATTTCAATAATTGGAATTTGATTTTAGGCAGTCATGAATTTTAAGCGATAAATAAGCACAAGATAAGCTAAAAATTGTTACACAATTTAATTATGTCTCAATAACTGATAAGTCTCACCTTAAGAGAAGAAGCAAAAGTGCAATGCCGAGAAAAACTGACAAAACAATAATTAAAATCAACCACCACTCCATTTTATTTTACAGATTTCAACTTTCAGATGAGAATGAAATCTACAACGTGGATTGTTCCAAATTGATTTTATTTCCCGTTGTTTCAATTGTGTAGAAAAAAAATTATTTTCTAGTTGAGAGCCGAAAACCTTCTTGTTCAATGAAACTTGTTTCACGTACTGACTGAGTTTATAAACCACAAAAACGAAATTTTGAGATTATTTATCCGATGTACGTAAAATATTTGAGAAGCATGCGAGAGTAACGTGTGGAAATGTTATGGTTTTTATGATTATTCTCGATTATTTCATGTTCTAGTATTTGTAAGCTTTTCTTAAACGATTCTTAAAATACATTTTTTGATACAAACAGTCATAAAACATGACTTGCGTTTCGGGTCAATTACCGCACACTTATATCATGAGCGAACTTTGAATCAATTTATTGTGGCGCTATAGCGCGCTACTTTGGTCATTTGTCATAATTTTTTTCAGACATAAAATAATTTTATTCATTTGTTTTATTTCATCGATTTTCCATTTTCTTTGTGAAAATCTTTCTCAACTTTTCTAATAATTTATTTATATTTCATAACTTCGTAGATGTTTACAAATATTTTTCGAGCATTCATCGTAGATATCTGTCTCGTCGATATTCGAGATATCATTTCAATGTCAAGTAAGAGTCTTAAGATTAAGAGTTTAAAGGAAACCACCCATGAATCATTCTAGCCATCTCATCCCCAGATTTAACTTGGCGACTTATTTATTTATTGAATAATTTTTCATTAGGCTTATTAGAATATTTTTTGACTTTTCTTTGAGTGATATTTTACAGTTTTAATGTTGACATAATTTGGAGATCATTACCAATATTCGTAAAGTTCTCAAGTTTGTCCATGTTTTCAATAATTAATAAATCAAGATATTGATATCTAATGTCGTGACATTCTCATCAACCTTGTGACAGCAGAGAAATGTTAATTTTTAATGTTTTTCCTATCGATGAAAACTTAATTCTCACGACTGTGCCTATCTTAGATATTTTGGGGATAGGGTAAAAAATTTCAATGAGATATTAATACAAAAAACTTTTTCCGACCTCGTTTATAAGTATTGTGCGTGTGTAGTGAATTATGCATACATTATGTGTTTCATCTATTCATTGAATTTACCTAAATTAAATTTATTATTTTTATCTTCAACATTAATTAACACAATTGAAAATTTTTAAGATATTTAGATTATCTCAAAATTTTCATTGGATTTATTTTTCATAATTTCTCTAATTCAAGAATATATCCTGGAAATTTTTCTTTAAGGAAAATTATGAGAAAAATAATTTCGAAATTATTAAAAGTCGTTAAAATCCGCGCAATTTTAAATTACCCGGGGAATACAAGAAGTTGGACTTGTCTCACTACAACATCTTCCTTTCGCCGTAAGCACGGAAATTCATTGAAAATTTTCTTTAGATTTTTTCCTTAAAAAGTAAGATTATTATACATTAATTAAGTTTAAGGTTGAATTGTTCTTAGGATAAAATTGTGCTGTTCTCGACAGAATTGAAAAAAATATCTTTCAAGGAATATTAAAATGTAAAAACTTGTTTTATAAGAAATGTTTTTACCTCTTTCAAAATACAAATTCTTGAAAATATTTTTATGCTTTTAGTATGAGATTTCATCATTAACTTTTGGTGAAACTGGTTGAAGTTGAACATTTATTCAATTTTATCTTTGATGAATAAAATTAAGTTAGAATACAGTGAGAAATTAGTCAATTTTTTAAGATTTAAAATTAACATGTTAGTTGAGGTTAACCGATCATTAAAACTGCGAAAACCACAACACATCCGGAAAAAGAACTTATCACAAATTTACTCTTTTTTGTAGACAAAACGCGAGATGCCTGAATTGACTGAAATCAAGACCGACACTCCTCAAGCAGCTGCTGATGCTGAGCCAAAGTTGACAGATGATGTCAGTGACACAGAAAGCGATGATTCAATCCCAGAATTGGAGGATGCAACAGAATCTACAGCTCAATTAGGGTCGGGAGGTGCTGCTGGACTCCCAACCGACATGGTGTCAAAAGCTAAGCAATCTCGTGGCGAGAAGAAAGCTCGTAAAATCATGTCAAAGTTAGGCTTGAAACCAGTCACCGGCGTTACGCGTGTCACTATTCGCAAGTCAAAGAACATTTTGTTTGTAATAAACAATCCAGATGTGTACAAGAACCCGCACAGTGACACTTACATCATTTTCGGTGAAGCTAAAATTGAAGATTTATCACAGCAAGCTCAAGTTGCTGCTGCTGAGAAGTTCAAAGCACCCGAAACCACACCAGCCGACACTGCATCAACCAAAGTCGTTGCACCAATCGCCGAAGAAGACGAAGATGAGGTTGACGAAGCTGGTGTTGATGAGAAGGATATCGAGCTGGTGGTAACACAAGCAAACGTCCCTAGAGCTCGAGCTGTTCGCGCCCTTAAGAACAATAATAACGACATAGTCAACGCCATTATGGAGCTCACAATGTAAACAGGTTCATTCATTGAGCTTTCGACTTTCATCACCGGTGGCATTGAAATTCATTTCTTCTCTTTAAAACTAAAACCGTAAGAAAAAAAATTATTGAAAAAATGTAAAATTTTTCTCATTTATCAACATACAAAAACTTGAATAAAATGCGAGAAATCGAATTTATGGCGTATAGAGATTTTTCTTTATTCTCTTTTCTCTTTCCAGATACATTTTTAATTAGTTTAAATGATTGTTGACATTAGATTTGATGAAAAATAACAAAAAATTAAGAAATGAAATTTATCGAACATTTTTTTGTTCTTGAAAGTTTCACAAACTTTTACATGAATTTTAAAGGTTTTCCTTGAATGTCTTCAACTTCTTTTCGTAAATTTTTTAAAACTGGTGAACTTTGGTTTACTCTATAACGATTGTTTTGTAATGCGTTGAGAAGTTTTGAAGCTGTTGACAGAATGTCATCTCCTGCTGGTGGCTCTCTAATTTGTTCAATTGTTTGATTGAAACCTTGGAAAAAGCCTTCCCAGTTCATATTGATGTTTATTGGTGGATTGTTAAGACCGAAACGTTGACGTTGTTGTGGTTGACCGAAATGTTGACGTTGTTGTGGTTGAACAAAACGTTTTGATCTTTCAATCCCAATCAATCCTTCACCACTGCCATTGCGGTCGCCATATTTGTAGGTTAATGAACCTTTTTCTAAGAAATATCCATCCTTAACACTTGCTGTTGCTAAACTTGAAACACTTGATGTGCGACTTCTGTAAGTCTTATCAATTCTACCTCGTTGAACTCGTCTGTAACGTTCATGTTCATCTAATGGCAACACTTCTAAACGCTTGACACCTGCAGGACGATCAACAAGATTTTCTGGCAGCATTCTCCATTGTTGGCTGCGAACTCTAATTCCTTGCTTAGTTTCGATGGTTTGGAATTTTTGAAGATCATTCAACTCGTCTTCTTCTTCTTCTTCATCTGCAGCTCTTTCGATTTTAACTTTAATTAAATTATTATCTTTCATAACGACATCATCATCAAAGAGTTTGTTTGTAGTTTGTAAATCATCATCGCTATCGTCGGAATTTTCAACCATTGATCTTCGATTGTATCTACTACAGCTACTCGATTGCTCAGTAGTTTGTTCACCGGCAGTGCTAGGAGGACTTAAAACCTCAAGCTCTTTGTTTAACTCGTTTATGTCAATGTTTCTAATACGTTTGCGATGCTGCCAAGCAGCAATTCTTTTCTTTGCTGCATATTCATCAAGAGAGAGACAAATATCTCTCATTTTATCTTCATTGTCGGACATTTTGTGCTGTAAGAAAGTTGGGAAATAAATTCGTTATGCTTTTTAATTAAAATAGCAAATTTTTCATTCACCTTCAAGATAACATGAAAATTATATTAAGAAAATAGTTTGAATGGGTGTAAAAGAGTATTTTCGTAAGATTCTTTAATTAAAACAGCTTTATGTTTTATCAAATCTCTAGATTGTATGCGTACAATCGATTTCTTAAACTTTTTGAACTCAAGCGCGCTTCAGTTTTGACCCTTAGTAAAAAGTTCAAATTTCAAAACTTATGAAATAACCGTTAACAGGGTGTCAAAGTATTACTCTTTGGTATAGGAAATCACAATTTATTGTGCGTCAACCTCGGCAGCCTCGTGATAACCTTATTAATAAAAACATTCATCTTAAAGAAAACAAAAGAATTATTTCTATAACTTCAAATAGAATGGAACAAGCTATTCAAGTTTATATAAGAGTTCGTCCTCTGATTCCTCGCGAAATAAACGAAGGTTTGAAACCAATGTGGATTGTTAGAGGGAAAATGATTAAATTTAAAAATGACCAATTTAAAAAGCATTTCGGTAGGTCTATTAAATAATCTTAAAAAAATCATATGAGAGGATAAAATTTCTAACTTAATCCTTTTATCCCACAATCTTTTCAACAGATCATATTTACGATGAAACTAGAAGTACGCAAGAACTTTTTGATGATGTTGCAAAACCTATTGTATCATCTTCTCTCAGCGGTATTAATGGGACAGTTTTTGCTTTTGGTTCAGCATCCAGTGGAAAAGTAAGTCAAGAAAAATATATTGAAAAATGATTGAATAAATGATACAAAACTTAACCTTAAATTTATTGCGCTTTTGACAGACACACACAATGATGGGAAGTAAGAGTAGTCCTGGAATCATTCCACTTACCGTTCAAGAAATCTTCAAGCAAATTAAAAATATTGAAGACCGTAAATTTCTTATTCGATTTGGTTACATTGAAATTTACGACGAAAAGATTTACGATTTGCTGATGGATGAACAGCCTGAAATAACAGAGATGCAAGAGTCAAGTGAAGGTGAACTTCAAGTGAAACAAAAAGAGATTATTGCAGTAAGCGTAAAACAAATTCTTCAGATGTACGAAGCAGGAAATCAGGCAAGACGAACTCGAGAGACAAGTATGAATGAGCGGTCAAGTCGGTCACATACTATCTTTCGAATTGTTATTGAATCCAAAGAAACTGGTAAAACCAGTGAAGAGTGTGCAATTCAAGTTTCAAGTTTGAATCTCGTTGATCTTGCTGATTCTGTCCTTTCTGAAGGTGAAAGTGGCTACTTCAACAAAAGTGTTTCAGCGTTAGACAACGCCATAAGAACACTAATGATTACCTCAAATCCAGTTTACGTTAATTATCGTGCTACAAAACTTACAAATCTTCTCTCATCTAGCATTGGAGGCAATGCAATTACGAGAATCATTTGCACAGTTGAACCGGCAGAAGTTCCGTTTACTTTTAAAACTTTAGCGTAAGACAAATTTTATTTTTAAGACAAGACACGTAACTTAAGTTGATTTTTTAAATTTCATAGCTTCGCTAGGAATGCACAATTTGTTAAAAACCGTCCAAAGGTCAATAAGTTTCTTACTGCACAAGCTTTTATAAAAAAAAAGGAGCGAGAGATTCAAGTCTTAAGAAAACAGCTTGTTGATGAGAAGTTTCGTGTTGATAACGTAAAGAAAGATTGAAAATAATTTTAAGTATTTGTATGATTAACTTTTCTTCTTTTTTTAGTGCCTTGCTCTTAATAATATTCAAGAGCGCATTAATTGGCTCAAATACGAATTGCCCTATTCACATAACGTGACAATTATGAAAGCAGTAGATGTAAATCGTTGTCGTACTTGGTGTTCATCAGCAACTGTCAATGATTGTGGAGCTTCATCATCAGCTGCACCTCCACTTAATAACTTTGATTCAAAAGTACCACCATTTCTTCTCGACTATTCTTTAGATATAGCTGAAAATTATGACAGCGACAGCAGTGATGCAAATTCTAAGTTTGCGATTGAAATAGATCTTAAATTATCACTAACTCCTAGAGTTTACAGTGAAGAAGATTTGTGCTATATTATTTCAAAGACTGTTACAACTGAAGACCATGAAGATAAGATTCGTTTCTTGAAAGAGAAGATTGATGAGCGGAAGTATGACGAATTATGGGAATTAATTTTATTAAATAGTACTCGTGATGACATTGATCCTATACCAGATTTTTAGAGTATTAAATATGAGTTTGATGAGTTCAAGAAGCGAGCAAAATTATATGAAGATGAATTAGTTCTCAGCTTAAATGAAGTTCAAAATAATTCTAAAATTTCAATTACATAGGTATTATAGAAAATAATAAAATTTTAGAAGAGAATCTTAAGAAAACTGAAGAAAAACTCTTTTATCTTCAATCGGATAATGAAATGAAAGCCTCAAGAGATAAAATGAAAGAACTGGGAAAAAAATATTGAAGAAGCAAAGCTTCAACTTAAATTCACTGAAAAGCACAAATAATTGATAAGAGTTTTTGAAGAAGATGAACATATCTCAACACAAATTGTAAACTCTGTTGAAGACAATGAAATATTAAATCCCTTTTAACAGATGCTGAGAAACTTCGTCATGAAAATCAAGACTTGAGATTAAAACTTCTAAAGAAAGAGAAATAAATAGAAGATATGAAATTAAGGGTGAAGAAATCAAATTAGAAAATTCAAACGAAATTGAGAAATTGAGAAATTCAAACAAGAAAATGAAATGTTATATGAAAAAAAAATTCTATTGAACATTAAGATGGATTAGATTACGGAAATTCGCTAAGGAAGCTACAATTTCAAAACATTTAAAACATTCTGTTTTCTTTTGATCTGAACTGTTCATTAAATGTTGAAGTGAAAATCTGAAATAAAATAGGACAACACGAAATGTATTATTATTAAAAATTACTTTTAGATTTGTTTATGAGTAACTCTACAAGGATAGTATAGTTCTATCAAGAACAACATAAAATTTCTTGCTTTAACTGTTAATAGGTAAATAAGTTTCATTAAAATAATTTTATTAAAATTTTAAATAAGCAATTTTTATGCACATTATAAATATATTAAATGAAATTTAAGTAGTAATAAAGTCTAAATATTAAAATTTTTCATTTTATGAAGCATCGTCATCTTCTTCCGCAGTTCTATTTTGTATCCAATCGTGAACATCAGTTTTTGCTGGTAATCTCAATCGCCATTCTTCACAAAGGAAATCATAAGTTTCATCTCCTAAATTTAGCAATTCCTGACAAATAATTTTCTCGTCTTTTTTGTATTCACGGCCTGGAGTTGAAAATAATTCAATTCGTAGAAGCGCAATCATTGATGGTGAGAGATATCGTTTGATTCCATTGAAAAGCTGAATCTTGTTAAGATGGGACTGGGATATGTTATTTAAACTTTCATCTTCTAATTTCTTTACTGGCACATCTGACGATTTTGTATTCATTATACTTTTTAGTTCTTCGATTTGATGAAGAATTGACTGGAAATCTTCTGTTGAAGATTTTGAAGGAATTTCTGAATTTGTTTCAATTTGAGTATGTTCACTTTTAATAACTCGTTGTACTTTAGATGTTGCAGGATTGATGATTTTTTTGGGAGACGAATTAGTAACAATTGTATAACTTGCACCTGCAACTTTTACAACTTTAGCACCTCCCAAAGTTTCAACCATTGTCGGTAATTTCTTAACATGAGTGAGAACTGCTGGCATAGTTTTAATGATTTTCTTCTGACTGAACGGTGAAGCGTCAGGCTGAATTTCCTTATTAAGTATCCGTATCGATGGGCTGTTTATTACTTCAGATTTTAGTCTTTTGGCTGGAGAACCTTCATCAGTTATTTCTTCCTTCATAAAAACGACATTTGTACTTTCCATTTCGTCAATATTGATTTTTGAGCATTTATTGTAATCGGATGCAGCTGCTTTTGCTTTATTATTGTGAACCCACTCAGTTGGACATGCAATTAAATCAATTTCTTCATTTGTCGTTGGATCGATATAAATTGTTGGTATTGAGTTGGTTTTATTAAGTTTTTCGCGCTTATAATTCATAAAATGATTCTGAAATGTCAAGCATTATTAAAAATATTATTAAATGCGAAAGTTTTAATGTTTACCTCATTGAAGTGGTGATCACAAATTACTTTATTCTTGAGTTTATCGATCGGCAGTTCCAGAAAGTCCATATTATTTGAATAAATTGCCCAATTTATGCATCGATCATGATCTCTAAAAAAATAAAAACAAATTTTAAAACTAATTCAGCTTTTGTTAATTTTATGCTCACCTAATCGGATAATGGAAGAAATGAGTTTCTCTTGATGGAAATAACTTCTTAGCTGATGTAGTTGTTATACCACAATCATAAAATGTACATTTACATCCTCCCATTTTATGTTTTACGTTAATTTTTTATTTTTGACGCTTTTTCACCGCAGAAACTACAAGTTGAGAAATATTTTTAAATCGCAAGTTGAAAGCTGTTCATAGAAACACCATCAGATTGTTGACATTGGGACAGTTCAAAAGAACTTTTTGTTGGAAACACAAATTCTATGAAAACGAGAAAATTTTCCGCGTAGTTTCAAGGGGTTCATTCTCATTCGTCCTTCTTTAAGCTGTATTTAAAAGAAAATAAATATGCAGGCCACTCGCTTCTTAAAGAAATTTGTGAGTAGAATTGTTATTTGATTAATCACAGTGCATATCATTCAAATGAATTAAATTGTCAGCAAAGATCCAGTGTGTAATTATAACAATAAAAACATTGAAAATTTTATCCTTGACATAAATAAGAAAAATCTTATAAGACAGAAGAGATGAAGCATTCCATGAATCATTTGTGCGAATGTTAATCACGTGAGATAATCATAAACTATATTTTAATTAGAAATTCACTCATTGTCTGTGAGGAAAGAAAAAAATGATTGCGCAATCACTGGATCGATTTGCTACTGAAACTTCAATTATTTTCATCTCATGACTTTTAATATTTCATCTAACATCTTCTCATGTCATTTTCTAGGTCACATCAACAAATACAAGATCATTGGCATCTGGAACACGTAAAGTTACATTGATTCCTGGAGATGGTATTGGTCCAGAGATAGCAGCAGCTGTTCAAAAGATCTTCGCCACAGCCAATGTTCCCATTGAATGGGAGTCTGTTGATGTCACACCGGTGAGAAATCCTGATGGTCGTTTTGGAATCCCACAAGCTGCAATCGATTCTGTTAATCGCAACCAAATCGGCTTGAAATCCCCTCTGATGACTCCGATAGGCAAAGGACATCGATCTCTCAATTTACAACTTAGAAAAGAATTCAATTTGTATGCTAATGTTCGTCCTTGTCGAAGTCTTGAAGGCTACAAAACACTCTATGATGATGTTGATGTTGTGACAATTCGTGAGAACACTGAAGGCGAATATTCTGGAATTGAACATGAAATTGTTGATGGAGTTGTTCAAAGTATCAAACTCATCACAGAAGAGGCTTCAAAACGTGTCGCCGAATTTGCTTTTCAATATGCCAAAGATAATCAACGTTCGAAAGTTACCGTTGTACACAAAGCTAACATAATGTAAGTTTAATGTCGAAAAATCTTTTCGTTCTGTTTATTTATTTAATAATTTTATATTTGTTTAAAAACAGGCGAATGTCGGATGGTTTGTTTTTACGCTGTTGTCGTGAAACAGCTGATAAATATCCAGAAATCAAATTCGAAGAGAAATATCTTGACACAGTTTGCTTAAACATGGTTCAAGATCCACGACAATACGATGTGCTTGTCATGCCCAACTTATATGGTGACATTCTATCGGATATGTGTGCTGGTTTAGTTGGAGGTTTGGGATTGACACCATCAGGAAATATCGGTTTGAATGGTGCTTTGTTTGAGGCTGTGCATGGAACAGCACCTGATATTGCTGGAAAAGATTTAGCTAATCCCACAGCTCTTCTTCTCTCAGCTGTCATGATGTTACGTTATATGGACTTGAATCAACACGCAGACAAGATTCAACAAGCATGTTTCGCAACGATCAAAGAAGCAAAGTATCTTACTGGTGACTTAGGTGGTAAAGCCAAATGCTCTGAGTTTACCAACTCAATTTGTGAGAAACTTAATTAGATATTTCTTCGTTTTTCGATTTAAGCCCTTAAGATTCTCTAAATTCTTCTCTTCTCACTTCGTATCAATGATTAATAATTGGAGAATCAAAATATTTGCCTTGCAGCGGCGCTTATAACGAAATCATCTCATCCTAGTCTCATTAATGAAACGAGAATTTTTGTTAGATAAAAACTTTTAATTTTAATTAAATCCGCCCCCACCTTTATTGGTCGATTGAATATTTAGCATTGATTTGCCGTTACATAAATTATTTATTCTGGCCATTAGTTTTGGCCATTAGATTTAGAAAAGTGATAACTTTTATGGTGACAAAAAGAAAACAGGAAAGAAATTTAACTTTTTAAGTGAAGAAGAGTTGAATGTCGATGGAAGTAAATAAAAAGATTTATTTCTTGAAATAAAAATTATTCACTTTCTTGTCTTGAATCTAATGACAACAATTTGTCGCTGCAAAAAATCATCAATAAGAATTTCTTTCTGAGTGGAAAAGATTATTTATTTGTTCTTATTTAAATTATGTGGATATACACAAGAAATGAATAAAAGATAAATTAATTTAATGTTTGGCAACAAATCGAAATTATGAGATAGAAAATTATTAGATATTTAATTTCATTAATGTCGGAGCAAGAAAAGCATAAAAAAGTTACGAAAATAAACAAAAAACGTTGGAAAAAGACAATAAAATTGAAATTTAGAATTAAAATTGGCAAAATCAAAGGAAAAAAACTTTTTTGATAAATTTAACAAAACTTAATTTAATTATCGTGATCAGTTTTTGTGTCTGAATCGAAGATTTGCACTTCAACATCTTCACTTTTATCACTTGCACTTTCAGTTTCATATTCCGAACGTGAATTAAACTTCGTTGACGATGAATGATCGTTGTTGGCAATTAAATTAATTGCACTGAAGTTGTTTGTCTCTGGTACTTTGAAAGCTGAACCAACACGATTCTTTCCAATAATTGGATTAGTCCAAGTAGGATCCAGCGGAATGTTGCTTTTCAACGCTTGACTGAGATAAGTTTCCTTCTTCCTGTCGTAGACTTGTCCGGCGGAAACCCTCAAATCAATGAAGAAATGCAAAGGATCGACGTATGGATAGAAAGCAGAATTGTTGGGTTGTGTTTGTGTGACTTCAGTTAGAGGAGAAGGTTGTGGATCGTCTTTATCAACATTAATCACTGAATCTTGACTGTTCTCATTCGCTGAAGAAACTTTCGGATCTTCATTCTCGTTAGTTGGTGTTTTCGGTCTATCAGTTAATTTCTGTCGTTTCCAATCAGTTTCAAGTGGCTTCTGATAATGGTAAAATGATTTTCTTGTCTTCTTCGGTATCGTCTTTGACTTCATTGTTGAGTTGAGTTCGTCAGATTTACGCTTTTGAACGAGACTTTTCAGCATTTCACTGAAGAAGAAATTGTGACCAGCTTGATGGAGTGAACTTGGCGGTGTGAAGAAATACGATGGCGTTGCAGCTTTTGTGAGAATTCAAGAATGTGAAAATGAACAAAAATATTTAAAAATAAATTTTATTTCCTTTCACTTACCCATGTATAAGCGAACCAACTCTCTATTGTTCATCTCATGAGGCTTTGATGCAGCTTGCTTGTCAACCATTGAGAATATACTGAAAGACAAAACGTCGAAATAGAAATAAAATTGGTGAAAATCAACTCTACATCCCATTGCGAATTCATTTGTCTTAAGAAAATCGTTTTTACTACTTTTGTCTTCATCAACCATTGTTTAAATCTTTTGTTTTCTTCGTTTAGAAAATTCAATTTTCTCTCGTTTACTCTCGAGAGAATCCTTCTCATGCTTCATCCCCAGCTTATTGTACAATCTTTTTCGCATTTATAAAATTATCTGCTACGACAGCTGCGAGAGATTTAATCTGTTAATAATTATGATGCCATGCCGTCAACTCACAGCCACCCCCTCAAAAGCAGGAGAGTTTATTACTTTTAAATTGAGTCGTTTGGTTGAGAGTTGTGGGTGGCGTTGGTTTCGATTTCATATTGTGTGAAGGATGGGAGAAACATCATGAGTGGTGTAAGAACATCGCTTGACGAATGTGAATAACAGATTGCATGAAAAACTTTTATCTTTCTTCTCTCACACCATTTTTAATTGTTGTTGCGGCTACCCAACAATTTATTGAAGCTTCGCTTTCTCTCCTTTCTATCTCTCTCGGGAAAATCGTCATCAAAGAATTTTTTCTGTTATTTTCTTATTCGCTAGAGACTTAAATTTTCCTTTAAGCGTTTTGTGGGTGGGGATTTGACAAGAGCGAGAAAAGTTTCAACGAATAGCGATGAAGCAATCTCTCTAATTAAAATAAGAATGCGAAAGTGATGAAAAAGGAAGAAAAAGTTCTCCTTTCGTTTGTTTTTTAAAAGAAAAGCAATGAAAAAGTTTTCTTTCTTTTTAATTGTTTGTTGGGTGGGTGGAAGGAAAGCGAAGCAATAAAATAAGTTGCTAATTTAAAGTTATGACTTTAATCTTGATTTTTGATATTACAAGTAATCTTTTTTATGTAGAATAGTTTCAGATTGGGTTTGTCAGATTATTTTCCCAATTTCCTTTGCTTTGTATTGAAGGCATTTTCAAGTTAAATCTTTCTAAATATTCTAAGCATATCAAGACATTTCTAAACGTATCTAAATGTATCTTATTTATGTCACGTAAGAATTATCAACAACTCAAGCAGCATGTGTCATTTATTACAGCAATTTTTATTGAAATTCAATCATGCGCATTTTTTTAAATGTAATCTGTTTAAAATCGTTCGATACTTAATCATTCGCACATAATTCGATTAAATCCTTCGAGTCCATCAAACTCAAACCCTCATTCATTCGACAATTGAATATAGCACAACAGAATTTATTCATTATTTCACCCACAACAAGTTGTTACGATTGTGAAAAGGGTGAACTCTCATCAATTTTTTTGTAGTTTATTTTAATATTTTAAAAAATTTTCTTCATAATTGTGAACTGATTGTGTAACTTCATATAAAATCAAATTAAACATTTAGGTAGTTGTTGAGTTTTTAAACTTTTACATCATTTTCATTAAAATTGTTATAATAAAAATTTGATGATTTTTTTCAAATTTATTTAATTTTTGAAAAGAATAAAATGAAATCATTTCATTTAACATCACAAAATATTTTTCAGTAAGTGACCGAAAGATAATTAAATTTCTGACACACATATTTGTTTAAATTGAATGAAATTTTAACACTTCCGTAGTAGGTTTGTGACTCATGTGAGAAGTTAATTCAAATTCTGACTTATGAAATTTAATATTATAAAAATTCATGACAAGAAAATTATAAAGAAATTATCTAAAAAATCTACCTTAATAAAAGCAAAATTTAATCCACATCCAATGACAACTTTTAAAATTTTTATTGAATTTGAATTATTTTTTTCACTTAACTTCACCAACGACAATATTATTCGTCGACAGATGATTCCTGACTGAATAAGTTTTTCCGCAGATTGGTGGTTTGAATTTTTTTTGTCGTATCTGATGACAAACGCCAAACCAAAACTCATTCCACCCACCCTCTTGTTTCCTCTCATTCTATTTTCCACGAGGATTTAAATTCCTTTTTTATGCGGCTCGGATTTTATTGTTGTTATACCATTGAAAAAATCTGTGGATTTCAGTTGAAATGAGTGAATGATAAAAAGAGTTTCCTAGTCTGTTGAATGTTTATGAAAAGCAGAGAAAATTTGTAGAAGGGGATGAAAATTTTTGTCATTGTTGACGAGATTTTCAACAAGCGACAATAGCTCGAGAAATGAGTGATGATTCTCTGATTGAAATGTAGATTCACTTTAAATGTGATTCATTTGAAAGTCTCGTCACATTTAAATGCTTTAAGCAATTTGCATTGTAAAGAAGAATGGCTGTTAAAACTTTTAAAGAATTTTGAAGGTATCATAAGGGAATTTTAATCATCATCAGCATCTTCATCTTCTTCTCCATGATAATTCTTTTCTCATTTTTCATTTCTTCATAATTTTAAACTTTTTCAATCAATATTTCCCTAAAGCGGAAAGTAAACATCAAGTGATGACAACAAAAATGAAAAAGGAATCCCTCAACCACGCGATGGAGATATTTATGACAAATTATGAAGACAAATCTGTTCGGAGAAAAATTTCCATAATAAATTACCATCTCCCCACAGAAAAGACACGCGACTGAAGACGATGTGCCTAATTAAAGCGTAATTTATATGGCAACGATGATGAAAAGAATAAATAAAGGAATTTTAATACAAATATCATCCCTCCATTCATTTCATTTCGCTTTCTTCATAGATATGAAAATTGTCGCCAAATTAGAAAGATTTAATGTTTGTTGAATGACAGAACTTCGGTTCACTCGTTTAAAAATATGTTTCTTGTAATCATTATTTATATGAATCATGAGTTTAGGAAGAGACAAGGTGGGTCGAAGTTATTTTTATATGAACAACATAATCTAAATATTCAACAAAGTTTAGGCATGAAGTGTTTTGATGTTCCGAAGTATAGAAAACATTTATGATCTAGAACCGCGCAAAATATCAAGCCATTCATAATCTCAAAACTTGTCGTTTTTAAAGGAGAGTTTAATATTTCACTACAAAAATATACAAACGATGTCGGGTGGATGATATTTAATACATCGCGATGATTCAATGAATCGTATTGATCTAACAAAAATGTTTCATTGAAATATGTTTATCAAGCAATTTAATACAAGCAATTTATCCTGGGAATATAAATAATCTTGTCTAAAGTGTTTATGAAAAAATGCTTATGATTATAGTAGTTTAATTAAGGTATTTACTTTAAGAGAAGGAGACTTGGAGTCACCTGTTTACTCTATTCACAAATAATTAAATATTGACAAAAATCATTCTTTAATTTACCTAAGTCAAATTTGCATCAAATCATTTCGTGGAATTAAATGAACAATGTTTATAAAACAAATTAACAATTAGGTAATTTCCAAGTTTCTGAGCATTTAGAAAAATTCTATGAAATTAACTCAAGCAGCTTAAAATATTTATAATTTTGTAACGGTTTTTCTATATTTCAAAATTAGCATTTTTTCAAAAATGTAAGAAACTCATTTTTGTCACATTAGTCCGACTGAACGTGAGAAAAAGAGAATTCTTATTACAAAAACTTATCAAAAAATTAAAAATAAAGTTATAAGAACAAGTCTTAAAAATGCAGTGGTCATAGAAATTTAAAATATAAGTAGTGTTTCATGTAAGTGTTGTAAATGTGAGCATAGAAAAGCTTATTACATCTAAAAATTATGCAAAATAGTCGGTGTAGTACACCCAAAGTTATTTTTATTTCTCAACAAAATTCCGATCTTTTCTGCTCATCATTCTCATCGAGAAATCTCCACATTCATTTAAAAATCATTTTTTATATTTATCAACACCTTGATGAGTAAATAACATCGCAATTAATAAAGTTCCAAACAATGGAGCTGAATAGAGAAGAAAACAATTGTGGATACGACAGCAAAAAAACTAAAACCAGATCCCAGTGATTATAGGATTCATTGTCTTGTTTCGCTCTTTCTCTCGATGTTCATTAGATAATTTAATTAAAAAAGTTTCTCTTTGTTAATTGCTCAACTGATTCGTAGTTCATCCTGCTTCTGTGGATATCTCTGTGATTGAAATTGTTCCGTTCGTCGATCCCATTTTTTTTCCTTCTATAAATAAACAAGAAATTTAAGATGTTTCCTCATGAATCTCCCAAAAAACGAAGTTTTTTTGATTAGAAGATGTTTTATGTGTGTGTTTGTGTAATTTTCATAATCGTCTTCAGACACATTTGCTAACCAAAAATTGATTGATTACTTAAACCCCGTTGACTCTTACACTGAAGTGATCGCAAGCGCAACCAGTTCTGTTGCTGGCAGAAATCATTACGAAAACTCCGTTCATTTAAATATTTCACAGCTTTTTATGCCTTAGAGTCAGAAATCGCATTCTTTTATTTTCATCTTACAATTCTCGTAACAACAACAACGAAGACGACGATGATATTAAATAAACACAAAGTCATTTCATTCATTCAATTATGCATAAAGAAAAAATAATAAATGAAATGAAGAGCGAGAAGCAAGCGAAATATAAAAGCGATTGAAGCCAGAGACCAAGTGCTCGTCGACATAAATTGGTCAATTTCGGATTATGTCTCACAATTCACAATTCACACACATCACGCGAAACGCCAGACGAAACTTCCTCAAAAAACAAGAAGAGGAAATATTAAAATAATAGGGCCGGCAAAAGCATAACAAGAGAAACTATATAAGCTTATTTGTTCGCTTCGTAATACGGTTATGACTTTAACAGTTGTTTGATGAAATGATACATTCACTTCATATGTGAATGATACAACTGAATCTATTAATTTTGATGTCTTATCGATTTAACTAGCGATCAAAGAAAGCGCGAGATAAAAATTGGATTAGTCACGTTGTGGCTATTCTGTTTTCTATTTACTCATATTTTTCTTTTACAATCCAACAAACAAGTCAAGTTTGATATTCAATTAAATTTCTCTACCAGCACACATCTTGATGTCACAGTTCATTAAGTTCAATCTTTAATTGTAAGTCGTTTAACAAAGACGAGGCTTGGCTGAATAAATAACTAATTGACAAAGACATTCAAGAAGAAATATTCATCAATTATGCAGAATAAAAACAAACCAAAAGACATCTTTAATTTCTTTAAAAGTATTGTAGAAATGTGTGGAAGTGACGTCTATAAAGGTCTTGCAATTCATTTCCAATAGTTTCCTGCTGATAAAATACCAAATCATGTTGTTATCGATAAATTGAAGAAAGAATTCATTTTTATGTATCAGACATTTACTTCCTTCCCTCGTCTTATCAATGTTGGCAGGTGTTTATTCTCTGCCGACTTCATTTTTATAGATATGAAATTCGATTAAGTTCAGAGATAAAGCGGGAAAAAAAGTCAACATAACTGTAAGTTGGTTTGTTTGCTGTTGTATCACCTCACATACGAACTCCCATAATGAGTTTCGTTAGCATTTTGTTACTGTTTTTTTTTCACACAAACGGTGACAGCATTGATGACACTCTCACCATCGTCCAATAATTATCCAATAAATCAAATTAAATGAAACTTTTTTCTGCTTGTGTAGAGTGCTTTCGATTAAAAAAGAAAGAAAAAGAGAAACGAGTTTTGTTTATACGAAGTTGAATGTATAAGGTCGAGAAGCTTTCAATGCTCAGCTGCATTCGGATGCATTCATTAATGATTACTTTCGTTTATCTTGCTCTTCAAAACGTCAAATAATTTACATCATTTATGAATATACTTTATGTACATAATTAGAAAGAAAAGTTTAGAAACAAACGTTGCAAAAATATTTTCTCTCGTCGGAAACTATAAAAATGATTAAGTTTTTGTTTGCATTCAATTGAATCGAAACCAAAATGAGAAAATGAGAAGAATAAAAGAAGAAAAATTAAGCGGCAATTTATTCAGACAATAGTTTAAGTATACGGTTGAGAGAGTATAAAAGATGAAATGTAACGTAATTGTTCGATCACATTCATGCACGTTGTAGGTAAGAAACTTGAATGTCGCGTGTCAGAAAGTAATAGAAAGAAGTTAACAATTGTTTTTCTCTAACATAACATAACATAACATAAACGATAGTGTTTATGGATATTGGCGATGTCTCTTGAGTATGACTTATCATAAGTTTCCAATGCAGTTTTCTGCAGAATTTCCATTGCAGCAATGAAATAAATTTCCGATAATTTAACTTCCATCGGTTACAAACATTGCCAAGATTATTTTTAGTAACATTGTGTGACTTGATGGCAGTTACACTCCTATTGTGACCGCTTTGTGTATAAACTACACATCATTAGTCCATCACTTAAAATTAATTCTCCCACTCCATCATGTCCCTTAACACGATTTCGTCATGTTCTTTCCAACTGAATGAAAAACACCAAAAATTCAACATGAAGTGGGAAACTCTCCCACAAATATAGGAAAAAAAAAATTATTTTTCGTAAATTTTGTGTACACTTTAAATCGTCTGTCGTTGCTTATGCGCAGTTGCGAGAACGAAAAGAAAAATAAAACACAAACTTTTTTCTTTGAGCAATAAAATAAGAATTTTACTTTATATTTCTAGGAAGAAAAACAAAAAAAAATTCTTTCCTTTCATTTTCTCATGTTTTCTGCCTCTGAGAGTGTCTCGCGAAAAAAAAATAAGCTAAATAAGTAAAATTTTGTTGTTGAAGTTAAAACCTCGCACAATTGAGTTTATTTTTCAATTTCCAATGTGATTTTTGTGAGCTTAATTTTATTGCTATTCTTGGATGCTTAAAATTGTTCATTATTTATCTTGTTAAAAGTGATTCAAACAAATGCTGATATTATATTTGTTTTTCAATGGAACAGACAAAAGGAAAAGAAACGCAGTTTACCATGATGAAAAGAAAATGTTTCTAGTTTTTGACGTTTGAGGAAAGAAGAGGAGAAAAATTGCCAAGCTCGAGCTTCTTTTTCTATTTTTTAGCGTTTTCTGTGAAGTTTTTCTTGTACTCAATTTTACAAAAATCAAATCCGTGAACTTTTCGACTTTGTTGCACAAATTAAGAAGTGATAAAAATAACTTTTGTTACTAGTTTTCATCGGGGGGAAAACGTATTTGTTATAGAAAAACCTTAAAACTGTGATGATTAGCAATTAACTTCAAGTAAGCATTTTATTGTTTGTTTTAACTACATACTTTGATCGTTCTTTTGAAAGATTTGGTGTGGAAAACTTTTTCATTTCAATGGGTTTTCTCAGTGGAGCTCGATCGATAATTTGTTTGAGTCTTATTCTCGATAGAAAGTAGCTTTTAGGAAAAGGATGAAATCGTAAATTGAAGGAAATTCATTGGGGAGAATTCTCAATAACTGAAGAAACCTTTTGGAGTATTTTAAAAATTGTTTTCTCCTTTGTATTTACAGGTCATGGTTATTATTAAAAGAGATGATCATATCTCCTACATAAATTCAACAGGAGTTATTAAGATGCCAATAACTCCAGCAAATGACAACATTTCTTCACAGCCGCCTGGCAATGGTGGCACAACAATTCCGCCCATTAACAACATTTCTCAACAAATGAATCAAACAGCAGCAATTTCCACAATAAAGCGAGATTCATCACTGCAGCAACTTCAACAACTTCAGCAGTATACACAACAACAGAGTCAAGAACTGTCAAGTCTAAGTCCGACATTAGTGAAAGCACAACTCATATGTCGTCCCAACTCACATCCATTTCCGGTAAGTTTTTATATCTTTATTCTGTAATTTTTTCTTTTTATTAAAATTCTTTCTTTTTATTATTTATACAGAGTCGAACTCTCCTTCTTGAACCGAAGAAACCAATGAAAATTGGCCGAGCAATTGCACGCACAAAAGCCAGCGATAATAATGCCATTTTTGACTGTAAAGTTTTATCACGTAATCATGCTGAACTTTGGTATGATGATGGAAAATTCTTTCTAAAGGTTTGTTGTTTAGTTTCATTCTAACATTCATGTTTTGATTTTAAATATTTCCATGTTGATTTTGTAGGATACCGGAAGCAGCAACGGAACTTTTATTAACAACACACGTCTAAGTCAAACGTGTCAAACATCGGAGCCATTTGAGGTGAGCAGCGGTGACATCGTTCAATTTGGAGTCGATGTAATGGAGAATTCAAGAAAAGAAACTCATGGATGCATTGTTGCGACATTAAAGCTCTTCCTGCCTGATGGTCGAGAAACAAAAGCAAGTCAATCAACACTTGCTGGTGCTTCGAATACAAAAATTCCTCAAGTTGATCTTTATCGTTTGAATCAATATATACAAGAAGCGATTCAACGTGAACAAAGTCTTGAGAGTAAACTGTTAAACATTCAAAAGAAAATTGATTTAGTGAGGTGAGAAAAATGTTAATTTCAGTGCTTGAAACTTGAAATTTATTAAAATTTCCTTCTTAAACTTTTAGATCTGCATCATCAGCAAGTTGGCAAGCTTTAGTTGATGAAGATCGTTTGTTAAGTCGAATTGATATGCTTGAAAAGAAGTTGCTTTGCTTTAGCAAAACCTTAACCGAAGATAAGCTACGAGAAGAAATCATGAAGTTACAGAATGAGAAAATGCTTTATCAAACTAGCGCTAAACAGGCTTTGAAAAAAGTTTACAATGAACGAATGGAAGCAATTCAGAAGTTGAGTACTCTTGAGAATGCTTTATGCAGCACTGAAGATGAATGTTCTTTGTTGAGAGATCAATTGGATAAGACTCAAACACATTCACAAGAAGCGACACAACGTTTGGATGCAATACAAACTCAGATGGATGTCAAAGTTAATGATTATGAAGAGAAAATGTACAAGAAAGAAACAGAACTGAAGAGTTTGAATTCAGAACTGAATGATTTACAAGATAAGCTCGGAAGTTTTAAGGTTCGACCATTTTCAATTGCTTTATTAATTATTTAACATTTTATTTCATTTTCTTCAGCTTCAAAATGAAATTGGTGACTATGAAAATTCACAACTTGTCACAAATTGGCTTCTCAAATCTGACATCAAAAACATTGACGGTTCCGATGATATCATCAAAGCGATTTGTGCTGATGACGTGAGTAACTTGAGACTCAAACTTAACTAGGTATTTAATGAAACTTTTCTTCTCTCTTTCCATCAATAGGACGAAGAAATGAACTTAGAAAAGAGTTTAGAAAATAATTGTTCACAGATCTACAGCAAAATGTTTGCACTCGAAAAGGAATTGAATTTGCTTTTTACAGCAAGCGACATAAACATCAACAATAATATCAATAATAATAACAATAACAACATTAACAGTAGCAACAGTAAGTTTAAATATTTAATGAATTTTCTTCTTTGGCTAATTTAATAATTATCTTCAGATGGATCTGACAATAGCATAAATTCAAATCAAAATGATTCGTCGATCACAATGACGGATAATCAAACGGATGTGCCATCAACACCGTCAGCGATTAAGGACGAAGAGTCAATTCTCCTGGCACCAACAATCACCTCGTCACAAGAAACATTACAGCAACAACAGCCATGCGATGACAATCAGAATAACATGAACAATCGAATGATTTCGAATGTGAATGTAGCTGATGTAACAAGCGAGAAAATTCGAGTGAATCTGAAGCAATTATTGGCGCTCTATGCGAAGCTTAAGCGTCAATTAGTGGAATTTATGGAAGCAAAAGCTAACGAGCAGAGCTCGTATAAAGCCAAATGTGATGAAATGTCATCTGAGGTGATTTATTATGAAACATTTAATAGACAATTCTTGAATATCTCAAATTTTTTTTTCTATTTTTCAGTTAATGGCATTGAAACTCGAACTCGAGTCACGTCCAACATTGGAAGACTTTGATGGAAAAAATCAGCAGTGCAATGACCTTCGCTTAGAATTGTCAAATCTTACAGAACAAATGTCTTTGAATGAGAAATTACTTGAGCAACATCAGAAAGAATTAATTGAAGCACGGAAGAATCGATTTGATGAAATGAAACATTTAGAGGAGCGTGAAATGCAAACGGAAGCTGTCAGTGAAAGTACAAAAGAATTGTCAGAAGTGGTAGCTCAAGATGAATGCAACACCAGCAGTAGCAGCTCAGTATTATCACAAGAATCTCTTTCATCTGTCAGGATTGCTAATTCACAAACAAAGTCTTCAATTAAAATACCCCAATCAATAGAAGTTCCCGATGGTGTTCAACAGAATGTCAATAATGATGATAATGATGATGATGACGACGATGACACGCTTAATAATCATCCGAAAGTATTATATGAAGATGAATTAATCGTGTTTAAAGAAAAATGTACAAATCTAACCGCGGAAAACGTTCGATTACTTCTTGAAGTCAGAGAATTACGAACCAACATCAGTCACTTCCATAACAGTTGGCTGCACAATTTCGTGCTCAAATATATTGTTCCCGTGATGATTGTATTTGTTGCCTATATCTTTTATCTGCTAAAATAGCTACAACTGGAGCTTTAAACTTATCAAAATGTCGCGTAAATGCATTTCTTATATTTCTTTCTGTTTTAATTTTCATTTCTCAAAACGCTTCATGTTACAAGCGTGAAATGTTATACTCATCAGCGGCATTATTCATCATCGTCATGATTTATTCAATATTCTTTGTGTTAATCTATGAATTAGTTTTCTTTATTATTATAATAGTTATTATTACATTTATTATTCTTTGCTGGAGACTTTCTTTTCTAATCGAAAAGTTTCAGTAAAGATGAATAGAAATTTTTTGGTTCTTAGTACGAAATAAAAAAATTAAAGAAAAGAAATGTTACTTCATATCATTAAATGTTCTTTTGGTCATCAAGGAAAAAATAAGACTTAAGATTTTTATTTTAACCAAATGTTTGACTTCTTTTTATAGTTGACTGTTTAGTTTCTCCTTTCATTTTAAGATTACTAACGGTTTTTAATTTTTAATTTAAGTTCAAACTTTGGTTCAAAAAAGGAAAGATCATGAAAGCTCAGGAGCTTTGGTTCAAAAAGGAAAGATCGCGTAAGCTTCTAAGAAAAAGCCCAATTTGATCCCAAAATCTTGAAATGTTAGAATCCTTTGTATCTGTTTTTAATCCCTTTACAATATTTTATTTTATCATAATTCTTAGCATAAATTCACTTACACGTAACACTAACTTTAGACATTTCTAAATACCTTGAACCAAACAAAATACTTTAAAATGCAACTAAGGCGATAATGAATTTCGATAAAAAGTGAATTATCGTACGTCTTTAATTGTGTAAAGACTCTGTTCATAATCTTATTCAATCACTTTCATCAAATATCAAAACTGATAATTGAACGCTGCTTATATCGTTATTGAATGAAAGTAACACAATTTACACAATATAAATATAATTAAAAAAAATGTAATTAAAATTCGTATAAAAAATGAAGATAAATTTATTGTAATTAATTGAAAAATAAAACCAAGAATAATAAACAGAAGAGATATAAAAAAATTTTAGTAGTTAATTATAAGCAATATTAAAAGCCTCTGAAATATAAATTCGTCATAAGTCAAAACTAAAAGTAATCGCACAAATTCTATGGGAGGACATAAGTATCACAACCTGCAAATCACAATCATTACGTTCTGACTAAACGGAAGAATTCGTCACGTGTCTTAGGATCCTTCTTAAATTCGCCAACCATTACACTAGTTACAGTTTTAGAATTGACCTTTTGAATGCCTGAAAGATTTTCTTAATTAGATTTTAACCCGAGGGTGATTAGTTCTGTTTTTACCTCTCATGACCATGCACTAAGGCCGAAAAGAAATCGAAATTTTAATAAACATTTCAATGTCAATGCCGTGAAAAAATATTTTTATTACCATGTGCGAAGCTTCGATGACGACTCCAACACCAAGTGGCGAAAGTGCTGAATCAATTGCTTCAGCTATATCCTTCGTCATTCTTTCTTGTACTTGAAGTCGACGAGAGAAAACTTCAACGATTCTTGCTAACTTACTCAGACCAATAATTTTCTTATTTGGCAAATATCCGATTGTCACACGACCAAAGAATGGAACTAAATGATGTTCACACATGCTATACATTTCAATGTCCTTAACAATTACCATTTCATCATGATTCTCGTCGAAAACTGCATCGTTTATCACATCTAAGAGTTAAAACCAGCGAATTAATTAAAAACAAATAATTTATGTAAGCAAATGTTCAATTACCCTTCAAGTCTTCCTGGTAACCTTTTGTGAAAAAAAGTAAAGCTTTTGCAGCACGTTCAGGTGTTTTCAACAGTCCTTCTCTGTATGGATCTTCACCAACATTTTGTAAGATTGAGCGATATGATTGAGCTATTTCTACAACAGACTGATCTAAAGATTCTCTTTCTAAATAGATATTTGATGAAACTTTGTTCATGTTTATAATAAATTATAATTATTAGAAACTTTAAATATCACAGCACAAAAGTAATTGTCACAACAATAGTGATTGATTGATCACCGCTGGTTTATGTCTGAATTGCAACTAACTGATGCTTTTAAGTTTTTAACATTCTATGCTTCATTTCTTTAGATTTCCCTTCAATACATTTGCAAAGTGACCTTGTCAGCTGATTGGCGTGGTTGAAAATGATGTTGGGTCAGTTCAGTTTCTAAATTAGTTTACATTTTTAACACAAATTTCATGTTAAATGTGATAATATCATTGAAAAATATCCCCAAGTAAGGTGTATTAAGTTGCTTTACTTTAAATGTAAGTTCAAACATGTTTTTACAGCTCAATGTGCAAGTAGCAAAATTGCATTTACACGCATTCAATGTCTGTGTATGTACGGAAACAATTTGCACATAAAATGCGGTGATAATTTTGTGAAACTTTAGTTTTTAATATATTAACACTTTAACAGGTGCAATAAAAACGAATTTTCAAAAACATTTAATAATTTTTCCAAGCACAGCATTGAAATTAATCATTTATTTTATTAAATTCGATGGAAACCAATCATTGAAAACAATTAAAATGTAATCAATAGGAAATTATTATTTTGAAAAATTATTTAAACATTTTTATTGCTGGAACCTCAAAAGAATGAAAAATAGTTAAATTCTTAAAAAATCTATAGTGTTGGTACATTATGTAACTCAGTTATGCATTCAGATATTTTTAATCGATTAGCTTAATATTTCTTCTTAACTATAACTCAAGTCATGTGAATAATCGCGGTGGAAAAAAACTTTTCTTAGGCGCCTCAAAGGCGTGACGAATGTTTGTCCTTTCTCTTGACATATTTTTCTAAGGAAATTATGAAAGTCTGAAAATGAAAAATTAATTACGATAATGTAACTTTAAAACAGTTTGAAATGCGTTGCTGGCTATAAGAAATATTTAATTAAGGCTATTTAAATATTTTATGAATACTTTCATGATATTTTGTCGACATAAATACAACGGTATGACATGTGTTCTACTTTTCAGCTTCTGAGTACATTGAATTTTTGATAATAAAAACTGAATAAAGAAAAGTCAACAAATTTTCTCAAAAATATTAATTACATGTTTACCGAAATATCTTGAGCATATATCCGAGTCACAGGAGAGAAAATTCGAAAAATATTCTCGCGATTTTAAGAGCATAAGAAACACTTTTCGAGTGAGAGACTTGACGGCACATGATCGTATCAAATATTTCTCGTTATTACCAAAACAGAGAAAATTTGAGAGAAAAATATTCGAAAAGACGTAAATACTCAGTCTCGAAGTGTTTTTTATAAAGTCTGGAAGTTTGGCAGCTTTGAGGTGTTACGTATTAAGATTTTGCTAATTAAAGTGCCTTGTCAAGTGTTTAATTTTGTTAATAAGCTTCGCTACCTTATGCAAAATCATTTGAAGCAATAAAAATGTGATAATTTCTAAGTTTTGATGAGAAAATTTCGGAAATCTAAAAGTGGCAAAGAAAAATTTTATATTTTGTCTCAAATTGAATTTGATAAGAAGAAAAGTAAAGAAAAAATTGATGATGTTAATCCTACGCCGCTCTTCGTTTATTGATTCAAATAATTAGTGTTGTGTTTTGTTAGTTAAAGGAATTTTATTTATGTTGCGTCTTATTTAAGAAAACTAAGTGTCAACATGTCACTCAATAAAGATTTATTGCTTGCATTTGAGCAACGAAACTTTGGAAAATTCCAAGAACTTCTGCAAGTGTATCTCGCTGATCCAAATTATTACATTAAAGAAGAAGAACAAACGATATTTGAGACCATCTTAAGTTCACCAAATTCAGAAAATTATATTAAATTATGCATTGAAAATGGAGGAGATTTTTATCAGGTAAATTCATTTTTGAATGATGTCATTCAATAACGTTGGCCATTAGAGGTTTACTTGTCATTAACTAAGCTTTTTTTTTTATTCTCACGTTTCATGTCGTGTAGAAGAACAGCAACGATTATTATCCATTACATCGCGTCATAGAATCGCATTGTCTTGAAAACCTCAAACAAGTTGAAATTTTATTTGATGATCTTAACTCAGACATGGATGATGACACCTACAAGCGATATTCGCCTTATGTCAATGTTAATATGACTCACGGGCAAAATTCTCTCCACATTCTTGCTGAAGCTCTCACGAATGATAATTATCAAACGATATTTGAGATGATGAAGATTCTCATTTCACATGGTTGCAACGTTAATTATCCGAATTATGATGGGAAAACCGCTTTTCACATTTTATTAGAGAAATTGCAACAATTAAAAACACAACCACGTAAAGAAATTTTGGAGTATTTTCTCAAATATGCGGACGTTGACTTTTACTCTCACAAAAGTGACGAAATTATTGAGATGGTCATGAATCAGAAGTTGAAATATGAGTTACCAGCTCGACAAGACATAAAAGCTGATTACGAAACTATGACAAATCTTTTGAACACAAATCAGATTAACACATTTGAAACTTTGTTTCCACTTTTTAAATCGTCATGTGAAGATTCGGAAATTTACGCTGATCGATGTGCATCTTTCATGCAAATTGCAGTTCAGAAGTCGTTAATCAACATTGTAGATCTTTTAATAGATTACAGCATTGATGTCAATAAAACACCAAAGAACTGTGAAGATAAAACTCCGCCAGTTTTTAAAGCATTTTCTAATGCAAATCCTGCAATTTTGAGAGTTTTCTTCTTACATCCAAAGATAAGATTCACGTACGACAATGAAGGCGAAAGAAAAACTTTACTTCATCAATATTTTGACTCGTTCAAAGGACATTCATATGCGACATTTCGACGTAATGAATCAGCAAGAGAAATGACAAGAGATCAGAAAAAATGTTTCGATTTGTTAATGGACCATCCAAAGTGTAATCGTCATTTAATAAATGCTTATGACGAAGCCGGATTGCCGGCAATTTATTATTCAGTTCGGTATAAAAATGATTACATCACGATTGCGTTACTTAAACGTGGTGCATACGTTGGAACGGTCATCAATGGAATAAGAAAAAGTGTTCTTGAAGAATTTTTAGACAGCACAATCACCACAAATGACCGATTCAGTGACGATGAAGACTTGGAAATCAAAATTGATTACAGCTTCTTAACGCCGCCCTTCAAGGAACCTTCTTCAAAGAAACGTTCAAAGAAACCAAAGAGTAAAGAGACTTCAATTGCAATTTCCAATGATTCGAATCCCAATGAAAAATTGAAAATGATTCCAAGTGTTGAGAAGGAAGAAATTTATTTGGAAGAAATGAAACCATTGAAGAAAATCGCTGAAAGTTCAGAACTTCAAAAATTCATCGTTCATCCAACAATCGCTAGTTTCATTCTGCTTAAGTGGTACAAGTTGAGCTTCTTAATTTACACTAATCTGATCTTAATTCTGCTTTTTATGATGGCTTTCATACCATTCAGTGTCATTTGTCAAACTTATCCGGTACATACTGAAGTCACTTACATCGCTTATCTAGTCTTTCAAGTGTTAAGTTTGATAAGTCTTTGTACACTCTTAGTCAGAGAAACATGTCAAGCACTTCTGTCTTTACGACAATATGTTTCAAATGTCTCCAACTGGATCGACATTTTGCTTGTCGCGTCAGCCTTGACTGTTCTCATTTTTGAAAGTCAAATTCCGCATCATCTATCTCGTGTTCTCAGGACAATTGTTATACTTTTAGCAGCTGCCGAATATTTTAATCTTCTTGGAATGGTTCCGATGCTTAAAGTTTCTATTTACACGAAAATGTATTTAAGAGTAATGAACACATTCATCAAGTCATTAGCATTTTATTCCATGATGCTTCTTGCTTTTGCATTCAGCTTTTTCACTCTTATGGGTGATAAGTTTGCTAAAGATATTATGAAGCTTAACAGAGAAGGTCCTGACACGACGACAAATGATATTCCAGTCACAAATGCTACACGTAATGAGAGATATAATAATTTTTACACTGTCGGCTCTTCAATCATTAAAAGCTTTGTAATGTTGACTGGGGAATTGGAGACAAGCTATGTAAGTTCACACTTCTTATTAAAAGCTTCAACAATCAATTTAAAACTTTCTTTTATTTAAAGATCCACACCGAAGGATGGACATATGCAATACTTTTCCTACTTTTCCTTTTTCTAGTCACAATTGTATTGAATAATTTACTCAATGCACTTGCTGTGAGTGACACTCAAGAAATTAAACGTGATGCAAAATTAATAGATCTGAATCAAAGAATTGAGGCAATGTGTGACAATGAAGCAGCTATTTTTAAGAAAAATTCAAGGATGGGAAATTGGCTGAAGATGGTAATCAGCATGTTTCCCAAGACATTACCTGATGGATGCATAATAATCAAACCTAACCGAAGTTACCGCATTTATGTCAAGCAGAGTGAGCAAATTTTACTCAATGATTGGCTTCAAACAAATATTAAATTATTCAAACCCGATGTCAAATTCAATGCAGATATCATGAAAGAAATTCAAAAGCTTTTGACGACGAAACGCGAAGAGAAAACGATTATGGCAATTCGAATGCTCAAGGAGAATCGAAACGAAAAGCTTGCCAACGACATAATTAAAATTAGCGAAATGTTAAATGACATTCAAAAAAATGTGACAAAGTTGCAAGCTGACGTTTATAATCTTAGAAAGCGATCTAATTTATAATCTAAATATTCTAATATATCTAGCAGGTGATGGTACTTAGAAATATTCAATAAACGAATTATTTTTGCTGAAATATTTGCACAATAAAAGCTTGGTTTTGTTTTTGTTGTTATATTTACACAAGTTAAAAGACTTGAACTTTTATTTATTTAGTAGCAGCCTTAATGTATGCAATTAAGTCAGCACGTTCTGCTGGTTTCTTCAAACCAGCAAAGACCATTTTTGTGCCCGGGATGTATTTCTTAGGATTCTCGAGGTATTCAAACAAAGTATCTTCGTTCCAAGTGATTCCTTTCTTGATGTTAGCTTCAGAGTATGAGTATCCTGCAGCTTGACCAGTTTTGCGTCCCATAATTCCACTCAAATTTGGCCCAACTTTGTGCTTGCCACCAGCTTCAACTGTGTGGCATTGAGCACACCTTTGAACGAAAAGTTTCTTTCCCTTTTCAACATCTCCAGCTGGAACACCCATGATTGATCAGAACCTACGAAGAAAATTTAAAAATATTCGTGAGATAAAAATTATGCAACTTTTATTTTGTGATCTCAATCTAATTTTTGTTTGAATTCGAGGTCATTCGAATATTTGAAGATGAAATTCATTCTAAAATGCTTATGCAAGTTTTCGAAGACGTTCAAAGTCTTCGTTTAAAATTATTTTGGAATGACATCCAATATTATGTTGAATTTTCACAATACAATTAGAAATTTTCGTTATGATTTAAATATTTAAATTGTTTAAAATATTCCAGTAAAAAATTAAAAAGAAAATTATTGCAGATTTTATTTTCTTAAAGTCACCTTTAAATCAACTCAATAAGGAAAGAAATTAAAAAGATTAGATTTGAACTTGATGAGAAGTTAAAGAATACTATTTAAATATTTGCATTTGAAAATGCATTTTCTTCGCAAAGTGAATCTTCACTCACACTACGTTATCTGAGAAAAACTCACTCACACTACGATACGAAATGCATTTGTAGCAAAGCTTTGGATGAAATTGAGCTTTTAAAGCGACGCTTCATTTTATGATAGTGTAAGTTTATTCACGCTTCGAATTGAATAAAAATCACAAGATTTTCGTCACTTTTAGCTAATAACATTTATTAAATTTAATAAGAATGTCAAATGGAAAAGAAATATTTTTTGCCGATGAAGAAGCAGCAGGAAGCAAGTTAAAGAGGAAAGCAAAGGAATCTCCCTTTATGATCGCTGGTAAGTGAAGAAAATATTTTCTGATTGATTTTTAAGATTGTTTGACGTAATTTTTGTTATTCAATGAATTTTTTCTTATGAAAAATTAAAAATTATTTTAATATGCTTTACAAAGATTCAGAGTATTAAAAAATTGTATTTATAATCTGGAGAAAGTGAGCATAGATTTAACTTGCTTACGTGCGACCTTCAACGTTCCTCGTGGTTGTTTGTTTCAATTAACTTCAATGATTTCCTAATAAACAACTTGATTTACTTGGATTATATACTCATGTGGTAAAACTTGTCATAGAAAACTCGATTTTATCGATGCGATAAGGGTTTGCATTGATTATGACACGAAAAATATTTGACCTTGATCTGGAAGTCATACGAATGTTTACGGGAAAAGAATTTTCCACTATGACTGTCGAGTGACGTAATTTCACACGCGACTTTATAATAAATATTTTGGTTTTAATTTTGATGACTCTTCCGATACGTTCTCATGATTTATTAATTATCTTGTGATTCTTCTGCCAATTAATATTTTTTTTATTCTATTTAAGGATTGGGAGGACTTGTTGTTGCATTAGGAATTGCTGCTTACAAATTCAGACATCGAGGCAGCATGCCAACATCAGTTTTCCTCATGCAAACTCGTGTAGCTGCACAAGGAACTGTCGTTAGTGCTTTAACAATTGGTGTAGCTTATCACATGTTCAACAAATGGATTCTACATGATGGTGAAGACGAGTGAATAATGCAAAAATTAATGTTACGGCTCTCACTTGCGTTAGAAAATTATTTTACTTTTTTTTTTCATCTAAAATTCGCCAAAGAAAGCGATAATTTATTTTATTAATATAATTTAAAATTGCTATAAGTAAATACAAATAATTAGTAATGCAAGGATTATACAAGTCTAAGCAGGAAGTTGGAACTGAATTAAAAATGATTAATTGATTCTTCAATGATAAAGTGTGAATCAATTGAGGACGTGGAAAATTGCAGCATCTAAACGTGACTGGTCTAGTATTATTGCAATAACTTGTTGAATATTTTTGTCTTATCAGGAAAAGAAATTTTAAAGTAAAATTTAAAATTTCTTAAACTTATCGCAGCAAAAGGAACAAAGAATTTAGATTTTCATTTCTTAGAAAAAAAATATCTGAATCTCTGGAGATCTTCAGAATGAAAAATATGTAGAAATGTTTTAGGAGAGTTATTATTAATGTTATTGCTGCACTCATTGTTACAACTGTATATGCTTTATTTTATGTAATAAAATTCTTTCAAAATCTTAAAAATGTCATATTTTTTGAAGAATAAAATTCCCTTGCAGCTATTTGCGTCATAAGTCGACATCTGAAGTCGGAGAGTTTTGAAATCAACAAGTGTCAGCGAGAATTTCTCTTCCTTTAACAATTGTCTCATGGTGATTATTTTCCACTCATGACTCAACACAACCACATGATCTGCGCATTCGCGCTTCTCAAGTACGAAATTTTCTTTCGACAATTTTCTTTCCTTTTCCCGAAAAGTGTCAAAATAGAATTTCATTTTTTTGTCGTGTCATTTGCATTGTAAAAATATTTTGAAGACTTGATTCATAAATAAGTGACATCAATAATTGTTTTTCATTATGCGATTTCAACTTTCACAGTTTTTTTGTTGGGACCTAGCAACAGGTTTGCAAAAATTATCGTTTTCAATTAGTCCATATGCCAATTGACGTAATTTCTCTACTGCAGGTGCCAAAATCATCGGTTCATTGGGTGTATTGAAGCATTCACTTGCTATTCTTGTAATATATCTCGATGGAATTGACTTGTGGGTGGTTAGCAGTGATAAGGAAACAAATAAAATTCCAACAATACTCTTTACGTGTAGGTTTTCCTTTTCATGGTGAAATTGTTACAAAGTTATAAATTCTTTTTTAATTTCAGTTGTTGCAATTCTATTAATCATTGGCTTCGTTGTGAACGTGGTTAACATCGTGCTTTCATATCGATTGTTCAAAATACTGGAGACTGTAATAAGATGACCTTCAGTGACAGTTTCAAGAATTTTCCTTTTTTCTATTCTCCATCTTTTCAGAATCAAATTCAAGATTTGACAAATTGGATTAACGCTGAACGAATCTCCCTGACACTCTTCGCCATATACTTTGCTGTGAAGATTTTGTACGGCGAACTTGACTTCAAGCATATTGTTCGACTTTTATCATTCATATTCGATATTTACTGCTATCTTTGCGTAATGTCATTGCGTGAAGATTATCGACAACGGGCGAGTTTATTAGCATCGCAAACATAAATATCTACGACAATAAATCGTTAACTGGGAATCATCATGGACTTGAACATACATATTGAAACTGAGAAACATATTTAGGAGAAAAAAAATCATTTAATCGCAAGTATTGACTTTAAAGTATTTGAATTTTAAATGTGCAATTTATCCCTCGTAAAGAAATGAAATTGAAAATCAAATTCAATAAATTTAAAACAGCTATTTTGATGTAAAACTTCAGAGTGGAATTAAACTGAAAAGTGTTTTCGTTATTTGCACCGGAAATTGTTTTTATTGAAATATTTTATTTATTATTTTATTGACAAACTTTCTCATTTTATTTTTCTTTTTAATTGTTAACATTCAGACAACAACATTTTGTTTCAGCGTGGGAGGGTAAACAATGCAGTTTTATTTCTTAAATGAATATTACAATTTGTGCGAATAAAATCATTTTTACATTTATTTTTAATTACCTACCACCATGCCATGTCTGTGCAATGATATAAATTGAGCTTTAAATCATATTTGTAAATATTGTTAGCGTTTTTGTAAATAATATTAGCGAGCCTAAGAGAACGCCAGTGTAAATAATGTACGCAAGCGAATTTTCCGCAAACGTTTTAACTTTTCCAAATGTTGACAATTTAATCTCATTTATTAGAGTTCAATTCCCACATTCGCTTGCTTTATGATTGATAATCAATATTGACGTTCAATTAATGAAAAACCAGAATGAAATGAAAGGAAAAGCTTTGGCTATTATTGCATAATGCTTAATTTATGCGCAACCCATTTTTCACTACTTCAAAAATGTAAAATGTGTTTTTTCTTTCAAAATTCATTAATTGTTGCAAACAAATTGCGAATTAAATTTTCTTCAGGCTCATTTATTTTGACACTTTGTGTTTCAGTGCTTGATGCAAAAATAATAATTTCTATGAGTTTATTAAGAGTAGAAAAATGTTTTATCCAACCGCAACACCACCGGCATTTGAATTGCCTGCATTGGGTCCACGTGGCTTCTTTGGCACAAGCATTTTCAGAGGATCTTTGTGATAACGAGCAAACACTTCTCGTTTGAAAATCTCAAAATGTTTTCTATTAATATTGTTCTGATGTTCACGCCACGCTGGTCGGCCTTTCTTGTTTTGTAAGCCCCAATGAATTGTAAATAACGGCGTCAACACTTGAAATTGATATCCCGCCACAAACATTTCATACACTTGCGTGTTTCTTGTGTAGCCATATCCGATAAAACGCTCATCGTGGGCTGGGTTATTGTCGGGAGCAACAAAGAAAGGCTCATAAAGGAACTAAATAAAAACGAAATTTAGTCAACAATGTTGATCTATTTTGATGATAAAATAATTACCTCAAAGTTTGTGACCGCATGGCTTATTTTTACTTCAGTCTCAGTTACATCAGATTGCCATCTGTAATTAAATAATTTTATGATGATGTTGACAGTAATGTCTAAGTAATAGAAGTCTGTTTACAACGCTTTTCACTCCCGAAAACTTTAATTTTTATTTCCTTTTCTTTTATTGCTATCATGAGAGTTTCTCGCCATAACACTTCAGTAATGGGATCAAATATGAGATTGTAACATGAAATGTTGTTTACTTACCTTGAGAAATTCGTTGCATACTGATTATAGATGAAAACTTTATTGTGAAAAGGTCGAGCCAATCCTTTATTTGCTAATCTTATCAGATCAGTTTTATTTCGTGGAAATCTTACGCGTTCATCAAGCTCGAACGTTGGAATGACATAAGCGCATAAATTATTAATGTTTGAACATTTAGCTTTTCTCAAAAATTTGTCAAGTTGTTCTGCAAAGTTCATATTTGCTGACACAATAATGTCAACATCAGTTAGGAATACGAAATAAGTTTGACAATTTTTTCTCGCTATATTTCGCATAAGATTCTGTGGATATGGATATTTGATTCGCCACTTTTTTGTATCGCCCGAGCGTTGCTTCAACATTTCGTTGAGTGTTTGTTCGGGTTTGGCACAATTATATTTTGCAAGTTCACTCAAATGAATGCCTCGTAAATGAGACGGTGAGCGTTCTTTTGGTATCACTAAGTGAAAAGCTATGCGTTCGCGAATTGTAGTGAAACAATGTCTTAAATACGTTAGATAAAGTTGTAAGAGGTAAAGCTCGTCATCGCCTGCTGCATAGACCGTCGCCGAAATAGCTCCCGACCAGTGATGTGAGACTGTGAATAAGGTTTGTAAGTTCATTAATATTAATGATTCATTTCCACTTCTCGTCTCTTCTTACCTTGAACCAACGAGAATATTTTTTCAATGGAACTTTGCGTTGCTAAAGTCACATTCAACTTTCTCGAGAGTTCAACAAACTTCTCACCGACCACACCATAGTCAAATATTTTGAACATTCTTCGAGTGTCCCATCGTCCTAATTTAAGTTCAAGACCAGAGAAAACTGGTCTGTCACTAGCATTAACGCTTGAATCAGCGAGAATATACTCGAGACATGTTGTTGCTGGTGTTAAAATGACGGGCGCTCTAGGAATGACTGAGTTGTCATTGTTGAAACGACCACAGTCTGACACTTGCAATAATCGAAGTGTAAGGAAAACATTGGACACTGTCAAAGCTAGAACACTGATTATGCTGAAGTTTCGAAGGCGGCATGAAGTCTTTTGGAAGAAAATGAATCTATGTAAAATTCATAACTTGCGAGTAGTTTTCATCGTCTCCTCGACTCACCTGAATCATTTGATAACCTTTTTTATTGCTTGCTTCGTGTCACGTTTGTGCTTTGTTTTGCGCTTCTATCTGCTTTATTTTTATTACTTTGTTGCTTGTGTTGATTGAGCTCTTCAATTTACTGCTTGGAATTTTCATGAAAAATTCACAATTTTTTACTCCCTTGTTTCTAAATTATTCTTTAATGATTCGCTTGAGTTAGTGTATGTAGGTGGATGAAAAATACGCAACCCACCCGACTTTTGTCTTTTTTCCCTTTACTGCCTTTCCTGTTTACCTCATTAAATCACAATTTTCTTCCGGACGTTCTCGATTGTTTTATCCAATAAAATGAAAATTAATATCGCACCAAACAAGCTAAATTGATAGTCATTAGAAATCCAATCGATAGAAATGACTTCTACTCAATTATATCGACACAAACAATAACTGGAAAAGCTATCCATGAAAATCGTTGCGTCATTTTCATTCACTAAAATTTTCTTTTTTATCTTATCTTTTTTTTCTTATCTTAATTTTTCATCGCTTCATCATTTGTATCAAAGTTTTTCTTCATTAATTTTCTTTCCTGCATTTAAAGAACATTCATTAATTTAATGTATTCAGGAAAATCTTTATTGATTAAGAAATGTCCACTTTTACAACTTGAATCTACATTAGGCACAAGTTACTGTTTCAAATTACTTTTAACTTTATTAAGAGAAATTTTCCTTTATGTGTTGTCGCCTTGACGTTCCCTTTCAATATGGCTGGAGAATCCTTTTCCAACTCAATGTAAAGTTGTTGTTCTCAAGCGTGCGCAGAATGAATGTTTTGATTTCATTTATATCTTCTACGACCATGCCGGGAGAGAAAAATGAACAGGTGATTAGTAATAAGCAGCACCATGTTTGCTTATTTACATAAGTTCAGCAAACAGATAAAATATCAGAATGTTAATGTTTTATATGAACCTCTAATTAGCTTAATAAAGCCGATGATTAAGTTTCATAATAATAATAAAAAATGCTCGGCAGTAAATTTTATTGCAGGAAAATTTTCACAAAATTCACAAATAATTTCCATCATGCATTTATAACCGAGATATATTTTAAAACATTAAAGAAGAAAACTCTGCGATCACCTTAAGATGAAATTGTCGTGGCTCTCACTTTTTACGAAGCGAGAAAATGAAACAATTTTCTAGTGAAAACACATTCTCTTCATTACGAGTGTCAGTTTTATCAGAATCTTAGCTCGGTTCTCTGTGTTATTTAACTTCACTGCCATTCGTCTTAATACGGGAAAAAGGATAATAAAAAATATAACTAAGCATGGCATCGTCACCGGCTGCGATACAAAAGTTTGAAAGGTGACAAGAAGCATTCTAAAAAGAAAATATTTACAGATAACAGCAAAAAATCATGAAAACCTTTCATTTGAACAATTGGGAAAAATTCTAATATGATGTGATGAAAGTTTAGGAATCTTGATAATAATTCTTGATAAGAATTTTCATTTCATCAGTTGAAAAGATGGAAAAAGGTCAACATAGAAAGAAAAAGTTGTGCAATTTTTTTAAATTTTCATCATACTCGTATATTTCCCTCAAATGAAGTTTTCTGTCTGTTTCCTCGGTCTGTTTGTTAAAAATAGAAAATAAAGTGCTATAAATTGTTTGTTCAAGCCAAATCACAAAAAACAGCGGTGGCAGTTTTATTTTCATGATCTTCATTCACAACGGAAAAGAAAATTTGTCGTTTTCATTCTCAAAAGAAGAGAAAAAGAAAAGTAAAACAGAAAGAAAACCATGAGAGAGTTTTTCTTCATACATGTCGAAGAAGATTAATTAAATTTTCATTTGTCGCATGGATGTTTATGAATTATGATATTTTGACATTACAGAAATGTTCCACGAGTGACATATTGTTGCTTCTTCTTTGATATGAATGTCGGTGGAACTTTACTTTCACTTTTTGGTATCATTACTGGATTTGCTTATCTGGCACGTTCACTTCACGTTCTCTATAATATTCATGCTTTTGAAATGGGCCTTGGAGAAGACGACGCATTAAACAATGAAGACGACAACATTTGGTAACATTTTAAATTTATCCTCATCTTGACAGTAATCAAAGAAAATCTCATTTAAGGGTCGTTTATATATCAACAATGTTTGTTGGCTTCTTTTTCGTGATTGTTTCTATCTTCATGTTATATGGAAGCACAAAGGTAATAATCCTTTCTCCTTCCTTACAATTCCTTGTAGATCCGTTGCTTGGAAATTTCTCGGAATTTTCCCTTCCGTTAAAGTTCACATCCAAAGTTTTGAAGTTTATTTTCGGCATAATTAACGTTTCTTGAACCTAAAATAATTTGTAAATAAAAACATTCAGTGATAACTTTCAAAGAAGAGAAATTCCGTGATTGTTTTTCCAGGCAACTGATAAGTTATATCGACATCAATTCCTATGTTTCCAGCGAATGGCACATCACGTTTTTCCGTATCTCATCGGCATTCTTTTAAGCACATTTTGGTCGATAGTGTTGGGAACTATTGAAGTTTTTGACTCTGATATGGACCTTGCTTTGGGCTACTTCATTTTTGCAGGTTTGTACCTAAATGGAGAAATCTGAGAATGTTGAAGGATTATTTAAAAGAATTTAATTTTTTTATAATATTTATCATAACTCAATTATCTTTTACACATTTAGCATTTCAATTCTATTTGTGGGTTTGTGCAGTTTCACTCTATCGTGATCTCATTGAAGTCGAACAAAACCCAAATAAACCCACACGCACGACAGTTTAAATACTTAAACGTCATCTGGAAAATGAAAACAAGGAAAAACAAATCATCAAACATAAATTTATTTTCTAAAGACATTTGTGAAAAAAGTTTTCGTGTTTTTTTATCACTGAAATTATTTTGAATTTTATTTAAATTATTTTGAGAAAATAAAAGAATTTGACATCATGTGTTGAAAAGTTTGTTTAGTCCCAATATTTGATGAGTCCGTCCCATCCAGCTGTGATGACTTTACTTGATTCGTGTGGATTCCAAAGCGTGCTAATGCAGACTCCTTCATGTGCTTGCCATTTCTTATAGAGTTTAGTTGTCTTCCAATCCCAAATGTAGCATTTTCCGTCTCCATCTCCTGATACCAAGAACGACATGTCAGGTGAAAAGTCCAAGCCACATGCATATCCTGACACCATATGTCCATCGAAAGTCTTCTTACGGTTCATTTTAAAGCGATTGATGGCTGAAAATATTACAATTTTGTTGTCGAGACTTTGACAAGCAAGCCATTTCCCATTAGGAGCGAGAGTCACGGCTGGCATTGAGTGCATTGTTGGATCCGCAATATATTTCATATCAACTGGAATGTCCCATTCCCAAACTCTCATACTTTTGTCATCAGATGTTGTCACAAATCTTCTATTCTCATCAACAAAGGTTATTGTGTTTACAGCGCCTAAATGTCGATCATATTCTTGTACAATTTCACCACTTCTTGTGTCCCAACAGAGAATCTTCTTATCAGATGTTCCGCAGACAAACAAATGTTGTTTATTGTAATCGGGATGGAATTTAACGCAATATGGAACTTTTCTTGACGTGAATCGTGAAACGACATTTCCTGTTTCTGTGTCCCAAAGCTTAAGATATCTATCGTAACCAGCTGATACAAATTGAGTTCCACGAGCATTGAAATCAATATCACGAACAGCTTGACGATGTCCAGTATAAGTTCGAACACAACGACGTTCATTGTAAACTTCCCAAATCTTGATTTTTGCATCCATGCCACAGGATAGCAGTAAATGAGCGGATTTAGGAAATAATCGAATAGCAGAGATGCCTTTCGTGTGTCCAGTCCAGGTGTGAATGTGAGCTTTAGGAAGAAAGCATCGATCGGGATGTGCGCCAGCTTTCAAACTGACGCCAACATCATGCGGTGGATGAAGGAAGGATCGCCCTTGATAATCGACTGAATCATTGATGTGGAGAATTGACTTCTCTTCAACAGGTTTCTCTTCAATTTCACGCTTATTTCGTCGTTGTTTTTTCGCCATCATCTCTTCAATTTCTGCTTTCTCTTGATCTGTTGGTTGAGACACAAGCTCTTCATCTTTATATTTACCCCATGGTCCGAGAAATCCTTCAAGATCAGTAGGGTCGTCATTTTTATGACGTTTTCGTTTATTTTCTGGTTTTATTTTGTTTGATTCGAAGACTGTTTTGCCGTCAGTATTGTAAGCTGCTTCAAGATGACCAACATAATTATCTCCTGCTGTTGCTTTATCTGCAGATGGATCTAAGGCATATCCATAGCTATGAAATGTTCTTCGTTGATTTTCAAATTGAAAGTCGCTTATATGTGCGGGTTCAACAAATCCAGTTGCTGTGTTCTTAAGTGCTTTTTGTTGTTCAGATTTGAAAGGATTGTCGGGACCTTGAATTGGTGCAAAAAGTTCCTCATATTTTGGATTGTACTGTAATTCGCCATCGGTAGCTTTAACCGCTCTCTCGGCGATAGCTCTTTCTGTTGGAACTACCACAGGACAAGCAACAATTTGAATTGATTTAGCAACTGAATATTTTGAATCAATTGGCTTTAAATGGATTAACTTTGATTCGTCAACTGATTCTTCTCCACTACTGCTTCCATAGTCTTGTAAATTCAGCATTTTTGTTTTTATTTAACGCTATTTGTTTATAATAATCGTTTTATTTCGTGAAATTTTAGAAGTAAACAAATCATTAAACTCGTATAATTTATCAAAATAATCGACTATTATCTTAAAAAGCCTCAACAATAAGGTTCATATTCGCTTGAAATTCCAATTTAGTATAAAATGATGCGAATTATACCCCTTCTATGATAGTGGGGGTATGGCGCTTTCATATTCGGGGTACTGTTCAGTCGGAATACGTGCTCAATAAATATCATTGTCAAGTTTCTACCTTCAACATTTCAAGTAGAATTATCACAAGTTTAATATTGCATCTAATCATAAATCAATGTTCATTCAGTGATTTATAAAATAAAACAAAAAGTTCTGTGTTTAGCAATTTTGTCGAGTGAAATCATTTCATTGAATTATAAGAAATGAGTTTTATACAGAAAGTAAGTTCGATTGTTCTAAACTTCGCGATCTTCTTCTTAATTGTTACATTCAGTCCTGGTTTGCCACCAAAGACGACATTTCCTTTCGAAGAGTTTAGGTGAGTTTATTTTTGATTTCGCTACTTAGATCCTTAGAAAAGAAAAAAGCTTTGACAATTTTCTTAGTTTTAACTTTGGAACTCATTAACTTTTTTGTGATGACGTCGATGATCCATAGTTTTCCCCCAACACATTCTTACTCAAATCAACTCATAGAGCAAGAAAGTTTTTTGTTAAAGATTTTGGGTGTGTGATGAGAGTTAAAGCCGGTTTTTGTGTTTGCCGGTTTATTGACCTTGGATTGGTTATCAGAACGGCAACTTGGAAAACTCTCGCACGTGGCTGATATGATTTTTGCCGCATGCGCTAATAAAATTTGTAGCTTTATGTTGCAACAATATTTCATTGATAACCTTAAGGTGATCAACATCATCCTCATATCAATCTCATCATTTTTCACTAACAACATTTTATCAACATTAAATAAATTAAAAATTATAAAACATAATTAAAAAAATGTCAGTTCCATTTGTAAATCGATTAAAGAAATCGTACAAGTTTCATATTGTAACTTGCAAGCAGATGCATTTCTAAAATGGAAACATCCAGAAGAAATCTTTATAAATTATTCATGAAATACATAAATTCCTAGCTCATCATTTCTTAATACGTGGACCAGCAACGTATCGATTAATGATATAAAATTGAGCTGGTGTGACTTCTTTTCTTTATTTTATTGTCTAACGATCAAAGTTTTAATGTGTGTGTTGTGAAAGAGAAAAAAATACTTAAAATATTCTTGACCTTGATTATTCAATTTTCTTGATCGCAGACTTATCATTTTTCCAAGAAACTTTTAAGATTCCTCACCTTCATAATTCATTAAATTGGATAATTTTTTTGCTTTAATTCAACTACATTTAATGAACGTTAGCTGTTGAAAATAATTCTTATTTTGCAAATCATCATGATAGTTTTTGGAGACATCGAACTGTTGAAGATTGTACTTAACTGAGTGTTTGATCTTATGATCATTAAATGTTAAATAAGTAAAATCATCGTGACCGTTGTTGAATTACGCAATTGACAAAAAAGTAATCTTTTGATTCCAACAATGACTCACACAGTGTGAAAAGATTAACATTTTTTGTATTCTTCTTTTATGAGGTCGTGAAATATTTGTAAACAAAAACATTAAATCTTATCTATAAAAATACTTTTACAAAACAAAATTGTTTATCAATAATCAAATCAGAAATTAAACTCGTTTCATTCATTTGTACAAGAAAAAACAGAAATTATTGCAGACTGTGAATGTTTGTAAGTTTGGGCTTTTGGCAGTTGTTTAGTATTTACATAAATCATTCAGGTGGAGATTAAAAAATTGTTATCAACTTCCTCGCTGCTTGTTCATTTAAGTAAGTTGATATTATGTTTGGTTCGGTGCAATTGAAATAAATAAATTAATGAATTATAAAAATATGAAATATTTTCTAGTGTTGTAGCTCCGAAAGCTTTGAACGGCCCATACGAAATCAATTCACTTCTTGATAACGCTGTAAAGTTATTTGAGGGAAAGTTAGATGCACCTGAAGATTTGCAACATAAAGATGGTGTCATTTATGCATCATTAAGAACAAATGAAATTGTTAAAATCATTGGCGATAAAATCGAAATCTTAACTAGTTTTGGAAAGTCTTGCTGTGAGTAGAAGTTTGAAAACATTTAAACGGAATTTAATGTAAACAGTTACATAATTATAATACATTTAGACAATGACGATAAAGCACCTTGTGGTCGACCTTTAGGAATGGCATTCGATACGATTGGAAATAATTTAATCGTAATGCACACTTATCAGGGAATTTTCGAAGTTGATTTGATAAATGGAAATAAAAAGCTTTTAGTGTCTTCAAAAGATATTATTGGAAGTGATGTAAGATGTCCATAAATTGATAATGAATTCTTTATGAATAACTGCAAAATTCTTATTCAGAATCCAAGAGAATGTAAACTTTTTAATTCAATTACGGTAGCGAAAAACGGTGACTTGTACTTTTCACATTCATCATCGGAATATGGAATTAATCGTGTGATGTTCACGGCACTTCTAAATGGATCTGGAAGATTGATTCATTACTCACGAGAAACTGGAAAGTCAACAGTTTTAATTGACAGAATTATGTTTACAAACGGAGTTTCCTTATCACCGAATGAAGATTTTGTCGTCGTGTCTGAAACTTTCCAGTCACGTCTTTTAAGATTTTGGTTGAAAGGATCAAAGAAGGGAACTTCGGACGTTTTTATTGATGGACTTCCAGGAAGCCCTGACAACTTGAGTTCAGATGAAGATGGAATTTGGGTTACACTTGCTGAAGGTCTTGACGATGACCATAAATCGATTGCACATTTCATTGCAAGATATCCAACACTTAGAAAGTTCCTCATACATTTGTTTGAGCTGATCTTAATGCCATTTGAGTTTGTGAACAAATTCTATAATAATCGCGTCTCGACATTTGTTTCTCGTGAATTCGGTTCGATGGATATGTTGAAACATATTCTTCCACCACGTCGCACAGTTCTTCGACTCGATTGGGATGGAAACGTTGTGAAATCTTTCCATGGCACTGATAATTCATGTGGAGGTATCACACACGCAATGAAGCTTGACAATCATTTATATTTGGGATCAGTTACAAGCAATTACATTGCGAAAGTTAAAATTGACGAATAAAAAGGAAACATAAAATATTTAGACTGATTTCGATCAAAAAATTTACCAAAAATTAAGCAATAAACGTTGGTGACGGAAAATTTTGTTAAAAGTTTAAAAATCGAATAAATGAAAAGCTTTAATCAATTTTCCCTGCGAAATTTTGTCACTCTAACAAATATTTCAGCGATGAATTTTATTCGAAATTTGTATTTGTAAGTAACTGTAAATTGAGTGAATATTTTATGCGTGGGTGTGCATTGAATAAATTTATAAAAATGTCTTCTTGTTTCGTATAAAGTTTCGTGCTTGTTGACGATTTTTCGAAATATTCACTGGACTTGACTCTGGTGAAGTCGTTAAGATTGATGGAGAAGAAATGAAAGTTCTGGTAAAGTTTGATTCACAACTTGTGAGTAAATTTTGCAATTTGTTGATCAATTACATAGCGAAAGTTCCAAGACATGATCATTTGTAAAAGATCGAAAGATATAAAAGAAAAATTGTCAAAGTTTTCTTCATAATTTTATTCACTTCGATATTTTGATTATTGAAGTTTCTTATCTTCAACAGTATTGTGAAACCGAAGGCACTTCAAGGTGCACTTGAGATAAATAATCATCTTGACAACGCTGATCACATTTTAGATGGCAAAGTTCCTGGACCTGAACATTTATTGCCAGCTGGAAAGTCGTTTTATGCATCGCTTCATAATGGAAATATTGTGAAAATTGATGGCGAACATGTGACGTTTGTTGCAAATTTTGGAAAGCCTTGCGAATATCCAGTCGAAGAGCATATTTGTGGACGTCCTTTGGGCATGGCACATGACACCATCGGTGATAATTTGATTGTTGTTGACGCTTATTATGGACTGTGGGAGTTGAATTTGAAATCTGGTGACAAGAAGCAACTTGTGTCACCAGACAAAGTCATTGGTGTTAATGTGAGTTGAATTTGTTAAGTAATTTAATCAGAAAGAAAAACTTTTCATTGAAATTCTCAGGCACCACGTCCAGGAAAGATGTTCAATGGTGTTGCTGTAGCTAAAAACGGTGACATTTACTTCTCGCATTCATCATCAGAGTTTGGAATGAACGACGGCGCTTTCTCGTTCTTCGCAAATCCTTCGGGACGTTTAATTCATTATGAAAGAAAGACTAAAAAGTTGACTGTGATTTTGGATAATTTGTACTTTGCCAATGGCGTTGCCCTTTCGCCAGATGAGGATTTCGTTCTCGTGGCTGAAACTCACGCTTCCAGAATTCAAAAGTATTATTTGAGTGGCGAGAAGATGGGACAAGTTGAGATGTTTGTTGAAGGCTTACCTGGCATTCCTGATAATATGACACCTGACGAAGATGGCCTTTGGATTGCGCTTGTTGTATCAGCTGATCCACAACATCCAATGATACCGCAATCAATGACACAAATGCCATATTTGAGAAAGTTCATCGTTCGTTTCCTTCACCTTCTTGAAATGCCCTTCAACTTCATCACAAACCTTTATCCAAATGATATCACCAAATCAATCGCTTACAAAATTGGAGGCTTCAATGCTTTCTCTTTTCTCTTTCCTAAACGCTCAACAATCGTCAGAACTGATTGGACTGGAAAGATTATTGGAAGCTTGCATGGATTCGATCACAGCGTTCATTCAATTTCTCATGTCATGGAGCTCGATGATGATCTTTACATTGGCTCACCTTACAATAATTTCATTGCCAAAGTGAAGTTCGTTAACAAAGACAAAATTCATCCCGCAAAGAAAGTCAAACGTGAGATTCCACAAGAAGTGCCAAAAACAACTCAACCACCAACGACAACAACGACACCGGTAAGTAACAAAAATTGAATGATAAATAAATTTATTAAATAAATAAATTTGCAAAGGCTCCAACAACGACGACAACAACTCCAAAACCAACAACGACAACAACCACTCAAGCACCAACGACGACAACAACCACTCAAGCACCAACGACGACAACAACCACTCAAGCACCAACGACGACTAAACCTCCACCACCCCCGCCAACTACAACAAAAGCCCCACAACAGCAGGCAACACAACCGCCACCAACAGTGAAGCCAAAGGACCCGGCACCGATCCGTGAGAATGTCAAAGATGTTCAACCACCACCCACAAAAGAACCAATAAAAGTCATAAAGAAAGATGGACCAGGAACTGTTTAAAGAGTTCAAGAAGATGCAACTTGGAAGGTGATAACAACGTCAAACTTCATCATTCATTTGTCAACGTTCCATTCTACTTACTTTGCAATTCCATTTTTTTCTCATTCTTTTAAGACTTACGTGTGTGTGTAAGTTGAAGTCACTTAACTGAGACAACTTAGGAATCTTTTAAACTTTCTCAACTGTCGTTGATTGAAATGCAATTGAGATGCATTTCTACTCGTGCTGCTGAAACATTTCCTTCATGGCGTATTTAATTAACGTCTTCTTTGTTGTTGTTGGTATTAATTAATATGTTAATATTAAAGAAATTTCTTTTATTCTTTCGGTGGAAAGATTCTTTAATCCTTCTCGTCATTGTCTTATCAACGAAATGAAAAATTTTGTTACTGAAGTTTTTTTTGTAATAAAATTTATTGAAATAGAAACTTTATGGTTGTTTCTTATAAATGTTTTAAAATGTGTGCTGGTCAGGGATTGAAACCTGACATTGTCTTCTAGCCGGTGAAATGCGGTACATTTAATGACAGCTTGATGAGAAAAAAATTCAATAAATGCATTTCTATAAACAAAAAAGTGAAAACATTTCAATCCCTGTCTGTTGGGGATATTTGAGATTGATCATCAAATGTGGCAAAGCTTTTAATTTTTTTCTTTTAATTATGTAGACGATTCGGTTTCGCTTTCAGATGATTTGTGGTGGGCGCAGAATGTTTATCCACACTACAATGTTGTGGTTTTATTTATAACTCTTTTGAAGTGCCAACCATAAGCTTAGCCGAATTGACAGATTTTACTTCCAATTGTCGGTAGAAGAAAATTGAATGTGTCCAACATAGAAGCTGTGCAACTGTAGGAAAAGAGTGAATGATCAAAATTCTTGGCAACTTAAAACAATTGCAGTCGACTTACTCGCAAAAACAGTCAAAATAGAGAAGACAAGAGTCGTTTGCTCAAAAAATGAATTCTCAATGACGAATGGCTTTGCGAAAGGATGAAGTGCCGTGTTGTTCGGATTGAATCCCAAACCATCGTAATATGCAGAATCGTAGAGAGCAATTGGCATGAATGCAAATTGAGAGAAGAAATTGTCTTTCAAAAATCCAAAACAAATGCTGAGAACTGTCCAAAAGATTGTGACAGGAAAGCCGATGACGAAAGGTCGAACGCAACTCGTCTCGATTTCATGAGTTAGCAATAAATTGAGTGATGCAACGTTGACGATGATTCCTGGGAAATGTAATGAAATAGAAGTTTGTAAATCTTTGATCAAACTAAACTTTAAACTTTCTACCTGTCGTTAAAATACATAAAATGAAGATATTGTAAAGAATATGATCGAAGATATAGAATCGAACTAAGATGACCATTCCCCAATAGATAAGAAAAATTGATAAAACAAATGCGCTTAAGCCGATAGCAACTGCAGTCGTTTCAATATCATTACGAAGAGTCTTCGGCTTGTCAACTTCTTCTCTTGCTCTTGACCTGAAAGAATTTCACTTTCTTCTTCAATTCCAAGAATCTTTTGAAATAAAATTTAAACTCACATTTCGGAAATAATTTTTGACGCACAATTTTCATCAAATGTTAAACCACAACTGACGATGGTGATGATCGAGAAAAGTAAAAGTAATCAACACAAATATTCAGCTGAGTACAAAGCATGTGTGTTCCGTATCTGCATAAGTAAACAGAGCAGATTACACCAAAAATAAAAATAGAATTTTCACTCTGTTGATTTTAAGCATTTGTGAAGAAAGATTTTCTATGATTTACTCGAATGCGATGATTAATTAACGAGAGTTACGCTCAACTATTCTCATCATATTTTTCATCAATTGCGTTTAAATTTTTATTAATCTCACTTGACGACATTTGGTGGATTCTTAAGTCTTTTAAATCGTCCGAGAACTTAAATTAATTACATTTTTTTCCTTTTAAAACGAATTTTTCTCTAACAATGAACAATAAATAAGAAAACTCAAAGAAAAGTCGTCCAATAGACGACGTTAAGAATGAAGAATGAAAATGGGAAGAAAAATCTCGACATGCGATCGATGAACAATGCAACTTCTCTTCCACTACAAAATGTGTCGTACTGCGGTAATGAAGGTCGATATTCGCCGCTTTTATAGTCGTCATCGGATGGAAGATCTTCATCTGAATATCCTTTCATCGCTTTCGTTGCCACTGGTCCCATGTAGATGTTCACAACAGCAAATTCCATGAGTGATAAGAACACAAACACTGAACACGAACTCATCCATACATCGATAGCTTTCACATATGAAACTGGCGGTAAACTTTGTTGTGATTGAGTATTTTGAGTGGCAAGTGTGAGTAAAGACGTGACACCTGAAATTCCATCAATTTGTTATCACAATTTAAAGCAATGAACAATCTCAACCTAAAGTGATTCTCGCTGGAATAGCTTCAGGTTTAATCCAAAATGAAATCCATGACATGACAACAATCAATGCTGATGGAATATATGTGTGGAAGAGATGATAACCAAGACGTCGTTTCAGATTAAACACAACAGCTAAACATGTAAAGTTTCCTGTGAAGAAAGAGAAATGAAAATTCTACAAAATTGAAGTGAAATTTCAAACTCACCAGTCGAGTATGGAATCGTGCAATCCATTGTGTAATTATTAGAAATATCAAGTTGGGGTAATTCAATTTCTTCATTGACAACCAACGGATCTGTCATGTTCCAAATGAAAACCAGATCATGAACGGTGTGTGACACTATAATAAATAAATGGATGTTGAATTTAAAATATTTGTTTGTGCAGCTGTTTGATATTAAAATTTTATGATATTTCTTACGACTTTCAATCATCATCGAACAAATTTGAATATCATGTGGATAAGATTCGAATTTCATCGCACAGGAAAGAACGAGAGTTAATCTGAAAAAGAAATTCAAATTTTTGGAGTGTTTGCTTTCTTTTAAGATCTAAGGATTAATTAAGAAAGCATACTTTGACATGTAAAGAAGCGTTTTGTCATGATACAGCCACAAGTAATGATTCGGTATCGTCATCTCATGAAACGTGACTTTCTTAGCATTTTTAAAAAAGCAATCTGGTCGCCAAATTGAACGAAGCCAATCCACATCAAGAATTCGATATTCTTCACTCATGTTTTCAGGTAATCTTAGACGAGGGTCTCGCCAGCTTAAAATGGATTGAATGAAAATTTTCATGAATAAAGTTGATGATGCAACGAAATATAAAAATAAACCTTTGCGCTAGGAAAATGTCGGTTACGTAGGTCATTGATTCTTCATTGATGGAATCAATTGACAGTACAGTGACATGGAAATAAACGATTGTTGGTTGTCCGAGAAGCTTCGGTGCGCGATTTTTATCGTAGCTTCTTGCTTTGAGCGGCAATATGTCTGCTAATTCTAGACTTTGTTCATGATGATGAACCAGTTCAGCACTGTCAGTGATGTTGCTGTAAAGATCGGGCAGAATTCTTAATTTCAAAATTGATAATTTCTTTCACGTGAGACATTATTGTGTGCTTACTCATGTTGATTGTGGGTGTTTAATCCAAACGAGAATAAATTTACAAACATTATGATTGTAAACAGCAACTTTCGAGTCATTATGGAAGAATGAATCTCGCACAGTCATAAATTTATTTATCTTGACAGTTTAAATCACTTTTTTATAGCCATTTCTTGTTCATAAAGTTAATTCTAATTTAATTAGTGCACCAGACATTTCATTTTTATGCAAAATTTAATATTTTTCACTTCATTTTCATTGGAATATTTTAAATAATTTTCATTTACACTTTCTGAACACTTTTCATTAATTTTCTGAGTCTTTCATCAACTTTAAATTTGTAATCAATTTTTTCATTATTGATTCGTCTTCAGTGTTCATATTTTTTTTAAGGAACATTTTTTTGGTTTTCTCTCAATTCATGACATCTTCGTCATTATGTTTACAGCATAAATTAAATTTCTGTTACTTAATCCATTGATAAAAAATCATCATTCGATTAACTTCACTTTCTCTTCATTCACCTTCATTTCATCCACCCTTGCACATGAAAAATCAAACTAAAACTGTCAGAATGAATGGAAGTGAAAAATTCAATAACATCTTAATTTAATTAACATGGGGAAGTGTGGTCTGTACTTGGGGAAAAGTTGTTGAAAAGGAAGTGCGGAAAATAATGAGATACTTGCATGAAATTTCTTTTAGTGTCGTTGAGAACTGATGACAAAGCATGAATGGTAATAAAATGGAAAGCAAGCATTGACAAAATTTGTATTTAATTGAATCGTGAAGCACTCAAGCTCAAATATCGGTAAAAAGAAGTTTTCATCGTCACGACATTTCAACTTGCGATTGCTTTTCTTTCTCTTTCTCTACAATTTTAATTCATTTTTTCACACGTTTACAACAAAAAGTGTAAGTTTTCAAACATTTGTGATTTAATCTAATTAATAAACGCACAAGCATAAGTCATTGTCACGTAGTACTTTTATTTCTTTTGTTTTCATTCAACTGAATGAAAATTATTTGAAAGAAATTAGAACAGTCACAGAATGAACACCGTACGAGTTCAAAGTGCTTTTAAAAGTTATGGAATTGGCGCAAGTCATTGTGCTGTTCTTAAGAACATGAACATGAATGTATCGCCAGGATCAATGTGAGAATTTTAATCAAAAGATTCAACACAAAACATGCATAAAATGAAATTTCTTTTAGTTATGGATTGATTGGGTCGTCAGGATGTGGAAAAACAACGTTGTTGTCGTGTATTTTAGGAATGACATGTTTGGATAGTGGGAAAATTGAAATTTTCGGTCATGATACCGACAAAACGGGAGTGACGAAGCTTGCAACGCGAATTGGATACATGCCACAAGAAACTGCACTTGTTAATGAATTATCAGTCAAAGAAACGTGTTTTTACTTTGGAAATATTTTCCAAATGGACATGGAAAAGCTTAAAGAGAGATACGAGATGATAAAATGTTTATTGGAACTTCCATGTGATGATTTTCTGGTTGAAAATTGTTCGGGTGGAGAGAAACGACGAGTTTCATTTGCTGCTGCAATTATTCATGAACCAGATCTGTTGATTCTGGATGAACCGACAGTTGGACTTGACCCTTTGTTAAGAGAAAAGATTTGGGATTTTCTTGTGAATGTTACACGATCAACAAAACTTTCAGTCATCATCACAACTCATTACATTGTCGAAGCACAAAAATCTGATCGTGTTGGTCTTATGAGAAACGGAGCTCTATTGAAAGAAGACTCACCGAGTCATATTATGGCAGTTTGTGGTGTCAACAGCCTTGAAGAGGCGCTTCTTAATTGTTGTCTTAATAAACCACAAATTGAATCAAACATCGATGAAGTAATTGAAGTTGGTCGTGAAGAAATTAAAAGTGAAAAAGAAGAATTTCCCACAAATGTCTTGAAACGTAAAAGATTCAGATGGCAAGTTGTGAAAGCTTTGTTAACCAAGCACATTACACATTCAAGAAGACAACCAGCGTAAGCATTATTCACTCACTTAATTTCTCAATTAATCAATGTTTATTTCAATTTGTAGTGGAATTATTATGATGGCAATTTTACCAATTTTCAATGTTTTTATTTGCTTCATGGCTTTGGGTGGAAATCCAATTGGTTTGAAGCTTGCTGTCGTTAACAATGAAATATCTTCTTATAATGATTGTCTTGACACTTCATTGACAAAAGCTTTCATTACAGAAGAGTCTTGTGTTGTTGAAAAATATTCTTGTCGGTTTCTTCATGAAATTGACGACTCAATTGCGATAAAAAAGTTTTATAATTCATTCGAAGAAGCTTACAAAGATGCCAAAGATGGAAAAGTCACCGGAATTGTTGAATTCAAATCGAACTTTTCAGAATCTATCAGAGAAGTTGATTTTGATTTCAAGTCAACAGAGATTGGTTCTTTACAAAATAGCATAATTAATGTTTACTTAGACCAAACTGATCTGCAGATCACAACTTTCTTAACCAGATCAATTTATTCTGCTTATAAAAGTTACAGTGAACGTTTGATGGAGAGCTGCGAGCTTCCAACGAAATTAAAGAATTCTCCTTTTACATTTCAAAAGCCAATTTATGGTAAATTAAATTCAGATCAAACGACTTTCATGGTGATGGTCTCGATAATTCAGTAAGTTTAAAAAGAAATACTTTTATTAATTTAGTTAATATTATTTTTACAACTTTAGGATGGCATTTTTCACTGGTGCTGGTTTGACAATAATCGTGTTCATTACTGATCGTCGTGAAGGATTTTGGAATCGATCGTTAGTTGCGGGAGTGAAGACGAGTGAATTACTTTTAGCACAAGCAATTGCTCATTCAACATTTATGACTTTTTATGTAGCTGAAATGTACATTACAGCAACTCTACTGATGGATTTAGAGAATCAAGGAAGCATGGCATTGTTAATTTTGATAGGATTAATGCACGCATGTTCGGGATTGGTTGTTGGTCTGCTGTTGTCAATTTATTGTCCCAACATGATGGTCGCTAATGCTGCAATGTTTGGAATTTCAAACATCATTGGACCAATTTCAGGAATTTTTTGGCCTTTTGAAGGTTTCCATGTTAGTCTGCGATACATTTCAATTTTTTCTCCATTCACATTGCCAACAATTTCTTTACGAGAAGTGATGACAAAAGGATTTAACATATTACAGCCTTCAGTGTATCAAGGTCTTTTAGTTTTGTTAATGTGGATTATTCTGCCGACAATTTTCTGCTTTAAAGCTTTAAATACGCATAAATTTAGTAGAAATAGTTGAAAGAATTTTAATTGAGGGGAGGGAAGTTGATTGACAAAAGCGCACATGGCAACCGTTTGTAGTTATTTGTCGATTGATCAATAAAGTGTTTTACTTATTAAAAAATGAGTTCTCTCAATCTTTCTGTGAATAATTCCAGATCTCCTTCACCTCCTTCATCACTTCGAAGTCGTCGCTTGTCATCAACCAAGAGCGATTTGATAAAGTTTGAAGTGGAATGTTTGAAATTTGTTTTACAAGAAACTGTTTATAAATTAATTATTGCCAATGGTGGTGAGAAGTCAAGCGTTGTTCATCCTTCTGAGTCTAAAATGCCGATGAAGATTCGATATCGTGAATCACGTGAGAAATTGTTTCATGAAGAAACTTTAGAACCGATCAATGAAGCGATGGAACGCATGATTTTTGTGAAGTTGGGCAACGATGTTAGTCGATTGAGAAAGATTCTTTCTGAGACGATCGACGATTTAGACCATACGAACGATTTTAGAGGTCTGAAAATGCTTATTGACACTGAAATCCGTCTTGACGCTGAAGAACGAATCTTGATCGCAGAAAATGCAAAGTCTGAACATTTTTATCGGTTTCTCGAGAAAAAGTTCGATGAAGATACAAAAATGTATAAAAGTAAAGTGAAGGAAATCGATGATCGAATTGCTGATGTTGAAAGCGAATTAAATGTAAGCGACACTCGAGCGCTTTGCTTATTATTAATAAAACTTATTTTTTTAGGATTTAAAAGTTGAAAATAAAATAAAAATTCAACTTCTTGATGATTGGGAGGAAACTCGTTATAGTCAAATTAATTTTATAACTGAAAACAAAGAGAAACAACTGAAAGTGACAGCTGAAAATTATGATAAAGAAGCATCACGTGAATTGCGTTTGAAACATGAGATTGAAAGTAAGTTGACTTTAATGATGGATCATAAGAAATGATAAATGTAAGATTTATTCAGCATTTTTAGAAGAACAGACGAGACATTACGAGGATTTGACAAGTCAATGGAATGAAAAATATGAGAAAGAAGTGCAACAACTTGATCAACGAATTGGCGAGACGAAAGATGTTATGATAGCTTTGAAGCTCAAATATGATGACTTAGTTGAGCAATTCAATATAAGAGAACAAGAAATTCGTAATTATTTGCAAGAAAAGAAGATCAAAGACGACGAAATTATGGAAAACGAAAAGAGACATCAAGCAGTCGTAAAGATTCAAGCTTGGTGGAGAGGAATAATGGTTAGACGAGGACTTGGTCCATATCGACGAAAGAAGTCAAAGAAACCAGCGAAGAAAGGTAAAGGAAAGAAAAAATAAATTAATTCAAATGAAAATAATTTTGAAATAAAAAATTTGAATTCAAATTGAAAAATTTTATATTTTTTTTACAAATAATTCCGGAAATGTTAGCATACAATTAATTAACTCCAATGTGAATTGCGCCAGTGTAGAATTGATTCTTCTTGATTGCAGTCTTCTTACGTTTGATCTTTCTTTTGTGATTTCCAACGTTAAGCCATGGCGGATAAGAATTGAATTCATCTTTGAGTGTTCGTGTGTTGTAGTGGTGAACTTTGCCTAGAATATTAAAAAAGAGTTTAATATAAATTTCCTTACATTTTTATAAATTTACCTGTATTTGAATTAACAATAGTCATTGTCTTGGCATTCTTTTTCTTCTTTTTCTTTGAGGTTCCTTCATCAATTTCTGCTAATTTTTCTTGAATGAATTCTTCTTCAATTAATTTTTCAGCTTGTTTCTGCAAGGGAGGAATCTCGTTAAGTATAGCAGGAACACTAAAAAATGTGTAATGAAGCATACCTTTTTCAATTCTTCCACAGTTTTCTCGTCAACAAGATCTCCACAAACTTCCATCAATTCCTTTCCACCCATAACAGTTTTTTGCAATCTTTTGAGCTCCTTTACCTTGTTTCTATCTCTCTTTATGCGTGAATTTTTCATGCGACGTTTCTTTGATCTTGCAGTCATTTTGTTTAAAGATTTGAAGCTTTACTATTACAGAATTTATTTAATTTTTTATTTGAAGCACGTTTATTATTTTTTATTTTGGAAAGAATTGTACCCCTTCATAACTCAGAGGGGCATGAAAGTGGGTATAATTTTTCGTTTCACAACCAACTTCACTTAATTAAACATAAACCGAAAAAGAAAATTGTGCGAAAATGGTAAAATAGAAATATCCCTGAATATACGCAATCATAACAATAATTAATAATTGATTTATATTTCTTGCAGTTATTCTACTCGTTTTTCAAGTCATTAGTAGGAAAAGATGTGATCGTTGAGCTGAAGAATGATCTTTGGTAATGTTTACAAACGTTTTGATTTTTTTCTACAAACAAAATCTCACTAATTACGTTTAATTTTAGTATATCTGGAACATTACATAGTGTGGATCAATATCTTAATATAAAACTAACAGATATCAGCGTCACAGATCCAGAGAAATATCCCCACATGCTCAGTGTCAAAAATTGTTTCATTCGTGGATCTGTCGTGAGGTGAATTGTTGTCATTGAATTTTAATGTATTCGGTTAACTTATTGATTATCATTTTATTGTGGAAATAGATATGTTCAACTTCCAGCAGATGAAATTGACACACAACTTCTTCAAGATGCGTCTCGGAAGGAGAACGTTACTAGCACGCGCTAAGGACACTTTTTCATTCATTCATTCAATAATTATCTGAAAGTGCTGCGCTTAAGTTTCTTTTAAGAAAATTCAATAAAAATAAGTTTCCTCATTTTATAAAAATTGTGTGGTTTTGAATTTGTGGATACAGCTGAAAGAAGTATTAAAAGACAACAATCGTATTTGTTAAGTTTTTCTTTTTACTCTCCGGTCGACTAGAATAAATTAAAGTTACATGTTCTTTGATAATTTCACGTTTAATCATTTCTTGAATCACAATTTTCTTTTCTGCATACATTAAAATTATAAATCAAATGACTCCAATTCGTGTCAATTAACTGAAACATAAAAAAAATCATTTCACATCTAAAGGATTTTTTTTAAATAAAGGTTGTTTTTGGTTGGCACTAGAATTTGTTTCATATACAAATTATATACAAATATACAAAGACATTTACTTTCTCTACGTAATGCAACCTAACTTTAACAATTATTTGGAAAAGTTTTTTAATCCGCAATTTTTTCTCTTCCACAATTTTTTTATTGCTCGATTGGAGTTCCAATAAAATATTGACTTTGCATTTGATAAAGTTTATCGATGCAACTTAAGTTATTATTATTATTATTATGAAGGAAATGACTGGCTTCAATAGACAATTGGTTAGCATGGAGATCAAGGTTTTGGAGTGACATAGTATCTGATGCATCATCGAGGTGATCGAAGTTACTTCCATCGAGGGAAATATCTGAACTGCATATGCTGTCACCAGAATGTGCTGGATAGTCTATAAAAATTATATTTTATAATAATCTATTTAAATCATGTCTTAACAAGTAAATTTCTTACCTTCTGGTGAGAATGGTAAATTTGGGTTAAGAGGTTGGCCAAACGTACCATCAATGATGTAATCACTACTTGGTGACTCTTGTTTTATTTTATCATCCTTTTCTTTGTCACTTCCCTTCTCACCGTCTTTCGATTTCCTTTGAACCTTCTTCATTTTTGCACGTTGATTTTGGAACCAAACTTGTACGACTCGAACGGTAAGTCCTGTGTCTTTAGCTAATGCTTCTCTGACCTTTCTACAAGGCTTCGGTGATTGGTCAAAGGATGCTTTAAATTGGCGTCTTTGTGATGAGGTAAGAATTGTTCTGGGTCGTTTTGGTCCTCGACGACCATCACGCGACCTTACACCTTCGGTTATAAAATCATCATCATAAGTTTGGGACAAAAATGATTCCTTTTCTAAATCCATTTGACAGATAAGTTGACCGCCTCGAATTGCAAACTATTAAATAAAAAAATTGTTTATAAAATCGTAAAATCGTAAAATCTGTTATTCTTGTAATTGAAAATTTACCTGCTCGCCTTTTTGTAGTGGTTGATTGCAGCTGCAGCAAATAAAGCAATTGACATGATAAACGTAATTTTCTTGAACTCTCATTACCAATTCATCGGGATTAATCTTTTCACAACAACGATAACATTTGGTGCCATAAATTCTATTTTGAAATAAAAAAAACATTTGAACTTTTTCTGGAGTGATCGATGAAAGTTAAAAAGAAGTTTTCTTACCTGTAATAGTCATCTTTGCAATACAGCTTCGAATTCCGCACGTAGCACTTGTAGTTCAACAACAAATGGCAAATGTTGCACGTGAGACACGCTTCATGCCAATTTGTATCTGCCACACGCAAATAATAACGATCGTGAATTTTCTGCGAGCATCCTTCACATATCTCGTACGTTTTTTCGCATTTTATAGTAGCTGTGATGTCTGCATGATGATTGAATAAATACCACGAAACAAAAGAAAAGACAAGAAGAAAAAAATTAATTGATTTTAAGTAACAAAATGAGATCGTCCATCATCGACTTTTAAACAACAACAACAAAAATCCATTGTTATCATAAACAAATAGGTGTTACTTGTTGATTGATTTATGATTGTTTCACCACCCCCTGCAACTCATGAAACGTTCATTTTCATCGCTATCAACTTCATATAGTTTTTTTTTGTTATCATTGATTGTAAATATTAGACGTGTGGTGTTGTTGAGGCAAGTTTAACGGGGAAGACGAGTTTCGGAAGGCCCGATGGGCTCATGATTAACTTACATTAAACTAACATAATTTGTATTGCCATGAGGTAATCGTAAGGTTTAGTGACACCACTGAAGGTTGGACTAATTTTTTCGGAAACAATTGACGCAATATTTACTTTGTTGTTTATCAATAAATTGCACAATTCCAATCGTTATCAGAGATTAATTATTTTCTCCACTGGTGGTTTGGAAAATAACAATCAATTGACGAAAATATACTCAACAAGATAATTTTTGGCAGTTCAATCTTTTTTATGGCTTATTGAAATTTGATTCCACGAAAGACTTTCTAGACTAAACTCTTTTTTATTATAAATATTATGAGAGAAATTTTTGAATTGATCGGCAATTCTTGTAAATATTTAGAATATTCTACGTTTAGACTTTCAGACGAACTGCTTAACATTGTTTGGTGTTATTAAGAAAGTTTCGATTAAATGTTTATAAACTGAAGAAAGTGGAATGATTCAGTAGACAGACATAAGAAGAACATCAATTAAATGATTAAATTTTTTTCATTTACAATTTCTGAATTTTTGTCATACTTTATGGGAAAACTAAAAGCCATAAATATTCTGGCAAAACTTTTCTTGTCTGACATCAACTCATGATGACTTTAATTTTTTTAGGTAACAGTTTGACCATGTGGAAGCATGAAGTTATCGATTTTTAATGAGTGTTATGAACTTGAACTCGGAAAAGCTGATGGTGAAGTTTTAAACATTAAATATGATTCTCGTTAATAGCGGCTCTAAACTTTTATAACTCGACAACAAATATCCAAAGAATATTTCAATCGAAATCATTTTCTTACCTGCTTGACCGCAGCCAAGAGAATTTTTATCCGAGCAATCTTGAAGCATTCCGGTGTTGATGTTTAGGTTTTGATAGAAATCCAACATCATTCTTATTTGAATCACTTAGATATTCACACTAAATAATTATCAGTAAATGAATAGTACTAAACTTCACTTTTCGTATTTAAGTTTCATCTGGTAATAATAAATGTTAAGTAAGGAAATCTTTTCTTATCTTTTTTCAACAACTTTAGTTGTTTCTTGTTCACTATTTTTGACTTTAATAAAATCAACTTTCTTCACAACAATTAAGTGCAAGTGTAAGAATGAAACTTTTAAACTTTTCTTATCTTAAAACTTTTTATGACGAAAGATTTCACGTTAAAGTGAGGATAATTACGAAGAGCAGTGACAGAAAAACGTCACTTCGTGTCGGAGTGTTTTCAGTTTATGAATGGTGAGAATTGTTTTGAAGTCAGAATTCACAGGGTACATGCATTGAAACATTGTTATGTCATCCCCTCCACCATTTCCCTAAGTTCATGTCGAACATAGAAGAAGGGAGAAGAAGAAGAATTAAATCGAGCATGATACATTAAACATGAATAAATTTCGTTTCTCTCAGAGAGCCTGCGTCCCAATGCTTTTTCTTCTTTATAGAATATTTTTGGTCTCCGCCCATCTCAATGTTAAAATGGAAAAATAATTTTCCCCTTGTGCAGGGCTTCCAAACGACGCTTTAACATTTATGATTTTGAATTTTTACGACTTAACTCGAGTAATTCTTTCAGCGAAAGAGCAAAGAATGGCGAGTTTCTTTTTCCTCTTCTCTAATGCTTTAGAAAATTCATAAAAATTTTCAGCAATGAAAAGTTTTATGGATACGACGATGGATTTGGCATTCACATAAAACGATGCTTCAGTGCAATCATCAGAAGACTTTCATCGCAAAATGTGACTCATCGTCATCCTTCTCGTTTCTTTTTTTCTGTGTTGCTTGACAATGTAAACATGAGAGAGAAAATATCGAGAAAAATCTTCAAAATCTATTCAATTCAAATGGAATGATGGCGTTTGATCTGAAATAACCCCTTAGGCTATGAAATTTCTCTCTACAACATTTTTTATTCGCTATAAAAGAAGAAGGGAAGAAAAAAGTTCATAGACGATTGGAAGTTGACGATGTTAGAGAATGAAACTTAAGAACTTTAAAGTTCACATCAAATGAAATACTTACTTAAAAAATAATTCCGAATGAAATTTGTTCTGGTTCGTTCGTGTAAACGTAAATGGAAGCGAAGAATAAATTTTACTGTTCCACATTTCTTTACCCTCAACTTTCATCGGTGAGTTTTCGGTAGCTTTGAGTAAATCCAACATGGTCGGATTGTGAATATTAAACAGTTTTATGTTTTTTGCGGGGGTGGATTAACCTTAAGTTCTTTCAACTCGTTTACATCAATCGCAATGTGTGTCAGAGGCTACAAGGTTGAAGTATTTTTACCTTCTCTTCTTTCCTAATTATTCATGTTTAAATGCCAGATGTTTAATTTCGAAGGAGCACACATACACACACACACATACCCAAAACGGAAGTTTATGAAATGACTCAATTAAAACGGAATTAAAAACCTAAATGACACTTTTATGAACCAACTCGTTGCTTAAGGGTAAATGTGAAATATGTAGAACTGTCGAGGCACCGAGGAAAAAAGCCACAGAAACATGTACCAATTATGATTAAAGTATTTCTCTCTTTCCCATAACACTTAGAATGTCCCCAAAGGTGAAACTCAACCTTTTTTGCGAGCGTAGCAAACCTCAACCAACCCTTTTTTCTTTTTATTTAACGAGACTTCATCATCAAAAATCAAGCTGAAACAATGTGCGGAATGGTAAAATGAAGTAAATATGATGTAACATTTATCATCAAACCTGAATTTTTGAGGGAAATTTTTTAATATTGCATTAACTTAAGTCATCACAATTCAAATACTCATATCACAATTCGGAAAATGCAGCAAACACAGAAAATATTCATCCAAAGAAACGACATGAAGAGTTTGTTGAAATATGAATCAGAGAAGAAGGAATTTTCTCGTATTTTTACTCAGACAAATATTTGTCGAGAACGAGATGGTAAAGCTTGAATGTCATGACGAAGCTAGAAAGATGCACACACATAATAAATATATGAGAAATGTATGTTGGTTGGGTGCAGAACTTGAAACTTGCTTGAAAACTTTGAAGTGAGTTCAGTTAACAGTTGAGAATAATTAGGAAGAATTTAATTATCTTTCAAGCTAGTGGGAATTCCTTAAAATATTCCAAGCTCTGCTTAAATAAAATAAAACCAAATGATTATTAAAGTAAAATTGTTATTCGAGACGATGAGTCTGGAAAATCTTTAAACTTGATTGAAAATTTCTCGGTTGGCAGCAAATAACACAAACCGCATGGAAATAATAATTTTAAGAGTTTCATTCCTTAAAGTTGAAGCATAGTTTTTACAAGGAAGATATTTATGTCTGCATAAATATTTATGCTCATACCAATTCTAAGAGTATTCACAAAATATTGACCAAAACAATTTCCAGAAATTAATTCTCAAACTGGACACTTTACATTCAAAGAACATTTGTAAATGCTTTTCTATCCTAAAGTTGAAAGTTTCGTTTGTTTAACAAAACTATAAAAGAGAAGAATTTTCAAGAGACGTTCAAAAGTTTCCTCTTGAAATCAAATTTTCATCGTTCCTTGTGTTCCGGCGTGACTTCAATAGTGATAAACAATTTTAAACGTCATAAACTTATTTTATTTAACTTTTATATCACACAAAGCCTACCTAATGTATTTTACTGCTCGCTCCAGACTAATCCGCGCTCTCCTTCGTCCCCCTTCCAGCTCGATCCACACCCGTTCCAACCGGTACACCTTGTTTGCATATTTTGATTTCCCATATGAAATTCTTTGAGGTTTTTAGAAACAGCTGCAATTTTTCTTTCTCCACGCCTTCTTAAGATATGTTTTGCTTTCACAATATTGTTTCATGAACTGAATTCATCTGTCAATGTTTCAAATCTTCAATTGCAAATATATTTAATTCCAACTTTAAACTTTAAATAGTTCAAATCTTTTAGGAAATCCAAAATATCATTTCATGAAATGAAAAGGAACCTCACTTGATAAAAGCCAAAGATATCTCTCGTCATTCAACTCTTCACAGAAGAATTCTTAATCCTTTTTTAATCGAAAAATAAAAACTCAAAAAGGCTCCGCCATTGAGTATGTTTACCAACTGTAGCGTCAATCTGGCTAATTTTACTCATCATACAATGAGATCTCCCGCATGCTCAAACAGTTCTTGAAAATTAAAAATCAAATAAAAAAAACAGGAATCAGAATAAAACAGGAGAAGATTTTTCAAGTATTTTTTGCCTCTTTCATGTTGATTTGCAATCGTAATAAATATATTTAAACATGGGGTTGAGTGTTAGCTTCGAGTTTGCAGCAAACAAAACAAAATGTTGTCTTCCGAAATAAGAAAAGAAACAAGACACGTGATCATGAAATCTTTCCTTAAAGACTTGAAGTTTCGCACTCAAAGATTTCCTAAGAATCATTTCAAGCGTTTAAAATTCAATTTCACATCGGCTGAAGTGAGTTTCGTTTTGCTTTCGTCGTTTTTCTGTTTGCAGGATATTAAATTGAGCGAAATAATTTGATTTTTATTAAAAAAGAAAAAGATGATGCTTTGAAAGGTAATGTAAGGGCAAGGAACGAAAGTAGGCAGAAAGATGGTTATGAATTATGATTACTTATTTACCTTGATGCTTGATGTGCACTGATGGTGAATTATGGGACAGTGGAGATTTCAATATCATTACACGTAAATCGTTTATTAAAATTCAATAAATTTTAATTAACTTCAATGATTTATTTTCTTTGATAATCAATTCAATGTTGACCTCACAATCATACGAATGAATTCGGTTTGTTTGAAACTTAGAAAATAAAGGAAAATTTTCTTTGTCATGCACTGATTTCTTGATCTAAAATTGCTTGCACATGTTTCTTTCGGAAAACAAAACTATTTTTTCTTTTGTCTGTTGAATTTTTCATGCTTTTTGCTGTTGCCTCAAATGATGTCATCAGATTTGGGTTTCTCTTGCAGAATGATATTTGACACGGACGACATGGGACACCTGCTGCGAGTTTTTCTTTTTCTGAGGTCAAAGATCGTTGCTTCCAAACAATTTCACTGACAATTTCGAACCCGAAAAATGCAACATTGCACTCTTTCAGTACTAAATGTAAAGAATAAAATGATTAGCATAAACAGATTCATGTTTAACCGAAGAGGGTGAGATGCGTCATAAAATTTTCCGATCGAAATTAGTTCCACCAATTTCGTGCCTATTTTCCACTCTCCCGCCCCTCTTCGTCCCCTGATTTTCCTGTGCAGCATATTGTCTTCGTTCAATCGCTTCGCGAAACATGTTGCGACATATAAAATCTCCTGTTTTATTTGTGTAGCAAGTGTAGAGCGAGTAGTAGGGCGAGAAACTGTTGGACAATTTGTCATGCACTTAACATGCTTTGTAAAACGAGAAAAAGAATTTTTATCACGAATTGATTTTTATGTCCGAAGAAGCATTTCCAAAATTGTGTGCAGAAAAATCGATCAAAGTATCTAAAATGCAATTCGGTTTTGTCGCATTAATTTATTGAAAATATTTCAACCCAAACACGTGGTTGAAACTCATGTCAAATAAGAAGAATTATGTGAAATAAATATGAATCCGAAACGATTTTAATCACCCTTCGCCTTTGTTCTTCTTCACAAAATTCTTTTATAAAAACGTTCATCAACCCCAAATGATTCTTTTATTTCAGGTGAAAACCTCACAAGTCTCGTGTCAAAAGGATCATTTAAATTGCATCAAACTGCATTAAATCCCTTGCAACAGTTCTGAATTTCTTTCAATGTCATCATAAATTTAAAGTCACTGATCCATTTTGACATTAAACGACTTTCATTAGAGAAGCGAAAATTTCCAACACACGACATAATCCCGTGGTGGAAGTTGTGGTTCATCCCCGGAATTCTAGTTTCATTCCTCGAATCTTTGAAGTGGGAAAAACCTTTGAATAAATTATGTCCTCGTATTGACGTGTGACTCGATTTCGTGGCTAGAAAAAGATCCCACGGATCGCTTAACCGCAGCTACTACCCGCCCACTGATTAACATAATTTTTATATTAAATCTTGAAAGGTATACAATATTGTAGAAGGAAAAGTGGAAGCAATTTCATTTGATATTGTACGGATGGAAGAAATTGTTTTGTTTGTATGATGAAAAGCATTCAATTCTGTGTGATGGAGTTGTGTGCAATGAACGTCACATTGCAATGTAAAGATTTTTATGGAACAGAAACTCAAAATGCTTTCGGGAGATTCGCCGATTAATTAAAATTCATTAGCGATTCAATCTAATCAGATGACCATCGTTAAAATAAATAAAATGTTTTTATAATATTCAATAAACTTGACACGTTAATCCGGCTATGCAATAAATAAACACGTGATCATCTCAAGCCAATTAATTATTAAATATCAAAAGAGCAATAAAAGGAATGAAATCTTTTGACATTTTCTTCAAACAAGTCCCAATCATATGTAAGGAATTCCTGCTTTTAATATTTAATATTTTTATGACAAATTTCATGTGAAATCATTTTATTTACGGTGGCACTTCTATGCAATAGAAATCATAACATAAAAAGTAATGCTTCAGATGAAGAAAATTTCATTTCGTTTCTGCAATTTTTCTTCTTTTCTTTGATATTTTTTTATTTTGTTGTTACGCAATTTGCGACAATAACTTATTTGATATTTCTTCAATGTTTTCATTGAAATTGAAGTTCTCTTGAATAATTTCAAAGGAAGGAAATGAAATGTTAATGTATGACATTAAATGAATATTTAAAATGAAATCTGATAAATGAGATAAAAATCAGAATGCGCATTCAAATAAATGAGTAAAACTAAATTGGTGACAGTTCGCCGCTCTGTCGCTTATTAATTTACGACTTCAATCAAATCCTGAAGTCTCACAGCTTCTGATTTCATTATAAATTTATCTTTGTTCTCACTTTTAAATCTCAAATTCGTCAAATTAATGGCTAATTTATTCATAACCACCGTAAAACTCTTATTTAGTTCGATTTATTTATTTTTATTCCATATTTCGGACTAGGAACTGATGATGTCTTCATCAATTGACTACCAATATAACCATTTAATAGATTTCAAACCTCCATCGTAAAACGTTTTGATCAACCAACAACAAATTGTTATTTACAGACATCCAGTGGGCATGTAAACAATAAAAACGTTTGAGAAATATTTTTGTCACGTGACTACGTTTGTATGGCGCGTGCACAGGATTTAATGTGGAAGCGCTTGTTGGTTGAGCATGAAAACGAGACTTGAATTTCACACATGATGAAATCGCTACATGTATTTATTTTGACATCTTTCGATGATGTATAAAACTTAAACTTTATTTCTAGATGTCATGTCGCACCTTTTCAATTGTGAATTCCGGTTGCTGACTCTTGATAACTTGCTAATTTTTTCCTACTTGCTTACTTCTATTGACATTATCTCATCTTTATAAAACTTGCTCAGCAAATATTTTACTTACTTAGCTCAATTTTACTGAGATTCTTCTCAGTTGCCTTTTAAAATTTGTGAGATGAGGATGATGAGGTAAAAATAATTCTCATTCGTAATACTTGTTTTTAAATAATTTAAACATTTTCTAGGTCGATTATATTTTTAACTCTCACGATAACTATCAATGTTATTATTTGCGATAAGGAGCCAATAGAATGTGAGATTTTTGTAGACCGTGGGAGAGGTTTAACTGCATGTCAATTTGCTAAAGTTAATTCAACTGGTAAAGACACGACAGCAATCAACGCAAAGCCAACAAATTTCCAAGGACGTTTGATTGAAAGCAATCAAGTGACAGCAGTTGCGATTGCATATTCTGAGTTTGATCGCATTCCAAATTCAATCTTCACGACATTTGAAGGCATCTTAAGAATAAAAATTTACGGCGGAAGTTTAAAGGTCATCGGCAATGGCGACTTTAATCTTGCATCAAATATGATTTCATTTGAAGTGTACAATACAACAATTGATGAGATCACAAGTAAAGCTTTCGAAGGAGCTTCAAACTTGACGGAAATTACTGTCGAGAAATGTGAGATTGGAGTTATTGCAAGCGATGCTTTCGATGGCTTGGATAAACTTAAGAAAATCCGATTTGTCGGAAGCAAATATCCGAACGATGACTTCTTGAAGAATCTATCAAGTTCTGTTACAGCGATTGTTGTGCCTTGAGTCACTCAAATATTTAATAACAATAAATCTTTTATTATCATACAAATCAAACTCTTTAAAAAAACTTGTCAAGTGGGAAATCATTTCGTCAATTTCACACTACAACTTGCTGTTTATATTTTCCATGAAATTAGTTCATCATTCTCATATCTGATGAAGATTAAAATCTATTTTCGTTAAGCACCGACACGTGATGTCAACTCAAGCTCGTGTGGATCAAAAATGTATTATTTTTTACTACAATTCTTAACCCTGCGGATGTTTGTTAAACAAAGAAAGATTTTCATTCGTCTATTTGAATGATTTGCAATTGATTTTCACATGTTACCATGTCGATGTTCCTTTTCGTATTCGGATACAAACAACTAAGAAGGAAAATAAAAAAATGCTTAACTCACACCGGACATGTGCTCTTATTGCAAACAAAGCATTTTGTGAAAGGGAATAACACAACAAGCCCTCATTCAGCATTCCACTCTCCACCCCATTTATTTACATTCATCTACGGAACTGACGTGTGAGTTAGAAAAGAAGATCAATCGCTCTTTTGTTGATGGTCTTTGTTATCAGATTTTAATTCTCAGTGAAACATCGGCAGGTAGTCTAATTGAAAATATGTATCAATTTCAGATCGTCCCACGATGATAAAAAAGGTTTCGTTGTCATTTAAACTTTGAACTTTTTTTATTTATTTAGATATTTAAAAAAAAAAGTCGAAAATGTTCTTTGAAAGTTTTTTAAAATATCAAAAGAATGAAGTTTTCCTTTGAACACAAAACGTTTTGTTTATGGTGGAAAAAAGGAAAAGAAAAAACAATTTTGAAACAGAATGAACCGCTTTTCAATTCACTGAATTTTCCTCGTTTATGGAAAAATTAATTTTTCATTCCACTGACTTTTGCTACTTCAACAAGCATCAATATGTTTCGAGTTGGAATGTTTGTGTTTTTGTCTGAAAACGTTTGGGCTAAAAAGTTATTCGAATAATGCTTGATGTCTGCATGATTACATGTTTATTGTAAGAGAATAACGTCCAAGCAGGTTATTTGAGTTTCGTTCAGCCACAAAACTTGAATAAGGCTCATTGAGAAATCATTTAACTGAAAAAATGTTTTGGCTTTCATTTCAATAATTCTCTGAGTGGAAAATTTATTAAACTAAATCCAACATCATTTTACAACAGCGGTTGGAATATTTTGATGAGTTTTTTGGTTGAACAATTAGCGGTTTTAAATTGCAGCCGTTTGGAAATGATCTCAGTAAATGTAAACAGATGAGCCACTTGAGATGTCATTCGGTTAGAATCAAAAGTTTTTATAAAGTTATGAAAACTATCATTGCACAAAACTGTCACCCTAAGTTAATTCTCTATTAAATTTTTTAATTCCCCTCTAAATGTGTCACGATCTTTTGTTGATTCATTTTGAAATGAAATAAAAATCTCGCAACTCACTTGGAATTGCATCGATATGTGTTTTGCTTTCTCTTTCATTACAATTTTCGTTAATAAGGGTTAAACATGAAGAAAGAAAGACAAATTAAAACTTTATATTGTTCAACAAAACGTAACAGTTTTAATCTGGCATCGAAAAATAATTTTGAGTGTCAACATAATGTGAGATAATCTTTTTTTATAACATTTCTTAATTTAAGTAGTTAATTCTTTTACTTTCTTTTATGATGATTACGAATAAAATACGAGGTTGCACAATTCATTATTGAATATTATGTTGATTAAATAAATGCGCGGTTTTATCACCGGAAGTATTCAAATAATGAAATGAACTTCACGTTCCATAAATTTCAACTTTCATATTGATTTTTAATTGCATTTTTAATCAATTAAACAGGACATTAATTAATACATTTTTTTTTCTTTTTGATAGAAAAATCATTTCTCTCGAAATATTATTTTTTATTAATTAAAAGTTTTACGCAACAAAACACTTTGGAATTTAATAATTAAACATTAAAAATATTTTTTCAAGTCTGTTGATATTGTGGGTGTTTTTTTTAATATTTGGTATGGCGAGTGAAAAGCTAATGATGATGATGATAAGAAGGCTCTCCAATATGTTTGACAACGGCATTGAATCCATTATGCTTATCGGAAGTGTAAGCGACGATACGTTTTGTTCCATCAGCTTCATCGACAGTGTACTCTCCTTTCACAACATCGCCATCACGAACTTCCCAATGGCTTTTATGATCTCCAGTTTTCTCGTCTTTGATGCCATATTCGTATTTGTATTTTGGATATGCATGATAATCGACAAGATGGTCATCATGTCCATAGTCTGATGAAACTTCTCCGCCATGGTGAGATTCCCCTCCATGATAAGCTTCACCGCCATGATATGATTCACCTCCGTGACTTTGGTAAGCATCACCGCCATGATATGATTCACCTCCATGACTTTGATAAGATTCTACGCCATGATCACTGTAAGCCCCCCCACCATATCCGCCATGACCTGAATGACCTTCTTCGACATGGACTGCTTCATGATGTGCTGGATAATGCTGTTCATGTTGCACTTCAATGCCATAACCGTGATCCAAATTATAAGCTGACGTAATTGCGACGAAAGCTAACGTAAAAGCGATCTAAAGAAACATAATGAATCGAATTATATCCAGATTGGTTCCAATTGGTTTAACAATCTCTTACTTTAACTGAATGCATTTTGATTTTACTTGTTTATTAGTGAAAAGTTAAAACTCAACTGACGATGGTTACATTGGTTCCCACAAGCTTTTATACTATTTACTTGTTTTTCTCTTGCACAACATCGAACAAATCGCTCAAGATTAAGTCTTGGAGTTTTGATGGAACTGCAACAGAGCAAAGAAAATGTAAACCAATTGACCGCTTTATGGATTTATTGTTAAACGGAACAATTAAAAGATTCGCAACGTCTTGAAAACGGTGATGAAAGGTATAGAAAGAAAGATTTTCGGCGTTACTGATGAATTGTTAAACTTATATAATCGCTTTGTGTTGCTTTCGTTAATTGAAAGATGAAATTTGTTATACTTTAATGACTCAATATTCAATCAACAAGAAATATATTGTCACTTGTTAAATTTATTCGCCAAGTGTTTAATTTTTGAACTTCATGCTATGTCATTCTATCATCATCAAATGATTAATTAAATTTTCGTCAAATTTCTATGTGATTTAAAACTAAAGTTGAGGCTTAAAGAGTTCAATTAATGAGTAATTTGTCATGTTTGTGTGACTGACTTTTAACATTTTTTAACCCTATCAAAGGGTGCAAGGAAAACCCTTTTTATTGCAACATGATTAATTAAAGTTTGGTGATTTTCCAATCATTTTACGATGTTACGCATTAATGATTAGCGGTGTGGATTGATGACACAATGCGACAAGTGTTAAAAGTCTCATCGACACTCAATTGATTGAATTCAACAAGATCCTCATAATAATTAATGTCATTGATGTTATCTAATGCGTTTTAAATGTGTAACCTTCCAATATTAATTAAAGTTTCACAATATTTTTTCTCCCAATTATCGAATCAAATAATTTGAATATTTTATACCAATTGTAAATATTTTTAAATTCACTGAGTAATTGCTTTGTGGTTCAGTTTTCTTTTCTTTCTCATGTTTTTTCGATTAAATAGTCTTGTTAGTGTTCAATTGCTTGCTTTCTCAGTTTCTTCGTTTTCTTCGTCAATGAATTCTTTAAATAATTTGCACTCGCAAACTTAAACTTTGAAATTTTTCACAAGAGAAACAAAATTATTTATGAAAATTTGCTTTTTCACCACAGAGGCGAGAGAAATTTTACAATTTAATTTAATTTTTTCTGTTCGACTACTCTGAACAGTTTAATTTTTCCTTGTGCAAATTTTTCCGAATTTAATTTGCATACAAAACAGGTTGGTTTGCATTTGAAAGGCAATTGAAGTCAAACGACTGATCCAAACGACAACAATCCTTTTTTATGTGTTACAAAGGGTGAGATAAAGTTTGTACATTGGTGAAAGGATGGCCATTTACTCGAGATATTTAATTAAGAAAATAAAAATTAAGTTTTAGCGCTGCACTTAAATTTAACGACTTTGTGACAAAATGAAAATCCTGGACAGCCATTTTCAGAGATGAGCGTGCTTTAGATGACGATGGGATAAAATTTAAAACATTTTTACGAATAAGGAAACCTTTTCATGTAAAATGCAAATTTTTGTCACCATTTTGGACATTTCTGAATATTTTTTTCTTTCTTACCGAGCTTCATCAAAACAGCTTTGAGACATTCATAACATCTAATGCATAACAAGAAGAGAAAAAACATGAACATTTCATTGTGGTTTCTTCTTCAAATATCTTTTGAACAAACATTTCAACCAGCTCATGTACAACGCAAAACAGAGAAAGAAGAATTCAATTCAAAGAGTCAATTGCAAATATGAAGAAGAAAAAATCAAAACATTTGAACGAATTGATCCCGATTTGTTTATTCAAAAAAAAGAATATCAACGCAACCCATCAGATTTTATTTATTTTTCCAAAGCAAACGTCAACAGTGAAGAATCATTCAGAAAAGTAAAAATCTTTACATTTGAAATCGGAAAAATATTTTTATGAGAACGAATTTAGGGTCGGTGGCATAACAACGGGAAAGGTGAAAGAACTTCTTCTGATGCCTCCTACTAAATGTTAAAGTTGTTCATTGTGATTTCATCAACCCTGTTTTGTCTTTTATTATTTATTTTCATTTTGTGTGAGAAATAAAAGATTTTTCCCTCATCGTTGGTTGTTGTTTCATGGTATCATCATGACGATACTTTGTAGCAGAAATAGAGAACAAAAAAAAAGTATTTTTGTTCTGTGTGTATCTGTTTTCAGCTCAAAGCCCCGAAGAGACAGTTTAATGGTTGTTTACATCAAATAAGGAAGACGATCACGAAAATTCACATAAAATTTATCGTCGTTCGCTCTCAGGACTGCAATATTTTTCGCTTTTCTGTTTGTTTATGTTCGAGATATTGATGTTTGTGCTCTATAGGCGATACAATTTAATGGCTTTCGACGATGAAATGTTTTTTTCTTTCTTCAAATTTCGATTCTTGTTTTCATCTAAGCATGCATTGAAGTGATAAACGTCGACAAATTTTTTTTTTTCGACAAAAGCTTCTAGAAAGTTAGAAAATCTCAATTAATAATCGCAGTGGACTTTGAAGATTCACAATTAAAAATTTATTTTCTTAACCAAGTTCAAGTCTGATCAACAAAAAAAGCTTCAAAAATGTATTTTCTTCAGTCAATTGATTCAAATTGCGGTCCATCAATGTGTTACATTCCTTCAACTTGTAATCGTGTAAAAGGAATGAAAGATGTAAACGTTTGGCAAATTCCTTTCAAAAATCAATTTTACAATTTGCTTCTGACGTTACATGACAAGATGATGTGTCAAGATTGCATTGTGTTCTGCTACTGGTTCTGTATGGCTCTAGCAATTTATGGCCTAACTGAAGCTTTAAATGAATTTTTCTGGACTTATCGTGACAAGAAATACGAACCTAAAAGATTTTTGAATCGTGTCTATCGTAAAATTCCAATCAAGTATCGAAGAAACTCAAGACTTTGTGGTGGATTGTTACATATTATTACTTCCACATTCTTTCTACTTGGACTCCTGGGATTACAAAATGAAATGATGCTTCCGTGGGTTATCTTGGTTGGCTCGATAATTGTCTTCGAAGGATTGTTCTTGACCTTGTGTATGGCAGCTGGCGAACCGAACACACACAAACCGATGCTGTCATTGATTTTTCTCTTGTTTCGATTTGCCATATCATTGCACATGATAATGATGATACGCAGCACCCAATTGTATTGAAGAATATGCTTCTGATATTTCTATAAATTATTAAAATTTCAAGTGTTTTAAATTAATAAAAGGAAAAAAATGTAATTTAAAAACTTTTAATAATTCTCAGTAGTCTTATTTATTTTGAAAAAACTTCAATAGAAACTCTAACATTTCTTCGCTTTATAAAATGATTTCATACAGTGAGTTACATAAATTTGGCTGTGATGTAATTGGACACAAACTTATCATTTGGAATCATCACAAGAAGAATCCTCCAGCCGTCCAAAATGCTATCAAGAAATTAACTTCTCAAAAATTCTTTGTTATTTCATACTGGTTGAATATTGTCTTCGCTGTAATTGGAATTGGAGAAGCATTGAAAGAGCTTTACAGAATTTTAAGCACACCTAATTATCAGTCAAAAATATTTGGAAGCCGAGAAATTAATTGCGTTTCATTGAAGAATCAAAGACTCTTAAGAATCGTTGGATTGCTTTCAAACATTGCTTTGCTTCTGATGTTCATCTATGGTGTCATTACATTCCGTCCACAATTCATCTCTCTCTGGATCTTCTCACAAAAAATTCTCGTAATGTTGGAAATAATCATAACAATCTTAACTGCAATCATATCGCGAAGCTTCAAGCCAGAAAATTTCTTTTTCTTGATATTCATGATATTTCGAATCAAAATTGCAACTTACACAAAGACCGAAATGACTGAAGCACCCACGCTTATGTGAATGCTAAGACAATAAACTCAAACATTTGCATCTCAAATTAAATTTATAAGTCAGAAAAATTAATGAAAAACTTGCAGGTGTCGGATGAGATGTCACAAAGGACATTAAAATTCCTTACAATTTGTTGCGCAACAACAATACTCGATTCTCTACGCTTCTGTTTCATTTATCATCCCTTCTCGTCCCACTTGCAACTTCTAGTTTCTACCATGACAGTTTTTTCTCGCTCTTGTTTTTGTCTCCAATTTTTTTTTTGATGTCACACAATTTACGGCACAGTAATTGAGCGTAAGTAATTAGGTTTCGTTACGCATTGTTCACGACTGTCATTCAGAGGAAATTTCTGTTGTTTATTCGTTTTGAGTCTCAACGTTTACAAATGAAAGTAATTAGCAAATGTTGCATTCAAAGAGGTCGTGAAATTAAATTTAATCCTTGACAATGAATACAATGTTGCAATATCTGAAATATTCCTGAAATATGTGTCAATATGAGAGTTGTATGTGTCGCCAATTGATCCAGACGATTTAAGTTTATTGATTTGTTTGCATACTTAACTTTCATTCACATATCAGGACTTGTGTTGGATTAAATTCTTATAAAAAAAGTCTTACTCCGAAGCTTAGTAGAGGTTTTATCTCCGTTATGAAATAAATGTCATCATTAAACGGAAGAAAAAGTGCTTTTTATCCTTAACACGCGTTAAAATGGTCAATTTATTTTCGGCTTTTTTCAAAATCGTTTCTGGTTTGATGTTGAAAAATGTTTCTAATAACAATTATTGTGAAAAATTGCCAATATGTTGGAGACTTGAAATAAAAAGCAAGCAGCGACAGATCCGCTAAACTGATAAATTGAAGTGCCAGACGAATGATGCTTTGCGAAGAAAAAAAGCAATAATCAGAATTTATTTTCATCCATGAATCATCACGAGACATACATTGATGAATGAGATGCTAAATAAAAGTTTCAAAAAGTAATTTCAGTTGATAAAGTTTAATTTCCTTTAAAATTCAAATTTCTTCTTCACCGTGTGCTCAAAGATCAAAAGAAATTTATTTTAAAAGCCATTGAAGTGAAGAAAAGAAGGAAATGAATTTTCAAATGTTCTTTCATGATTGCATTTGCTTTTCATCTAATGATGAAATATTCCGAAATGTGAGCATAAAAGAATTGAATTTCAAAAACTTTCATAGACAAAACGCGTCGTCAAAGCTTTTATTTCTGTGTGTATGTTTTTGAATGAAACAAATCAGTGATAACCGTAAATATGAAAAGTAGTTCATCATGACAAAGCAAGTTTTAAGTCATTTCGAAGTTTCATAATAATAATAAGCACTCATTGTAATCGATAAATATAAGTTTTGAATAATATTTTGCATATCGCGACACTTTGATCTTTATTGATTCAGTTTGAGCTTGTTAGTAAACACGATTTCATTCTTATTATGAATTTATTTAGATATTGAGTCATCAAAGAATTCCCATAATCAAATCACAAGTCACCTAATGATTTTATTTTTCATTTCACATTTTTCCCTGCCATTCAAAAACGTAAACAAATTTTTATTGTAAAAAATGTCGTTCAAGAAAAGTTTATAAACAAAACCTACACAACATTTAAAATTTTTTTTAAACAAACATCGATGATGACGCAAAAGCAAATGTGATTCCGCATTTTTTAAAGGCAAAAAATTTATTAATAAATAAATTCCGAAATTTATGTAAATTCAATCAAAAAAACATTTTTTCGTTTTCTTTTTTTTCACAAGAGCGTGAAATAATTTCTTGATCATTGGAAGACGATAAAATGTAACGAAAACATCACTAAATCTGAGATGAGATGACAAATCCGCTTATTAATTTGCAAACTGGAGCCACTGTTCGTCTTTCTCGCCTACCAACGCTTCCATGCCGTGCATGAATAAAGCATTATGCTAATTATCTTGTGCTACCTAACTTTGCCAGCGCACCATTCCATGATTTGACACATTCTTAACATCGCTTTTTTCCTGTTGCTATTTTTTTCCCAAATTTAAATGTTGTTTGTATGTAAAATTCGTTAAAAGAAAAAAGATTTTTATGGCGATCTTCTGGCGACACGATAATGAATCAAGAAGAATGTTCGCTTAAACGAGACTGCCAAAAATAACTCCACCGTGAAGAAAAGCTTTATTGAGGCTCATTGCTTGATGTCGCCACTCAATCATAAAAGCTTTGAAGCGACTGTCGCCTAAGTCGAATGACTTTTGACTGCTTGACTGATTCTGCTTGTCGCAGTCAAAGCACCAGGATGTTAGTAAAGAGGTTTCGTCTATTTTAAATTTTATTCTCTCGCTTTTTCTCACCAAGTTGTCAAAGAAACAATAAAACCATAAGAGTTACGATCAGAAATTCGAACGCTTATATTAATTTTCAAAAAAAGAAGAACATAGAAGTGAATTGGAATGAAGTTCCGCACTAGAAATATTTTCCTGGAGGGAATGTGACCAAATAGCTTTCAAAGAATTCAGTTTCATTTTTTTTTTCATCTTCTTCTTTAAGCTGATAATTTATGATGCAATACAAAACGCTTCACTGTCAATTAAAATTCGCATCCCGAATCTAAATCTAATCATCAATGCAAACAAGAAATAAAAATAAAAAAGTTTGAGTCAAATTGTCAACAACATTCCCGACTGCAGATTCATCGGATATTTCCCGCGAATTCTTTAATCGATTCTTGAACTTCGCTATTCTATTCCAAAAATAAAGTTGTTAGAAGTTTCTCAACGTGCTTTTTTTTTGTTTACTCTGAAATCACTTTTCACATATTTTTCAACGCTGTCTTCAGGTCGTTTGATGAAAATTGTGGTAGGTCATGGAAGAATTTTCAGCTTACGTGGAGATGATTACGATGGTTGTTTAATGATCGCGTCATCGGAATGTCTTCTTATCTGCCGTCGAAATCTTTCAGTTCACTCTTCTGAAATTGAGTATTTAAGTTTAATTAAATCAGAACACGATGATCTCCGATCTTTCAATTAATGGAACAAATGCGATAAGCGGAATCAAAGGTCAATAATCGTATAACACTTCACCGAAATTTTAATAATTTTCAGAAATTCCATTTTGACAGAGAATCGGAGAAAAATAAATTGATCCCCTTTTTTTGGTCATTACTGATAAATTTTGTCGATCAGGTTCATGGAATAAAAATAACATCGCAGTGGAAATACCGCAGCAGATAAAAATGTAGCGAAAAGAGAGAGAAATAAAAGGCAAGGAATTCAAAAGAAAAAAAAGCAATTTAAAACTAAAAATAGAATCTTCGTGAAAATAATTTACAGTGAATGAGAAAGATGACCAGTTTTGTAAAACGATCAAATTATCGACACAAAAAATATATTTTTGTGGCTGGCGCCGAATTTATTTTTATTTTGGTTTCTCCGTCGTTTAATTTTTGTTCAATGCAGACAATCTTTTGGTTCGCAAAAAGAAAAACATCAAGCCGGGTCATGTTAAACTGATGTAAACAGTTGTTTTTAATTTTCGTGCTGTTAAAATTTCCTTAACACTGCGCTGCATTAATAAATTGATTGAAGGTCGCGAAGTTCACACCGTCGATAAAGATTTCCTTTAATTAGCTGTTAACATATTAAAATTGTTAAAGCTTCAAGAAATCAATTTTTTTGAAGTGAGAGACGCCAAAGGAAATTAGTTAGTTCAAAAAAATGTCTCGCAAGAATCATCACCGTAAAAAAAACAACAAACTCCAAAAAAAATGTAATCAAAACAGATTGAAATAAAAAAAACACACAGAACCATAAACAGGTTTGTTTCGTCGCTTCGCCGATGTGCCCAAAAGAGAGAAGACGCAAATTTCTTTCTCTTCTCACGACGAAGTCTTTTTCGTATATAAGATTCAGCGATCTGTCGAAATAATCAACAGTAACAGTTTGCAAACCGAATTGATAGCTCACAAAGAACACTTCTCGTGCTGATAAATAACAGTGAAATTATTAAAAAGAAAAATTCAAACTTAAAAAATTTCTGAAACGAAAAAGAAAAGTTTTTAAAAAGAAAAATATACAAAAAAGAAAATGGAAAACAGGTAAACATTTTCCTTCCAGTGACGAGTGAAAATATTGTCCAATTTCGATCAAAACTTTTATTGAAACGTTTTCTTAAATTTCAACAGAATTGTAATCGCAACTATAATTGCCTTGTGTATCGGTCAGACATTCTCCGCCCCCGCAACAAGAACTATTGATAACACAATAAATGGACTTGATAAGCTTGAACATCAGAACATGCCCCAAGAGGTCAAAAAAACAATGCCAAGTCTTATTGAAATTACAAAGAAGTTGACAAAGCTTTACGCAAGCGGAAATCCCATGAAAATTACAAGCGATATTTTCATCGGCGCCGATCAATTGGAGATGATTAACCTGAGTGATGGAAACGTTAAAGAAATCGAAAGCCGTGCTTTCTATGGACCTTCAAAATTAAAGAAGCTTAATTTATCTGGTAATAAATTACAATCATTACCCGGTGATCTCTTCCCAAAACAAAACGTTGTCAAGGAAATTGATTTGTCAAATAATCAGATCGAGAAACTCAATCGATCAACCTTCAAAAATCTTCAACATTTGAAGAAACTTGACTTGACAAATAACAAGTTGACAAGCCTCGATGGTTCAATCTTCGCCGATCTGATTAATCTTCAAGAGCTCGATTTGACTGGAAATCCAATCAGATCAATCAGTGAAGAGTTCTTCGCCAGCCTTCCAAACGGCCTTCAACTCTCTTTCGATGATGGAAATCTTGATTTTAAATCTCTTGAACTCACTGAGCAGTGGGCTCTATAAAATACATTTTAAGCACACTTTTGTCGCCAAAATCCCATTGAAAAACTCATTACAAAGAGAAATTTTACTTCGACGTGCTTCATTTCTCGTCTTATTTATAATTTAAACATTCTTTTAATTTATACATTCGCGCATTTATTTTATCGAGATTAAGAATTGTAAGAAACGAAAAAAAATAAAAAATAATTTGTAAGATTTTCCAACGTAAATTTATGTAGCGATTTTCTTTTTTATTTATTACTTCTACAGGCGATAATTTGGGGGAAAATGTTTCGTCGTCCACCCACGCAGGGTTTAGAATTTCTTTTCCTATTTACACTTTGTGATACAATAAATTATTGAGTTTGAATGTGAGAGGTGAAGGAAGGGTGTGAGATGGAGCATCAGTTGAGTATACTTAAGCGAATCAACATCCCAAAAACAATAAGATTCATTTCTTCTATCGCTAATTTTTCTTTTCTTTCCTTAAATTTATATTTTTTTCTCACACATTTTTTATTGAAAAATTTACAGCAATTTCTCAAGCTGCTTTCTTGGCAGCCTTCTTGTTTTAATTTAAATGTATTTCCTCCATCTTTTCCTCGATCGAAGGAAATTGAGAAAAATTTCCTCAATATGTTTCTCTATTTAATTGGCTTTTCTTGCTTTTCATTTTCCTTCCTTTGCCTTCAATCGATTTGGAAGTTGAAAAATCACTTTAAATTTCCTCGTGTCGTTCTCATTGATTTGTCTTCAGAATTCTTTATTTTTATTATCATTGCATTAATTTTAGAATTCTCAACAAAATGTCAACATAAGAGAATCATTTCAACAATCAAAAAGAAATAACGATGTTGATGATGATTAAGAAGAGAATCCAGTTCTCATTAACCTTGAAAACGTCAGATGCCGGCAAAAGCAAAAACATTTATCCGAAAAACTTGCGAAAAAGTCAAAAAAATTTCAGGTTTCTTATGTTCAAAGTTCTTTTAAATTTGTTGGAAGTCGCTCGTAATTTTCGTATCTTGTCAGTTTTGTCGGGTTGTTGAACGAATCGTTTTTGGATCAACAATTTGTTCTTGTTAAGGAAAAAAAAAAAATTAAATTCCGATTTTGATTGCAATGCAAACACAATAAATGTTAAAAAAAAAGTCAATCGAGATTTTAAGACTTGGCAGCACATTAAAAGTGGACGAAAACGTAAACTTGTATTCGATAGAGTTAACTGTAAATAAAAATCTCATAGAATCAATTAAGTTAAAGACAAGGCTGATCTTCTTCATTTGTATGATAATTTTCTTCGGTAAATTTTGCGGTATTAAATTAGCAAAGAAAATAAATTTTTTTGACCGCACCTTGAGGACGTTCGATGGTTTGATGTTAAAACAGTTAAAATCGTAGCGTATACGAGAATATCTCAAATATCGTTTTATGTGACAAACGATTTATTATTGTCGAGAAAGCGAATTGAGATGTTAAAAGCCTATAGCAGCTAAACGCTTGACTTAGAAACATCTTAAAAGGCAATAAAGAATTTAATCAAATACAACCGGTCGTGTAACGACAGTCAGCCACGTGGCGGAGGGCAATAATATGCTTCATATTTAGATAATAACTGAAAAAATAGAAAGGGAAAGAAAGCAGCAAAGCATTGTTCGATCCATTGAGTCAGTAAAAATTAATTTGTTTGATCACCAAATAAATACGTGCGACACACGTTGAATCATCCAAGAATTCAACTGACTTACGATCGCTCAGTTTAGAGCAGCTAACTTTGCTATTTTGAACTCTCAGAGTGATGTTATTAAATACATATTTGTTCTAGTGATTGACTATGATTTTGGAATAAAATTTTAGTTGAAATGTTGATGATGTGAATGAATAAGTGATAATGTTTGATGACGATTTCTACGACGTAACTCATCTGTGATGATTGTTTGCATAAGTAAATTGTCGTGAATGATATTCTCATTTCCCGTCATTCTTTTAACTTTTATAACAGCGAGAAGATATTCTTGGATTTTATTATAATTGGCGAGTTAATCAACATCATTAGTTATTTATGGAGTCACATCGATGGAATCGTAATTTTAGAATTTAAGCGCCAAAAGATTTTACGTCACTCAAAGCACTTGATGAATGAAAAATTTGCATACGAACACGCTGATTTATTTTGAATGGGGATATGATATCATTCCCACATCCATTTCTAGACGCAAGAATCATCATTGACGACGTTGATTATCATCATTAAAAAGTAGCAAAACTTCCTTTACGGTTGTCTTTAAAATTAAATAAAAAAAATCTTCTTTTTGAGAATTATTCATCTACAACAACTAAAATTTTTAACGATTCATTTCAAGTTCCGTGATCTGAAGTTACTTTTACAATCGCTACGAAAACATTTCTTTCAATCAATAATCATATATGCTTATTAAACCTGCTTTCTGATAAGATAAATTTCCTGTAATGTTCCAAAAATAAATTACAAGTAAGTTTGTATCCAAAAATAAATGTAAACAGATTCGAAAATGAGAAGTCGAGACGACATTAAAACAAAATAAAATACAAAACGAATCACAAAGTAAAATGCCAAATAATTAGCAACATTTTAAAGGAAATTAATTAAAAGCTTTTGTTTTATTCATTTTTTTTCTGGGGCTTGCCATGTTCGGGCTTCATTTGTGGGGAAGAATTTTGTTTAAAAATTTAATTTGTTGATGTTTCCTTGCATTCAACTCAGTTCGTTAGTTGCGGGACTATTAAAATCTGAAAAGAGTTACGGAAACATATTTTCCTTCTGGTTTTTATAAACATGCTAATTTTAAGTGTGGGTGGGAGGCAGGAGAACTTAATGACCATCATTAAAATGCTATGAAATAGTTTCACTGGTCGTTTGGTGAGAGGAAGAGAAAAATCTTTACCAAGCTCACATAAATTCGTTATAAACAAAGTTGTGTTTTATTTTTGCACGGTATCTACAACGTTATCATTGCGCAAAAATAACAAGCTATAAACGTTAAATGTTTACTTAATAGTTATCGTGAATACAATGAGAGATTTTTGATAATAAACATACTTGAAAAGCATTGCTCAACACGATAAAGCACGACTAAATCACTTTCAGTTTCGTTTCGCTTCTTGCTGTAAAAGGTTTCGTGTTCGACATAAAATCATTAATAGGAATATAAGATGCCTGACATTTTTTCCAGTGAATTACCCGTGTGGTTGAATAAGAGTTTCTTTGAAAAAGTTCTTCGAACATCTTCTGGCGACAAGAATCTGACGGTAAGATTTTTGTTTTTGGAATTTTCTTTGAAAATATCTTGAGTGAGAATGGAGATAATCAGCTGATGTCATTCATTCTCATGTTTATAGATTGCAGATTTCAGTGTTGCTGCTTCAGCAAACACCGGTGAACAATACGCGTCAACGATATTCAAGGCCACGGTCAAGTATGCCAACAAATTCCAATCCGATGCTGTTACTAAGCTTTTTGTTAAGCTTGTCGTTCCCAAGGTTAATGCATTTTCGGACGAGAACTCTTTTGACACTGGTGAAATATTTTAGTCTCGTTGTAATATTTAAATCTAATTTATTGGGTAATTTTTTAAGAGTTGAATATGTACATTAACACGCTGCCAGATATGCAGAGACTGTTGAGTATGACCGAAAAGAAGGTTGAACTTGCACCAAGGTGAAGGTTTATTTCGCATTACTTAACTTTTTAAAACTTATTATGAAATCGATGATTTCTGTCTCTCTTTATCAACTGATAAGATTACTTTATTCGGTGAAAGAGCCCGTGCCTGTGCTTGTATTTGAAGATGCTACAACTAATGGTTATGGCTTGTCTTCTGGACCATTGAATTTTGAAGGCACAAAATTTGTAGCAACAAAACTTGCAAAGTTTCACGCTGCTTCGGTCTACCTCAATCATGACGTGAGTCTTTTTATCAGCAAAAAATTGAAATTAAAACTTTACTTTTCATAGGGAAAAGGTGTCCAATATTATCAAAATGGATTGTTCAATTTGAAATCACGTGATGGAGTTAACTTCATGAAGAACAATATGAGTTTGTTTGTTGATGAAATTAAAACATGGGAAGGCTTTGATATGATAACTGAAAAAGTTACAAAATTAATTGACAAGTTTGAAGCTTCTGGTAATCAAATTTATCAGACAAATGCTGCTGGTGAAGGTTTCAATGTTTTGAATCATGGAGATTTCCATATTAACAACATGGTTTTCAAGAAAGATTCAGAAGGAAAACTTTCCGATGTTCTTTTCGTAAGATTTTTATTCAAATGTGATGCAATTTTAATCAAGAATTAATTTTTATAGCTTGATTTTCAATTATCAAAGTGGGGATCACCAACCATCGATTTATTTTATCTTTTATATTTGGTTGCATCACAAGAAGCTCGAGAGAATCATCGCGATGAAATTATTCTTCACTATCATCAAGCACTTGTAAAAGCTTTGAAGGATATTGGCTACATGACAAAACCTCCAACATTACTTGACCTAAATGTGCAACTTTTAAAGAATGGATTTATGGAGGTCGTCATCGCTATTTGTTTTCTTCCATTCCTCAATCTCGACCCACACACTCAAGATGTTGAAGTTGCATTTGAGAATGGTGTCGAAGGAGTTAATTTAAGGAAAACACTTTATCGACATCCAAAATACAAGGAAATGATTTCAAAATTAATCTCTGACTTTCTCTACAAAGGTCATTTAAATTAGAATGTGAACAGTTAATAAATTCACAAATTTATGAAGTTTTGAAGAAGAAATATATGATTTACATAAAGTGAATGTTAGATTAAACGATTCAATGATTTTATTTGCATTACTGAATTTTCTACTACTCGCTTTTGACTTTACCATTGTCATTAAAAGTTTTCTTCGCGATTACTTTTAAAACCTTGAACGAGACAATCAATAAAACCATTCCAATGCCTATGAAATCCAACCAATATTTCTGATAAAACGGAACTAATCGTCCAGGATATGCTAAATGCTTGGCACCTTTGTGTCGGATGACATATTCAGTCCACCAAACAGCACGTTCTCTACTCGACATTGGTTGATCGTATATGAGCGCTCGAAGGTTTTGAATGTTCGATTTGTATTCTGGTTTCAAGATTTGTTTGATCGCTTTCATCAAATTTGCTTCATTCAGAGTGTGCAACTCAAGATGGATGGCGATTCCTCTCTCAACCATTCGTTTGGCATTTGAATCTTGGTCAAATAGGAATGGAACGACAATCATTGGGACTGTTCGGTCAATAGCTTCTTCCATACTTTGTTGACCTCCTTGGGTAATGAAAAGTTTGATTTTGGGATGTGCCAAGAGATCACCTTGTGGCCACCATTTCGATATCATCACATTCTTCGGTTTATTTGGCAGAGTGTCAGCTTCAAACTTCCACAAAACATCGAATTCCAAACTACTGAAAACTTTCAAGAACAATGAAAGAGTTTCTGGATGTAAATCTTTCGACTGCACATTCGATCCAAGACTCATGTAGATCACACCGTTCTTGGAGTTGTCAAGAAAATTCTTCAATTCACCATCAGCCAACGGTTTTGGCTTTTCAATGTGCATAAATCCCAATTGAATCGTGTTCGGTAGAATCGGTCTGACGAATCCCATAACTGGATTGGTGTTTGTCATATGCAATTCAATTTTTTCTCTCATTTCATGAACACTTTTTGTCACTCCTGGGAAATGCTTACGAACAAGTTCATCACACATTTTTTCATATTTTGGTAAAAGATTGAACTTAACATGGAAATAAAACTTCAAACTTTTCCATCTTTCCGAAAAAGATAATTTTCCTTGTTCGTATGCAAAAAGCACCTCAGGGATTACGACTGGGTTCATTTCATTGCCGTTGTCTTCATGATTCATCATCATTGTGTCCAAAGAAGAAATTCCAATTATTGGACAATCAAATAACTCAGCGAAAGCAAACATTGGATAGTAATACAAAGATTCAATGATTAGAACATCGAAGCCTTCATTTTTACTATTTTTGATAAGATTTTTCACTTGTGGATAATTAAAATATTCTTCCATGAATATTAAATCAATCAACAAGAAACTTTCCATTAAATCATATTCATCAGATTTAGCTTCTTTATGTTCCACAAAATTGAGTTCCCTTCGAAACACTTCGTACCCTCCATGAAGATTAATTTGCGTAACATTTGAATTTTGTATATTCATCAAATCTGTAGTCAAAATAGTCAGCTGATGACCTCGAGCTGCTAAGTCTTTCATCAATGCATGATAAACGACTTGATGGCTTAACGATGGTGTTGGGAAAACTCCCAAAATTCGTGCACTTTCCGTTGCGACTGCACAAAAAAATATTAAAGACAGAATAAATTTTATTTTCATTTCTATCACCTTCTAGCTTCACTAAAATAAAACTGAAGTGTTTTGTATGCTCTCTCATACATTTGAGTGTCTAAATTATCTTTCCTGGTGTGAAACAAACGAGTGATTCTTGATTAAATATGTACATGGTTAAATTCGCACAGTTTTTATCAGCGATATCATTAAGATTCGGCTTTAACTTCTCAAATTTGCGTCTGTGTGACATTTGATAATGAAAAAATATTTTCTTTTCGTGAATGTCAAGTGTAGTCTGCTAGAAAAGAAAATTATTTTGAAACTTACTGAAAAGTGCGTAAAACAATTATCAGCTGATCTAGTTTGTAATCTAAGAATTGGTACACATAAAAAAATTTGAACTACTTGAAAATCTTTTTTTATTTCAATTTTCTTCCATACACTTAAACATTTCAATTCACTTCTAAATTTAATTCACTCATGTTTTATCTTTTCATTGACATGGAAAATTTTCTTCGCGATTACTTTTAAAACCTTGAACGAGACAATCAATAAAACCATTCCAATGCCTATGAAATCCAACCAATATTTCTGATAAAACGGAACTAATCGTCCAGGATATGCTAAATGCTTGGCACCTTTGTGTCGGATGACATATTCAGTCCACCAAACAGCACGTTCTCTACTCGACATTGGTTGATCGTATATGAGCGTTCGAAGGTTTTGAATGTTCGATTTGTATTCTGGTTTCAAGATTTGTTTGATCGCTTTCATCAAATTTGCTTCATTCAGAGTGTGCAACTCAAGATGGATGGCGATTCCTCTCTCAACCATTCGTTTGGCATTTGAATCTTGGTCAAATAGGAATGGAACGACAATCATTGGGACTGTTCGGTCGATGGCTTCTTCCATGCTTTGTTGACCTCCTTGGGTAATGAAAAGTTTGATTTTGGGATGTGCCAAGAGATCACCTTGTGGCCACCATTTCGATATCATCACATTCTTCGGTTTATTTGGCAGAGTGTCAGCTTCAAACTTCCACAAAACATCGAATTCTAAACTGTTGAAGACTTTAAAAAATAATGAAAGAGTCTCTGGATGTAAATCTTTCGATTGCACATTCGATCCAAGACTCATGTAGATCACACCGTTCTTGGAGTTGTCAAGAAAATTCTTCAATTCACCATCAGCCAACGGTTTTGGCTTTTCAATGTGCATAAATCCCAATTGAATCGTGTTCGGTAGAATCGGTCTGACGAATCCCATAACGGGATGGGTGTTCGTCATTATTAAATCCACTCGCTCTTTCATTTGACTTATACTTTTCGTCACACTTGGGAAATGTTTCTTCATCAGTTCTTCCTGAAGTTTTTCAATTTTTGGATAAAGTTTGAACTTAGACTGTAAATAAAATTGTAAACTTTTCCATCTTTCTGTGAAAGATAATTTTCCAAGCTCATATGGAAACATAAGCTCAGGGATTACGACTGGGTTCATTTCATTACCATTCTCTTCATGATTTCCCATTAATGTGTCCAAAGAAGTTATTCCAATTGTTGGACAATCAAATAACTCAGCGAAAGCAAGCATTGGGAAGTAGCCCAAATTTTCGAGAATTAATAAATCGAAGCCTTCATTTTTACTATTTCTGATAAGATTTTTCACTTCTGGATGACTCAGCTGTAATTCCATAAATTTTATAGAAATCATCGTGAAACTTTCCATTAAATCATATTCATCAGATTTAGCTTCTTTATGTTCCACAAAATTGAGTTCCCTTCGAAACACTTCGTACCCTCCATGAAGATTAATTTGCGTAACATTTGGATTTTGAATATTTATCAAATCTGTAGTCAAAATAGTCAGCTGATGACCTCGAGCTGCCAAGTCTTTCATCAATGCATGAAAAACTATTTGATGACTTAACGATGGTGTCGGAAAAACTCCCAAAATTCGTGCACTTTCCGTTCCGACTGCACACAGAAATATTAAAGACAAAATTAATTTCATTTTATTTTATGATCACTCTCCGACTTCAAATGAAAATCTGACTGAATATATGTCTGTTCTTTCTTATAATAAGAAGACTTATCCTTACTACTAATTATTATCATCTGATATCAGAACTTTTAGATTAGCGAATATGGTTATTCTCATAAAAGGAAATGGTTAGAGCGTGTTCATAAATGATGAAAAAGTTTCAAAAGAAAATTTAAAATTGTGTTAAAGAGAGAAAAGTTCTTTGAAGACGCAGCTGATGAATTATTTTTACTCTCATTTTATCAGAATTTGATTGTCATGATCACGCGCTGCTTAAGTGTTTGTCTATAAAGTTTTCTTAATACAACTCACGTGCTAATCATGATATCAATATTTATCAGTCTTAATTTTTCTTATCATTCACGTTTTGTAAATTCGCATTTCATTCTACTATTGAACTGATAACCAAAAAAAAGCCAGACAGTTAATTCCACCAAATACGTCACAATGTTTTCCTCTAAGAAGTTTCCTTTTATTTATTTACAAAGATTTTTTGTTAAATATAATTTCGAGATAAATATACAATAATTGAACTCGTTTAATAAGATTTGTTATTTGTTTGTTTTAATATGGACAATTAAAGAAAAGAGACTCGTAAGATGATGAAAGTTTTACTCGCACATTTGATGATGTGGGTGGTGCATGTTTGCTTGAGTCTCATTACAAAAATACTGNTTCTGTGAAAGATAATTTTCCCAACTCATATGGGAACAGCATCTCTGGGATTAGGACTGGGTTCATTTCATTACCATTCTCTTCATGATTTCCCATTAATGTGTCCAAAGAAGTTATTCCAATTATTGGACAATCAAATAGCTCAGCGAAAGCAAGCATTGGTAAGTATCCAAAATGTTCGAGAATTAATAAATCGAAGCTCTCATTTTCACTATTTCTGATAAGATTTTTCACTTCTGGATGACTCAGCTGTAATTCCAAAAATTTCATTGAAATCATCGTGAAACTTTCCATTAAATCATTTTCAGTCACTTTGGTTTCTTTACGTTTCACAAAATTGAGATTCCTCTGGAAAAAATTGGTACTTTCGTGAAGATTAATTTGCGTAACATTTTGATTTTGAATATTCATCAAATCCGTAGTCAAAATAGTCAGTTCATGACCTCGAGCTGCTAACTCTTTCATCAATGCATGAAAAACTATTTGATGACTTAACGATGGTGTCGGAAAAACTCCCAAAATTCGTGCACTTTCCGTTCCAACCGAACATAGAAATATTAAAAACAGGATAAATTTCATTTTGACTCAATGACTCTCCGACTTCAAATGAAAATGTGACTGAATATTTGCCTGTTCTCTCTTGCAACGTAGTCAAAGATTTATCTTTTCCACTGTTAAGTATCATTTGATTGCAGAACTTTAAGATTAGCGAAAGTGGAGTGAATTAGAGAAGAATATTATTTTCCATCTGAAAGAATTACGAAAAAAAAATTCCAGATTCATGTTATTGCCTGACAGAAAATTGCATGATGATTTTTAAAATTTTAACCGTTAAAAATATATATGCGTGGAAAAATATTTTGTGACTTAAATTTTAATTAATAAAAGAGATAAGAAGTAAAAATATATTGTATTTAGCATCGTAATTTGTTATCTTAATCATCATATTATGATTAATTTAATTTTAATATCATAAAATTAAAAATTTACCTTAATATTTTTAACGGTTAAAATTTCAAAATCATCACGCAATTTTCAGCATGGAATAATTTTCAAGCAATAATCTGGTCGAGGAATAATTTGTTCGCGGAAAAAAATATTCCTCTCATAAAAAGAAAAAAGTTTTTTGAAAACCCAGTTGATGAAATATTTCTGTTCTCATTTTATCAGATTTTGATTGTCATAAACTCATCATCACGCATTGTGTCAGTGATTAAAAAAGTCTTCTTAAGGCAACTCAAGTGCCAATCACGATAACAATATTTATCATTCTGAGATGATCTTATTATTCTTTTGTTGCAAATTCACATTTCACTCTTTGTATAATTATCTTAACTGATAATGAAAAGCCAGACAATTAATCCACCATGTAGGTCACAAAAAGGTTTTGCGGGTCGGTTTTTTTACATGCAAAACCCAACCGAACCCGAAAAATACGTGAAAAAAACACGACCCGGAAAGCCGTAGTCACAAAGTTTTCCTCTAAGATGAATACAATAATTGAACTCGTTTACTTAAAAAGATTTGTTATTTGTTTGTTTTAATATGGACAATTAAAGTAGAGATTAAAGAGACACGTTCTTACGATCATCTTTGATGAAAGTCTTACTCGAGCGTTTGATGATGTGGGTGGTGCATGTTCGCTTGAGTCTCATTACAAAAATACTGATTTTGCATTGAATATAAGCGATCGATTGGATTTAATATTTGCGATGTTGCAACCAACGATGCTAATCTAATAATCCTAATATTGAAGTGATATTTATATGTTTGAAAAGTAAATCAAGTGACGTATAATTGCAGAAACCTCTAAAAACAATTAAATCGTCTTTTCATCCCTAAATTTTTAATTGATAGAAAGTGTCTAAATTATCTTTACTGGTGTGAAACATACGAGTGCTTCTTAATTAAATATGTACATGGTTAAATTCGCACAGTTTTTATCAGCGGCGCTACCATTAAAATTCGGTTTCAACTTCTCAAATTTGCGTCTGTGTGACATTTGATAATGAAAAAATATTTTCTTTTCGTGAATGTCAAGTGTAGTCTGCTAGAAAAGAAAATTATTTTGAAACTTACTGAAAAGTGCGTAAAACAATTATCAGCTGATCTAGTTTGTAATCTAAGAATTGGTACACATAAAAAAATTTGATCTACTTGAAAATCTTTTTTTATTTCAATTTTCTTCCATACACTTAAACATTTCAATTCACTTCTAAATTTAATTCACTCATGTTTTATCTTTTCATTGACATGGAAAATTTTCTTCGCAGTTACTTTTAAAACTTTCCACGAGACAATCAATAAAACCATTCCAATGCCTATGAAATCCAACCAATATTTCTGATAAAACGGAACTAATCGTCCAGGATAGGCTAAATGCTTGGCACCTTTGTGTCGGATGACATATTCAGTCCACCAAACAGCACGTTCTCTACTCGACATTGGTTGATCGTATATGAGCGTTCGAAGGTTTTGAATGTTCGATTTGTATTCTGGTTTCAAGATTTGTTTGATCGCTTTCATCAAATTTGCTTCATTCAGAGTGTGCAACTCAAGATGGATGGCGATTCCTCTCTCAACCATTCGTTTGGCATTTGAATCCTGATCACCAAGGAATGGAACGACAATCATTGGGACTGTTCGGTCAATAGCTTCTTCCATGCTTTGTTGACCTCCTTGGGTAATGAAAAGTTTGATTTTGGGATGTGCCAAGAGATCAGCTTGTGGCAACCATTTCGATATCATCACATTCTTCGGTTTATTTGGCAGAGTGTCAGCTTCAAACTTCCACAAAACATCGAATTCCAAACTACTGAAAACTTTCATGAACAATGAAAGAGTTTCTGGATGTAAATCTTTCGACTGCACATTCGATCCAAGACTCATGTAGATCACACCGTTCTTGGAGTTGTCAAGAAAATTCTTCAATTCACCATCAGCCAACGGTTTTGGCTTTTCAATGTGCATAAATCCCAATTGAATCGTGTTCGGTAGAATCGGTCTGACGAATCCCATAACGGGATGGGTGTTCGTCATTATTAAATCCACTCGCTCTTTCATTTGACTTATACTTTTCGTCACACTTGGGAAATGTTTCTTCATCAGTTCTTCCTGAAGTTTTTCAATTTTTGGATAAAGTTTGAACTTAGACTGTAAATAAAATTGTAAACTTTTCCATCTTTCTGTGAAAGATAATTTTCCCAACTCATATGGGAACAGCATCTCTGGGATTAGGACTGGGTTCATTTCATTACCATTCTCTTCATGATTTCCCATTAATGTGTCCAAAGAAGTTATTCCAATTGTTGGACAATCAAATAACTCAGCGAAAGCAAGCATTGGGAAGTAGCCCAAATTTTCGAGAATTAATAAATCGAAGCCTTCATTTTTACTATTTCTGATAAGATTTTTCACTTCTGGATGACTCAGCTGTAATTCCATAAATTTTATAGAAATCATCGTGAAACTTTCCATTAAATCATATTCATCAGATTTAGCTTCTTTATGTTCCACAAAATTGAGATTCCTTCGAAAAATTTCGTAACTTTCGTGAAGATCAATTTGCGTAACATTTAGATTTTGAATATTCATCAAATCTGTAGTCAAAATAGTCAGCTGATGACCTCGAGCTGCCAAGTCTTTCATCAATGCATGAAAAACTATTTGATGACTTAACGATGGTGTCGGAAAAACTCCCAAAATTCGTGCACTTTCCGTTCCGACTGCACACAGAAATATTAAAGACAAAATTAATTTCATTTTATTTTATGATCACTCTCCGACTTCAAATGAAAATCTGACTGAATATATGTCTGTTCTTTCTTATAATAAGAAGACTTATCCTTACTACTAATTATTATCATCTGATATCAGAACTTTTAGATTAGCGAATATGGTTATTCTCATAAAAGGAAATGGTTAGAGCGTGTTCATAAATGATGAAAAAGTTTCAAAAGAAAATTTAAAATTGTGTTAAAGAGAGAAAAGTTCTTTGAAGACGCAGCTGATGAATTATTTTTACTCTCATTTTATCAGAATTTGATTGTCATGATCACGCGCTGCTTAAGTGTTTGTCTATAAAGTTTTCTTAATACAACTCACGTGCTAATCATGATATCAATATTTATCAGTCTTAATTTTTCTTATCATTCACGTTTTGTAAATTCGCATTTCATTCTACTATTGAACTGATAACCAAAAAAAAGCCAGACAGTTAATTCCACCAAATACGTCACAATGTTTTCCTCTAAGAAGTTTCCTTTTATTTATTTACAAAGATTTTTTGTTAAATATAATTTCGAGATAAATATACAATAATTGAACTCGTTTAATAAGATTTGTTATTGTTTGTTTTAATATGGACAATTAAAGAAAAGAAAGAGACTCGTAAGATGATGAAAGTTTTACTCGCACATTTGATGATGTGGGTGGTGCATGTTTGCTTGAGTCTCATTACAAAAATACTGATTTTGCATTGAATATAAGCGATCGATTGGATTTAATATTTGCGATGTCGGAACCAACGATGCTAAATGTTGAAGTGATTGATAATCCATTCCCATCAGATTATTATACGCCATCGTTTCACTTTTTATACTGGTTGCTCCATCTGCGAAAAAGAAAAAACAAAAAGTTAAATTTGTTGCTGTGAAAGAATTTCCCGTCAAACTATAAAGAATGAAAAACATTTCAGAAAATTTGTTTTCATGTTGGAGAAGTAAATCAAGTGTCGTATAATTGCAGAACCCTCTGAATATAATAAATTCGCCTTTCCATTCCTAAATCCTCAATTGATAGAAACGATGCCAAAGAAAGTTCCTCCAACATTTGATAAGAATACATAACGATCCATTAAAATCGTTTTAATAGCAACTTGTTCAAAATCAAATCGCTTTACAATTCAATTTTTGCTCCATTTGTTCTTAAATTTGTGGATGTTTTCGTTTATCTAACAATCACCACCAGCAAAGGTTTTCAATTTTCGTATATCGTTCCTGTGATGGAATCATTTAAGTCATTTTTAATGGTTTTAATGGCATAAACTTGTTATCGATTTTGAATGTGTTTTTCTTTTTTTGTTTTTCTATCCAGCAAATGCTGGAGGCACAAACACATTTCACAAATGGCATCGATGAAGATGAGTAAAAAGAAGAAAGAGAAGCGCAAGCAGGCAAACAAACAGCATCGTAAAAATTTAGAAAACTCTGAACGACGCAATCTGATGTTTGACAGTGACGCCAGATGCTTCTTATTGATCTTTCGTCTTTTTCTTTCTTTTATTTTTCAACAGTCCATTCCCGACATGAAGCGAAAGTTCAGTGTCGTTATTAAAGATGATAATCTCATCTCATTCGTTTTTATATTTAAATTCATAGCACTTACGTCGAAGCTCCCCAAAGGCAAAGGTCATGCGACATGATAAAATAAATTTGTAAGCAACTAATCATGTTGAATTGCTTGTGTTTAATCCACAGTTGGGAGGTAAAGTGCATGTCGCGTTATGAAACAAAAACAAAAAGCTTCATGCGAGGGTGGAAGTCAAGTCACCATGTACACAATTCACATACGGAAATGGCAGTTAGAAGACAATCATAAAAATACAAAACACATTTTTCCTTTCTCTCCTATGCCGATGTTTGCTTCTTCGTTGTGTTTTCGGGATAAAATTGTTTACAGGTGGCTCATGTTTTATAGATGAAGTTTGGGATTTGCGTTTTTAAAAAAAGGGGAGAAAGTTTGCGAATAAAAAAACCTTCCATGAGCTCACGTGCAAATCGAGGATAAGCAAAATTAAAGCTGAATGTCAAGTTCTCTCTCCTTAAAGCGATAAAGCAATAAATAATTTTTTATTCCACCGGCAGTTTGGAAGCACACAAATAACCCACTCAGTGGCATCGATAGAGGGAAGAAAACTTTTCCTCTCAACTGCCATTGAAAATCCATAAATTTTTTTTTGCTTCTGCTTAACCCTCATCGCTCGGTATGGAGAAGTTTGATCAACAAGAGTGGAATGGAATTTATTGGACGTAAGAAACAGATGAACAGGAAACAACAAGCAAGTCTGGAATTTGTTTCGTGAAAAAATGTTCTTATTTACCATCAAATTGTCTCATCGTTCTGGTTTGATTGGCTAACAGACGGAAATAGTCTTCATCATTCTCAATCTCTTCTTTAATATGCTTGAATTCGCCGGCAATGCTGCTACTGCCATTACCTGATAGACGTGATCCAAACGAGTCTGTATCGCACATTCCATTCTCAGTGTCACTGCAGCTGTCTTGCAAATATTGATTTGATCCTGAAACAAGTAAAAAAGAAAAAAATTATGAGTTGAGTTTGAGAATTTTTTCTTCCTTTTTTAGGGTGAAAATTTCAAGAATTTCTTGATTAGTTTGAAAGAAAGAAAATCTTTGAATTTTTAAGCGAACCCTCGAAGGAATATTTGGGATGAACTGAATAAAAGCTATCAGCAATTTAATGGTTTTTCTAACCAAACTTCAATCTTTTTTCATTGAACTTTCTCTGAGTAAGAAACGAGATGAATCCCTTTTTAAAGATAATTCTTCTTATTAAAAGGTCTTTCATTCAAAACAAAATCAAGTAGCTCGGAAAGGGTTGCTTTTCAATACAAAGTTTGGAAGTTTTTTTGTTCTTTTGAAACTTACTTGAATTCTCGTCTTTTATCTTCACTGACATTTTGCTTTCATTTTCCGATTCTTCTTGCGACTCGTTGTCCTTTAACTTTCCACCTTCTTTCAATTGTTTTTTCTGAATCTTTTTCACTTTGGCACGCTGGTTTTGAAACCAAACCTGTTTTGAGACGATATAAGTCATTGAAATGTTTATTGGAATTTGAAAAAATATTTCAACGAAAACACAAAGTAAAACAAAACTCATTTAATGAAAAGCTCTTTTTTCCGGTCCCGACCCAATCACCATGAAAACATCAAACAAATGTTTATGTTTGAGTGATTTGGTGATGATGATGGCAAAGCTTTTGACAAGCGGTCGTCTGTATTATTTATAAAAATTTCGTTCTTGTCATGTCGAGATCAATAAAACGCTAACTGAATGCGCAAATTCAGCTCTCAAACAATGTCACGTGGAATATAAAACAAACAATGTTTGATTTTATTACTAACCTGAACAATTCTGATACTTAATCCAGTGTCTTTCGCTAAACCTTCACGGATTTTTCGGCATGGCTTTGGAGAAATGTCGAAGGAAGCCTTAAAAGCTCGTCTTTGTTGAGTTGTCAAGATGGTTCTGTGAAATGGAAAAATTTTATGAGAGGAAATTCTTTAACATTTCATTAATGAAATCTCGCCTCGGTCTCTTTGGCCCCCTTCGACCATCGATTCTTGTGTGATAAACATCCTCACAGCAGTAATCGTCTATTAAGATGAACAGAGACAATACAAGGATTAAATAAATGGAACGTCTTGTTGTGCAATTTTTCTCACCATAGTTATATCCTTGAAACATTTCAACTTCCTTCTCATAATCCGGGCGACAGAAAAGTTGACTCTGTTTGATGACATATTGATCGCCTTTTTGTAATCGTACACCACACACCACACATATAAAGCATTTTAAATGGAACACATTGTTGACAGCTCTCATGACTAGCTCGTCGCTTCCAATCTTCTCCCCACAGCCGAGACAACGATTCTTCACAAATAATCTTTAATGTGATGTTTTGTTGTTTGCGTTTTAAAGCAGTGAACACAGCAGTCGTTTCAACGGGTGTTGAATGTTTACGATGCAGAAAACAGGAAAAAAAATTTTCGTTTCAACACAAAATCCAAGATTAAAGTAGAGAAGAAGAAAAAGAAAGGAAAATGGCTTTGATTATTTAATATTCTAGCTTTATCATCCCATAAATTGTTGCGCACAGCGGGGGAGGAAAATAGCAAAGAAAGAAAAAAGGAAATTCCTTTCGCTTGCAAGGAATTAGAGACAAAATCCGGCAGAAAAGGTTTTTTTCCTTCTTTCTTTCTTCTTGCCAACGACGATTTCACCTCCCCCATTGTAGTTTTATTTCTCGTCTCATGAGGGGATTTTTCTTTTTCTTTTGTGTTCTCAAGAAAAGTTTTTTTCTTTTTCGGTTCGAAAGTATCAGCCACGCCATACCATCCATGCACACTCTCTCGTCACACGTTTCTATTGAGCTTAGCATAGAAATAAATTCAACTTCACGTCAGAAAATGTAGAACAAGGAGAAGTTTTTTCTTCTCTTTGCTTTTTATTTGTTTCTCTGATGTTTGAATGCCAATGAATTCTCACATAGTTTCACTGAATGTTAAAGATTACTCTAAGTGGGTGTGTGTGTGTTAGTGTTTTGAGAAAAACTATTTAACCTTCATTTTGTTGAAGATAACTTTGGGGGTACTTTAATTGCGGTGAAGAACATGTAGAGCTCACTTTAAGTGTTCCTAAAATAGTTTTACCCATTAAGTTGTCGCATTGAGCAAGAAGAAAAATGGACGGAAAATATTTGCGTAACTTTATTCATTTTCGCCCTCTGACACAACATATTTCAACATAAAATCGTGATGTTTATGTTAAACAATGTTGCTTTTATAACCGCCATCGATTTTCATGCGCAATATTGTTGAAATATTCATTTGAGGGCCTTGAAAACTCTTAAAGTTTGTAAAATGTTTTGAAAATTGCTGTTAGTTTAACAATCAACGGTGCGAGTTTGTTTTGAGGAATTTTTTTTATATATATTTGAGTATGATTAGACTCACTTTTAAAAGTTATAAATTTATTACTCAAACTCATTTATAAATCAACATGAAAATGTTTTCATCATCTCTCGGAAAAGTCCCAAAACAGTAATTAAACTCTTTTCATTTTAAATGAAGCGAAATGAAGCGTGAAACTGTTGAAAATGGGGAGATGATAACTTGGAATATTAAATTTCTTCCATCAACGACAATCGACAGCAATTACCACTGTCATCACTTTCATTGTCTATGAAGCAAACTGAAAGTCGTTTACAATTAAATTTAAATAAAAGATGATCGTAAATGAAAATTGTTATTTTTATCACTTTATTCAATTGCGTGTCAATTTCTGTTATGAACATGTTTTGGTGTGGTAAGCAATCATTTCAATGAAATTAAATCTTTTCGATGGTCTTTTGTTGTCACTGACAAATGATGACTTTTTATTGCTGTAATTTAATTTTTTTTATGATAAACAAGTGTTGAGTGTGGGCGAAAATTGAAGGCAGTTTTTTATGTTGCAATTTTATGTATTGAGAACATATGTCCGATTGTGTCTAAACCTTCGTATCGAACGATCCATCATGAAATTTCTTTCGTGACTTCTCGAAACAATTTCGAATTAATTTTTGGTATTCTTTTTATTATTAAGCAATTAATTCACAACGTGACATGCAGTTAATGCAGCAACCCTTTCAAGCAGATGATTAATCAGTTTTAAATGGCCTTTCAACCCAAAGAATCTGCGAATTAAAGTCACAAATCCACAGAACAAGTGTCCGAAATCTTTCTTCCTAAATGAATCAAAAAACAGTGAAAAATAAAATCACCGCAACGAAAGACTTTCAACCCCATTAATTTCCATAAATTTAAATATGTTAGAAAATCAAATTAAATATAATTATGCATTGAGCGATGATCATAAAATATGTTCGAGTAACTCAAATGCATCCCTATCTTGTTAAAATATTTCCATCTCCCTAGAATCTAACACAGCAACCCCTCTCGGTTGTAAAATGATTTTTTGAATGCTCGGAATTTCGTTTTTATTAAGAAATAAATGGCATATCATTGCACGATAATCCCCCTAGCTGCTAAAGTCGAATGAGTTTCTTTAAACATGATGATTAAACTTCAGGGATAACTGAGAATCTGCTTTCAGCCTCTTTCTAGCTTGTTAACACGCCACCTGCCTCGTTTCCTTCCCTGACATCTCCCTCTGTTCTATCGAACATTCCTCGAATTCTTCGAACACAAAATATGAATAAACAACCAACACGTGCATTGTGCTCTCTCGCATTTAAATATTCGAGTAGAATTAAAGTTGGAAAATGTTCGCTTGTCTGTAAAAATTCTTCAGTTGTCAATGAGCGTACAAAAAATAAAAAATAAAAATTTGCATAATTTTTTTCTTTCTGTCGTTTCACTTCAATTCATTTGGCGACGATGAAAAATGGAAGAAGCGACGACGAAAGTTTTCCATCAACCATTTTCTTCATGTAGGAAAAAGAAATATCTGCGCTTTTGCGTCTACTTCATGGGCGCCATTCAAACGAGGGTGGTTAACAAAACAGAAAGAGAAAAGCAGAATGAAAAATTAAAGAAAATGAAGAATGAAAATTGCTTCGGAAATTTACAATTTAAAACAGCAAGAATTTCTTCTCGCATAATTTTCCGAATGGCTCCAGCAAGATTCTCAAATTTATTCTTTGGTTGTTTGCATATATTTATAAAGAGTCAGTCAGGCTGTAGATAGTCAAAGGGCTGATCCCAATGGTTGTGGCTTCAAACCAGAGTCCTTGTTTAAATATGCAAATGAAGAAATTTTTCTCGTTCATCTCTCTCACTCCCTTCCTTCGCTTTTTATGCTTTTAGATGATGACAACAACGACAGAAGAAAAAGGCGAAGGTTGAACACATAAAAAACAATTTCAATTGGAACCTTTTCTTGTAAATGCAAATTTTATGATATCACGTTTGGAGAGGGAAAACGTTTTCATTTGGATATTTTGGTAAAGAAGTAAAGAAGGATGATTCTTAGATGATGTTGAAGAGATTTTGACGATTTGTAGAGAAAAAAGAAATTTGCATCTGATGGTTGACAACAACGAATTGAAAATTCTTAATTTTCTCAAAAAACATGAACTCACCTTTCGTAATCTATTCGGCAATATAATTTATTATCTCTTTGGTAGCACGTCGTCATGAGACTGCAACAACATGAGAAGCATTGCAAACACCTTTCATGATAAGGTGTTTCGACCACTTTCATGATGTATCGATCACAAATTGGCTGCAAGCATGAACCACAACTCGATGATGAGGAACCTGTTGAAGTTACTGTTGGAGATTTATGATGGTGTTCAGGTGGTGACGAAACATTCATTGATGTCATTTGGTTGTTGTTTCCCTGCTGTTGTAGTACGATTGGTGAAGGATTGATTTGAGTTAAAATGCCTGTTCCATCGACAACAGTTCCCGCTATTGAATTGCTAACTGCCCGATTGTTCGACGCGTTATTATTTACACTGCTACAGTTTTCATTCGCAATTGTCATCTGAGGTGGTTGAATAGTCGTGCATTTCATTTCAATGGGAACTACAACAGATGAAAGAAAAAGGGAAAAAGTAAATAAGTTTTACGATTAGATAACAATATCAAGCTGAAACTATTTAAACACAAAATATTTGCCTTTTTTTAGGGTCGACTGTGACTCGAATCTGACAAAGCTTGTTTGCTTGTTTAGTCGAAATTTTGGCGTGATAAATCCAACTCTTTAATCTTGTTATGTGTGTCGATTAGCATCGATTTTGTGTTTCAATGATTCGCGTTACGCAAAACGATCAATTAGCATTAAAGTTGTAAATTATCTTTAATCTTGAATAAAGCGAGGCGGAAAAGTGTTATCGATTTTCTCACTGACACAAACAGCAAACAATTGTTCCAATAAATGAATATTTATGCGTTTCCATGCTTGAATCTCATTCCTTTAACTAAAACTATTCCATAAGAATCACTTAAAGAAGAATTTCTATCGTTATGAAATAAGGCCAGGAATTCATTACAAATTTGCGGCCCATGATGAAATCTTTTCAAAAGTTGGGGAGAATGATGATGGAGCAGAATAAACACGACAACAATAGATGAGAAAATAGTTTCAGGGAAATTGTTATGGAGAAATCTTACGATGGAATCAAGAAAGTTTTGTTGGGATATTTGAATTCATTTTCAATTTCTACCCCAAAATTTAAACCTGACTATTAATGGAGAAAAGCGAAACAATGAAGATGTGAAAGGGAAGAGAAAGAAGGTCGATGATACATAAACTTGTGTATTTATTCAAACATCGGTTGAAGAAGCAAAGTTTTGAAAAAAGTGCTAAACTTTGAATAAAAACAGAATTTTCACCCTTAAAAATTTATTTTCCTTTTTTCCGACTTCATGAACTTCATGAAAGTAAGAGAAACATATTTGAAACACCTGTTACAATAGCAACAACAAAAGAGTCAGCACTTCCATCACATGTTTTGATCCAAATCGTATGGATTTATGTCAAAGACCCTTCTATGATTGATGAAGTTCGCGTGAAGAATTGTCACGGAGAATGGATTAAAGTTCTAACCCATTTTTACTGTTCAACCACCCACGACTCCTTTCGAAAAAGAAGTTTAAATTTAATGAGCTTAAAACAATTTTCAAAGCTTATGAAAATCATCACAAAACGACGACATTCAATCCCAACCCCAGACTTTATAATCTTCGGTTATTAAAAAACTAGCAAAGGTGGGTGTGGGGGTGGAAAGAAAATCCCATTAAAATTGATATCTTCGCCGTTTACACAGCAGTCTCAAAAAAGCATTATCGTTAACCACTCTTTAATATTTCCCCAACGAATAGCAGCACAACATAAAAGCGTTGACGATGATTGTAAAAAAATTATTGTTACATTAATAATGCCGTTTAACGGCGTGCGACGAGAAGCAAGAAAGGATCTGCATGAGAATGTCTCTGCTTCTATACGATGATGAATCATAAAATGAGAATAAATCGGATTATCAAGAAAGTCACTTCTTCTTCTTGTTCGTTGATGTTGCTAATAAAACGACGTTTTGATGCATAGAACTTAAGAGAAGATCGTAACTTTTTAATTTAATAAGAAGGGTGAAAAATGACAAGAATAAAAATCATGCGGAGAGATATCATGAATCAGACATCGTTAATCCTATTAACTGAAAACTTTCCCTTTAACATTCATTCGTCCAATCGAGGATTGTGAAAATGTCAACAAATTATTTAATTGTGATCCGATATTGTCTAATTCAAACCTTTCATGATCATCTGGTTAAGCTGCAAACTTTATTCAAGAGTCACAGTTCAAAAATATGTTTCGATTTTTATTTTAAGTCTTTTATTTTGACAGCTTTCACTGCTACTCATCATAATTATAGTGACATTAAACCTATTTGGAGAGTGTTAAACATCGCCTTGTTGAACGGTTGATTGTTGTTTATTGGAAAATTTGAAACACGACACGCTTTGATATGTCAACACTTGATGGCAATTTTGAGAAATTCAAACAAAAACAAACCATTTAAAAATTTTGAAGGAAGTAAAGAGTTGAAGGCAGAGAAACGTCAAGAGATTCATGAAGTGTAATGTGATATGAAGGGTGCGTGCGTGTCGACGACAAGAAGTCTTCAAGGGAATTCGAATGTGTTAAAAATTGTTTATTAATGAGGTGAAATGTTGTAAAATTAAATTTTAGCGGTTAATTTGTCATCAAGAGAATTTTTCAATTTTCTTTAGTGGAAAACTTTTCTTTCTTCAGAGAGGAAAATTCTTGAATTTTTTTCACAAAGCGGAAATTTTTCATTCACACAAAACACTTTTCCACATCCCCACTCACGACAATTGAGTTTTTCCTGTCACTTTGTTTGACGTGTCGAGTCGTTTCTTTCTCATAACCCTTCACGTTGTTTCCATCTCAACCGTTTTCAATTCTCTCCGCGAAAAAACGAAAAGCGATGAAGAAAAGTTTAATAAAAATACGTTGCCAGGTTACGAGTCTAGGAAAAATTTTCAATGAGTTTTCAACTTGAAAAATCAAAAGTCACGAGTTCACTCGTATGTGAAGTGAATTTCCTCAAACGTATTTTCTATTTTTTTTAACAAAATCAATGTACAAGTCCTTGATAACTTTGCAGTAATCAAATCGAAATAAATGTTTTGAATAATTTAATTAACTTTTTAAAAGCTGGCAAAATATTAATTTATTTATCGTAAACCGTCGGTACATGAATTTGAGTTTTTAAAACCGACGGTATAGTAAGGATAATTAAACTTACAAAAAGGATATCCTGATGGTGGTTGATGGTCGATCATTTCTTGTTCAATGAACAATCCTCAAGGCAACACTCTCCGATTATAAATTTTCTTCAGTTTATTTATCTCCAAAACTTTCAATTAAAGTTTTAATTGAATTAAGAATATTTTCATCGTTTATTTTCCACACTCAAAATTAGAATTTTCCAAAATATTTCATTCACTTTTCCATCGAAATAATATTCAAATCACTGCTAATCTTTTAATGATGCTACAAATTTAACAAATTTCCGAAGGCTTTAAAGAATTTTTATTGTTTCGTGTAGTTGTACTTTGGTGTCAAAAGGACATTCCTGCTTTCCAATCAAATTGCAATAAATCAATGTGATGATGTCAAGAAATGCAATAAATTATGATGCCTCTTTTCGCGAACACTTTTTTTCTCGTTCCGGATATCTAATTTATGTCCGTCAATTGAACGTCGTCGATTGCAGTTGTGAAAGCGAAAAACATTTTTTCGAGAATAAATTTTCCGTTACAATGGCGCGATGAAGATTTCTTAATTTCCCCTTCGAAATGTTTGCAAGTCAACCAATCAGAACGCACGGAGACGCCCTTAAAACTTTCATTCTACATTTCAGGGCTTTCGTGACGACTATAGAAATAAATTTCATGCTTTAATCGCTTGCTTGTCTCTTCTTAGTAAATGCGAAGGAATCTTAAGAGAGAGAAGATTAATGTTGGAGCTGTTGGGATTATTGGGACATTCACAAGGATCATTAAAGAAAAAAAAGAGAGAAAAAAACAATTTTTTATGCTTCTCGCTTTTTGTCTTTTTTTTATTCTGTATTTTCACATTTTTTCTTCTATTTTGAGCCATTTTTTCGTCTTTTTCATTAATCTCTGTCATTATTAAAAGGTTTTCATGAATTGCATGGGTCACATTCTAAAGTGACTTCACGTTATAAATATTTATTTCATATTCAAATCACAAGGTTTATTAAAGGCTTCTTTCAATCTTCTTTACATAAATTAGGTTTATGAAAATTTAGAAAAATGTTCCAATTGTAGTATTAAGAATTCCCATCACTGTAAAAATATTCCCACAAAGAAACGAATTCAATTCTTGAACTAAACCGATAAAAGCGCAATGGTTGAGCTTTTCCAAAAACTTTTAGATCCTTTTTTGGATAAAATAATTATAAGAAATCATTCTGGGACGTCTTTGACCGTTCGACATGAATTTTTATATTATTTGGGGGGTTGTAATTGTTAAGCACATTAAAATTGATAAAATGTTGTTCATCTAAATTTTCTATTTCGGACAAGGAGTTGCCATACATGATTAGATTAGCTTCCGAGTAGTTCAACAAGCATAGAACTACAATCTCGAATGCACAAAATAATTTATAATTAATTAAATAATCAAGTTAAATCAAATTCCAGGCACTCTCCTTGATTTTACAAAAATTATTTTTAATGCTTTTTAAATTGGCAAAAATTATCTAACTGGGACACATAATTAATATTAAATTATATTAAATTACTAAAGAATCAAAAATATTTCTCTTCTCAATCTTCTGAGGATGACTAGAATTGTATTGACTAGTAGCATTAACAAATACCATGCGGTCAGAGCTGAGCGATTTAAAGTTTGTTAAATTTAAATCGCTAATCAATTTTTTATCATATTTCATTATAAAAACTAATCTTCCATTCAAAAACTTTTGAACTTCCAGCTCTGCATAAATTTTATTATAATTTAAGCTCGACAACCGAACAGCCATCAGAAATTCTGATGTATAAATTGGTTAATGGATATGTTAATTACTTTTTGTTTTGTTTCTCATTCTTCAAAGGTCACAAATTTTATTTGCACCATTTGCTGAATGTTTAAAAATTTTAAATCTTTACTTGGAGGCACGTAAAGTGTTTTACATATCAAACTATCGTGATATGAGATTCTTCATTAGAATATTGTCTTTGATTCATTTCTTTCATGTTATTTCAATACACAATATTACATTAAAGATGGACATCAACAACCAATTAAATATTTCATTATAAGGAATGTGATCGTCGAGTATTTGTGTTTGTTCTCTTTGGTTAAAAATTAAAAAGTAAAATTGACTAGAAAGGTTGAAAATAATCAAATTGATGGTTATTGAATGACACAAGCTGAAGATTGTTCGGCAAGACTGTTGTCCAAACGATGCTTGATACCTTCAATGTAGACTTCTCGATTAAACATTCCAGCTGCGAGTGGAATTCTTAAAAGAAAAGAAGATTTTAATTAAAATTTTATTATTTATGTCATCTCAAGAACTTACGAATCAATTCCAGGACGTAAAGTATTTCTAAACAACGCCCAAACCGGTTTGTGATCAGATGACACGATACTTTGAACTGAATCGTAAGCAATACAATTAATAGGCGATTGAGGTGAGTTTGAACGTCCATCAGTTGTCAATGTACTTGCACGACGAAAACCAAGAGGTGGTAATTTATATTTGTAAAGAATTCGATCGGTATAAGCCGGAGCTCGTTGCTTTGACGACGTGTCAAAGTGTTGAGTTCCAACGTCGTATTTGTAAGTCGGTGGAAAGTTAATTTTAGCTTCTTTGAATCCTTTGAATGCTGCACCATCAGCAAGAACTGTCGTCAATCTAAAGAAGAATTTATAAATGAAAGTTAATGAAAAGTTAAACGAACTTACTGGTCAGTGTGTAAATATCCATGTGGAAGATGAGGTGGGAGTGGAAATTGCGTCTCATTAATCCATTTCAATAGATTCGCTCGTGGTTCACTTAAGCGGAAGTTCAAATCACCACACCAATAAACAGAATCGAAATTTTGTGTCACGTCTTTATTACGATGACGAATGTTGAGATTTCTTGGAAGATCCAAAGCATGAATGATTCGTTTGATGTCTTGAACACGTTCTTTGACTTTTTGTTGATGAGCAGTAAGATGGCTTGTAACGAAAAGCATTGTCGTGCCGAAGAGGCAGAAGGAAATTGCAACAGCGCCTTTCGTCTTAAAATGTGAGCCAGGTCGAACAGAGAGTGAAGCATCTTCAGGTTCAGAGCAATACCAGATGAGATCGCGTCGAATAAATACTGCAAGATGAAGCGTCCCAAGACTCACTGAATGGAACAGAACATGCGATGGTCCGAGAGTTTCTTGAAGTGTCACTTCCCATTCGAACTTGTCTGAACAAGCTTCTTGCGATCCAATCACGACTAAATCAGGAAGATGTTCAAGCGCATTTGGTAAAATGAAGTCACTCATTTGACGTGGCGGACTTTGACCATTCATATTCCAACTTCCTATGAAGATCGTCACATCTCGATTGGGACAAGCTTTCTCAAGTTCAACAGCTCCAAGAAGTGAATTCGACGCTGACCTTCCTTGAAGGAAATTCCTTTGACGTACTTTCTCAGTTGGAATTAAATAAAAGACATGACCAGCCATTAACGTATTCTTCGCTAATGAATTTGTTGTGACAAGATCAGATCTCTGATTTGTAGTTGTCATCGTATCGTAAGATCCAGTTTTCTTATTATCTTCAACAATTGTTTCTGCTTGTTTCGGAATATCTGGTGTTGAACTGTGATCTTTCAATGAACTGAATTGCCCATAGTCAGGTGGTTGAAATTTATCACGAAATCTTGATCTACAAGATAAAAGGATTGGTGATGGATACGATTGATGTGATGGAAGGTTGAAAGTTTGAGCATTTTGTGAAGGAAGAGCACGAGGTGATGTGGGAATCTTCTGTTGTTCATCCTCATTGCTTGTTATTCCTTCTTTTCCCGAATCAGAAGTTACAGCACCATTTGTGGCTGTTACAGTTGTACAACAAATGCTGAATCTGTTGTTGTTATTACTTGAAGCTTCAATTTTCGTGTTTTTTGGACTTAATTCTGATATTAAATTGGGGAAGGTTTTGTTTCTCTCAAGAACTTTCTTGTTGCTTGTACTCTCATTATCTAAGAGAATTTTCTTGTCTGATATTGCATGTTGATCAGTTCCAATTGAGTCATCTGAACTTGTAAATTGTGGCTCAACTTTTGTTGACCTTCGAACTCCCAAAATACCTAAAATCGGTCGCTGTCGTCGAACAACCTGATGTGTCACATCTTCATTCATTTTATTTCATTAAATATCACAGTATAATTGTTATTTTCATTATCCCATGCTTTCCAAAGCAAAATTGAAAAAATTAATCGAGAATTTCTTTTAGAGTAACAAGCCTCAACTATCCGATTCAGTCTTCTAAAAAGAACAAAAATGTAAACTTGGTCAATAGTTAAATACGTTTTTAGAGTTCTAGTGAAGAAAATAGTTTTACTTTTTGTGAAATTATTGAAAAATTGAAAATTCAGAAAGGAAAACAAATACTAAACTTCTTGTATGTCGAAGTTTGACTGTACTTTCTTGATGAAGAAGACAAATAAGTTCATAACAACCGAAATTCTACCTTATCTCAACGTGTTAAAGATTGTTTTCGTTTGCCGTTCTCATTTGTCTCATTTATACACTGCCACGACGATATATCGACCGCAAAAATTGCGAAAATTAAAATTTCCATTTGTTTGTTCCTCACATTTAAAAGGTTACTTGAAGTTCTAAAACTTTAAAAATAAGTACAATGGCTGCTAATAGTGTGTTGCTTGATTTCTCTATCGAGCCGGCTCGTATCATTGACGAACTATCACGTAAAGATATTGTAAAAGTTATAAAAGAAAATATCGAAAAATATTTCGGTAACCTCAAGATGATCTACGATATGCTGGTTAATGATGGATATTTGTGTATCTTAAGTGATAACACTGGTGTCATCTTCAGCTTACGTTTTTATAATGAAGGTTTGATTACACTTAACATCGAATATTTCAAGAAGGAAAATCAACCTCAAAAAATCTCATTCGAGGTAGGTGTGCAAATTTCATTTTCCATTTTAGTTTTCACCTTTTCACATTCAAAACTGTTTCAAAATTTATTCAATTACAAAACTGTTTCACTCTTCAATTTTCCCGCGCATTTATAATGATCAATTAATGAAAAAAAGAATTAAATTTAACACTCATTATGTTGAACACAACTTACTAACTTAACTTAGAAATAAAAAAACTTATCTCAGTCCATATCATAACAACATCATTTCTCTGTTCATCTTATAACATTATCTTGTTGTGCCTTAGAACTTGAGAGTCCTCGAGATAAGCTTAAGGTTGAGTATGCAGGCGAAGCGATCAAAATTCCTCCCGGCAATAAAACGAGGCGGAATCGACGTTTATCTTACTAGTTCAGGTACAGCATCACGATGTTTTCCGGTTAAATTTTTTGAACTTCTTTTTTCTTCTTTTGCGATTATTTTGATTACTTTTTTTTTGTATACAGAATGTTTCCTGAACATTTTGCTGCATTTTATTTAAAATAAATCTATTCAGCATGAACGAGATGAGCTGAAGCAGAGTTTAAAGATTCTTCACAATGCTTTGACTTCAGGCGTGGATCTAATATTTATTTATTTATTCTTGAGATTTGAAAATTCGTTTGATTTAGAACCCTTAAGATTGTGAAAATTTTTCGATCCACTTCCTGACTTTTCAATGACACTGAACATTAAAAATTGCATCTCAACGTTTTGGTTTCAAGTTTCTTAAAATTGATAACGTCAGTCAAAAAGAATTTTATTGCAATTTTTTTGTTCACTGTTGAAATCATTGCCGTGATGTAGATAACTATTTAAAAAAACTTCTTGCTGTGATTCGATGTAAAAACGAATTGAATTACATTTTCAGCATTTTTTGATTTAAAATTTTCTTTGTATTTGTTGATAAAATCAGAAATTATTCATTAGTTATTAGCTTACAAGACAAAAATGTCCTTTAGCACTTTTACCAGTAAGATGGGCCTTTAGATCAGCTTCGCATCATTGGCATACAACATCCACTCACTCACAACTAAGAACTAACAGTCTTCTTCTAAAATTCCTTGTTTGACTTTAATTTAACTTTTAACAAACAACAACAAAAAAATCAACCAGATTGGTATGAAAAAAAAAAAACATACTTTAGAGAATAGAAACAAACAAATTTTCCATTCTATCCCATCCACAGTCATCTCGTCTGCTCGAAAATACGCTGGTTAAAGATTTAAGTTTATTGCACGGACAATCACTTCCAACTTTGTCTCGTGGGCCCATCATCAGGTTTTTTCAGACGTCAGGTTGGTAGCATAGTGTTCGGATGTTCCTTTGTTATTTGGTGCATGAAGATGATAAGCATGACAGCAACACTGATTTATATTTTAAGATTTTGTTCTTTACACAACTGTAGAATGTTTTCGTTTGGATTTTCTTTTCTGCAGAATTTTTAATTTATTTATGAAGAATTTGAAAGAAATAAAAAAAAATTATTTTTCAGATGAGCGCATCATCGAGTACGACATTGACAAAGTTTTGTTCGATAAGCACTCTGAATTCCAAAAGATTCAAATCGTGCACTCGAAACAATTGGGAAATATGTTGATTCTTGATGAGCTTCAGAATATCGCTGAAGCTGACCTTATCTACACGGAAACTTTGATGCAACGAGGAAAGGAAAATTATTCTGGAAAGGAAATTTGCATTTTAGGAGGCGGCGATGGTGCTTTGTTATATGAGCTTTTGAAAGAGAATCCGAAGCACGTCGTGATGTTGGAAATTGATGATCTTGTCATGGAAGCATGTAACAAGCACATGAGCTCAATTTGTGGTGATGTTCTTGAAGTCCGTCAACGTGAAAATTATGAAATCGTCATCGGCGATTGCATGGTTTGGTTGGAGAAATATATCAAAGAAGGAAAGAAGTTTGATTATGTCTTTGGTGATCTCACCGACATTCCAATCTCTGATACCCCAACAGGTGAAATTTGGGATTTTATTCGAAAGATTCTTGAATCTTCCTTCAAAGTTTTGAAGCCAACGGGGTAAGAAATATGCAAATCAAAAAGTTTTGGATGATTTTTAAAAACTTTGTTTCATAGAAAATTCATGACTCATGGGAATGGAGCATCATGTCCAGAATCGCTTGAAATGTACGAAGAACAATTGAAGAAATTGAAACCTGTTGTCAAGTTCACTCGTGATACTGCTTTTATTCCTTCGTTCATGGAAAATTGGATTTTTTATCAAGTGGGATTAGCCGATCAATGATGGAACGAATTTAAAACTCGTTTATTAGCTATTTAGTTTCTCTTCTCATTCTCTCTAATCTCTGGTTATGGAATTTTATTGCGAATATTATGAGACTTTTGGAAAATTCCAAAATGTTTAAGCAGAATAATTTTCTCGAATATTTAAATAAAAATATTTTCAATCATTAAAACATGTTTTTGGTCACTCTGTACTTTACTTGCAAGTTGAATGCAGCATGCTACTTGCATGCGAAATGTATGCGAAATGCAATAAAAACCAATGAAAAAGTTTGAAATTCAGTAATAAGAATTGACTAATCACAGCAATGTTTTTGAAGATGCTTGTGAGGGTTTTGGGTGGTCAACTGTCTCAACATTGCAGAATGTTTGTGTTAAAATTATTCCAAACTTCCGAATCGGGTTTCATCGAGAGTCGTTGATGGATTCGACAGGCGACATTTTCCATTTAACATTGAACACATTAAAAAATCACAGCATGATGATTCGTTTGCAGAACTTTTTCTACTACTACTTCTGGTTTCAACTTACACTCACCAATTTTCCTCTCATTTTGTGTGGTCTCATCAAATTTCCATTCACGAAGATTCAAAATAAAAACATT